ATATCGAAAAATTGAAAAATGGAGAAATCGAAACATTAAAAAATCGAAGAAATAAAAATTCGAAAATCTAAAAGTTAAAAATCGAAAAACCAAAAAATCAACAAATCCAGAAATCGAAACTCGAAAATTTAAGAATTAAACAAAAATGGAAAACTGAAAAATCGGATAATTCAAAAATCGAAACATCGAAAAATCGAAACAGAAAAATTCAAGAGACATCGAGGGAGAGTGATAAATGGGAGAATGAGAAAGAGTGATAAATGGGAGAATGAGGGAGAGTGATAAATGGCAGAATGAGAAAACGTGTTAAATGGGAGAATGAGAGAGAGTGATAAATGGGAGAATGAGAGAGAGAGTGATAAATAGGAGAATGAGAGAGAGTGATAAATAGGAGAATGAGAGAGAGGGTGATAAATGGGAGAATGAAAGAGAGAGTGATAAATGAGAAAATTGAAAAATCGAAAAATCGAAAAGTTGAAATACTAAAAAAATTAAAAATATAAGAAAATTGAAAAATCGAAAAACTGAACAATCACAAAATTGAACAAAATATCGAAAAATTGGGAAATTAAAAAATTGAAAAATTGGGAAATCGAAAAGTAAAAAAAAGCAAAGTCGAAAAATCGCAAACTTAAAGAATCGAAAAACTGATAAAATCAAAAACCCGGGAAATCGAAAAATTGAAGAACTGAAGAACTGAAAAATCGAAACTTTGGAAAGTCGATAAATGGGAAAATCAAAAGGTAGATTAATTGAGAAATCGGAAAATTGAAAATTCAGAAACGTCTAAAATTTGAAAAATTAAAAAAATATTGAAGAACTGAAAAATCGAAAAATTTAAAAATCTAAAATTTAAAGCATTGAAAAATTATATCGTAAAATTGAAAAATGGAGAAATCGAAACATTAAAAAATCGAAAAAATAAAAATTCGAAAATCTATTATTTAAAAATCGAAAAACTAAAACATCAAAAAATCCAGAAATCGAAACTCGAAAATTTAAAAATTAAAAAAAAATGGAAAACTAAAAAATCGAATAAGTCAAAAATCGAAAAATCGAAAAGCCGAAAAGTAAAAATCGAAAAACCGACAAATCGAAAAATCGAAACAGAAAAATTCAAGAGACATCGAGGGAGAGTAATAAATGGGAGAATGAGAGAGGGTAATAAATGGGAGAATGAGAGAGAGTGACAAATGGGAGAATGAGAGAGAGGGTAATAAATGGGAGAATGAAAGAGAGAGTGATAAATGAGAAAATTGGAAAATCGAAAAATCGAAAAGTTGACATACAAAAAAATGGAAAAATACAAGAAAATTGAGAAATCGAAAAACTGAACGATCACAAAATTGAACAAAATATCGAAAAATTGGGAAATTAAAAAATTGAAAATTTGGGAAATCGAAAAGTAAAAAAAAAGCAAAGTCGCAAAATCGCAAACTTAAAAAATCGAAAAATTGATAAAATCAAAAACCCGAGAAATCGAAAAATTGAAGAACTGAAGAACTGAAAAATCGAAACTTTGGAAAGTCGATAAATGGGAAAATCAAAAAATAGATTAATTGAGAAATCGGAAAATTGAAAATTCAGAAACGTGTAAAATTTGAAAAATTAAAAAATATTGAAGAACTGAAAAATCGAAAAATTTAAAAATCTAAAATTTAAAACATTGAAAAATTATAATATCGTAAAATTGAAAAATGGAGAAAACGCAACATTAAAAAATCGAAAAAATAAAAATTGGAAAATCTAAAATTTAAAAATCTAAAAACTAAAAAATTAACAAATTCAGAAATCGAAACTCGAAAATTTAAAAATAAAAAAAATGGAAAACTGAAAAATCAGATAATTCAAAAATCGAAACATCGAAAAATGGAAAAGCCGAAAAGTAAAAATCGAAAAACCGACAAATCGAAACAGAAAAATTCAAGAGACATCGAGGGAGAGTGATAAATGGGAGAATGAGAGACAGTGATAAATGGGAGAATGAGAGAGGGTGACAAATGGGAGAACGAGAGAGGGTGACAAATGGGTGAATGAGAGAGAGGGTGATATATGGGAGAATGAAAGAGAGAGTGATAAATGAGAAAATTGGAAAATCGAAAAATTGAAAAGTTGAAATACTAAAAAATCGAAAAATATAAGAAAATTGAAAAATCGAAAAACTGAACGATCACATAGTTGAACAAAATATCGAAAAATTGGGAAATTAAAAAATGGAAAAATTGGGAAATCGAAAAGTAAAAAAAAGCAAAGTCGAAAAATCGCAAACTTAAAAAATCGAAAAATTGATAAAATCAAAAACCCGGAAAATCGAAAACTTAAAGAACTGAAGAACTGAAAAAACAAAACTTTGGAATGTCGATAAATGGGAAAATAAAAAAATAGATTAATTGAGAAATCGGAAATTTGAAAATTCAAAAACGTTTAAAATTTGAAACATTAAAAAAATATTGAAGAACTGAAAAATCGAAAAATTTAAAAATCTAAAATTTAAAACATTGAAAAATTATATCCTAAAATTGAAAAATGGAGAAATCGAAACATTAAAAAATCGAAAAAATAAAAACTCGAAAATCTAAAATTTAAAAATTGAAAAACTAAAAAATCAACAAATCCAGAAATAGAAACTCGAAAATTTAAAAATTAAAAAAAAATGGAAAACTGAAAAATCGGATAATTCAAAAATCGAAACATCGAAAAATGGAAAAGCCGAAAACTAAAAATCGAAAAACCGACAAATCGAAAAATCGAAACAGAAAAATTCAATAGACATCGAGGGAAAGTGATAAATGGGAGAATGAGGGAGAGTGGTAAATGGGAGAATGAGAGAACGTGTTAAATGGGAGAATGAGAGAGTGATAAATGGGAGAATGAGAGAGAGTGATAAATGGGAGAATGAGAGAGAGTGACAAATGGGAGAATGAGAGAGAGGGTAATAAATGGGAGAATGAAGGAGAGAGTGATAAATGAGAAAATTGGAAAATCGAAAAATCGAAAAGTTGACATACAAAAAAATGGAAAAATACAAGAAAATTGAAAAATCGAAAAACTGAACAATCACAAAATTGAACAAAATATCCAAAAATTGGGAAATTAAAAAATTGAAAAATTGGGAAATCGAAAAGTAAAAAAAGCAAAGTCGAAAAATCGCAAACTTACAAAATCGAAAAATTGATAAAATCAAAAACCCGGGAAATCGAAAAATTGAAGAACTGAAAAATCGGATAATTCAAAAATCAAAAAATTGACAAATCGAAAAATCGAAACAGGAAAATTCAAGACATCGAGGGCGAGTAATAAATGGGAGAATGAGAGAGAGTGACAAATGGGAGAATGAGAGAGAGGGTGATAAATAGGAGAATGAAAGAGAGAGTGATAAATGAGAAAACTGGAAAATCGGAAAGTTGACATACTAAAAAATTGAAAAATATAAGAAAATTGAAAAATCTAAAAACTGAACAATCACAAAAAAAATCGAAAAATCGAAACAAAAATTCAAAAGACATCGAGGGAGAGTGATAAATGGGAGAATGAGAGAGAGTGATAAATGGGAGAATGAGAGAGAGTGATAAATGGGAGAATGAGAGAACGTGTTAAATGGGGGAATGAGAGAACGTGTTTAATGGGAGAATGAGAGAGAGTGATAAATGGGAGAATGAGAAAGAGCGATAAATGGGAGAATGAGAGAGAGAGTGATAAATGGGAGATTGATAGAGAGTGATAAATGGGAGAATGAGAGAGAGTGATAAATGGGAGAATGAAAGAGAGAGTGATAAATGAGAAAATTGAAAAATCGAAAAATCGAAAAGTTGAAATACTAAAAAATTGAAAAATATAAGAAAATTGAAAAATCGAGAGTAAGAATAACAATAATACAATACTTTTATTATTAGTATTAAAATACATCTATCCAAAATGTGGATGACATCAACACAAAATTTTGTAATCGAAAAACTTACTTGTAACCATATCTTGTAACAAACGATTAACACGGTTCTTTACCTTTACTCAAACAGCTGAATTATTTGTTGCCTATCTAACAAGTGGTTATGAGTCATCACAACAAAGCGGCAAAATTTCCGAAATTTCAAAGCTAACTTGATGTATGATCTTTTATAACTATTTGTACATATAGTTTTTTTTTTTATTAATTTTGGGATGACATTATCAAATTGTTGATGGGGACGGATAAAACAAAAATTGTCTACACATGGTCTTAAAATACATCCAAAATTCCACAAAATAGATCTAGTAATTGCGACGGCTACATGTCTAATGTAATAGTCAACAGACAGACAGACAGACAGACAGACGGAAATGTGAAATTAGCCTTTTCTCAAATGAATCCTATTACGCTCACGTTTGTGAAGTAAAACACATTACATCTGTTAATTAAAGTTACACAAGTCGATTACACTTTGGAAAGTCCCTAGACAATCCCACAGCAACACATCTGTCGTACACTTCTCTGAATTTCAAGTGTTAAGTATGCATAGAATTTGAAATGAAATGGAACAAGCAGAGAAAATGAGGCAGAAATCAGCTTTCCGAAGAAAACAAATTTCGCTAAAACGCCAACTCTAAACATTTATCAAACCATCGAAACAATAATAAACCTGCCTCGTGTATAATTTATCCAATTTCGCAATCTTCAAAGCATTGAAAAATCAACATCAGCTGATGGAAAAGCGCTGAGATGCGCCGGCATGGCATTTTTCATCTCCCGAAATCGATACCGACCACCTCGCTCTTCCACCATCCATCTGAATGTTTTGAATTTCAGCACTAAATATAAACTTAATTCCCACGTACCAAGATTGGCGGATGATCGATCTAACAAGCTAAAGATGTTGCGCCACAAGGAAATGGGAATGCTGCACCCGAAAAATCCCTCTCCGTTAAAGATTAATGAGCGAGATAATTAGGTGAAAATGGATTTATCTCTTTGTTAACAAGCACGCGATGGATGTGCAAAACCCATGCGAATACATGCAACTTACAGAACATTTTCTCAGAACGCGGCGTCGCGACGTCGACGTCGTTCTTTCCCTCGGTGTGACGGCGACTGCACTGGTGATCTGACGAGAGGAATGCGCAAACATCAACTCTGATTCGTCCTGGCTGAAATAAATTAATTGGATTTGTTTAATTTTTGGGTCGGCGGAGAACAAATAGCGCGTTTATAATCTTCGATAATCGATGGATTATGACTTGTGGTAGGAATTATATTGCTATAAATTTTTATTGTGTAAGCGAAGTGAAATGATTAACAACCATCAGTAGGTGATCCTGTAATTTGCGCGCGGTTGCCACCGTTTCAAGTAGATCATAAAATGGATATTTTTAACTGACGGGCTTTTCTTGTAATTTACAAACAGGAAGTCGAAAAGTTCCAAGTGCACTATTATTTATAGCAATTCTAGCGGATTTTAGTAAATCATAGTCCAAGTTTAAAGTGACTCAAGGGGAATAAATGCCAAAAACATCGTATATGGGCATTTTAGTTAATCTTTTTTTTTTTAATAATTTTTAAAGAAAGAACTCCTTTTTCTAAGTGACAGTTAATCGCATTCTATTTGTTTTCTACTTCCATGTTTTTTTAGTGCCATTTAAATATAATTTTTTTAATTAAATGTTTTTCTGATTACGGCACTGACACTCTTCTGTCCAATAAAAAAAATCTTAAATATTATGGAACGTCATTCTACCTCATTGCGTAGTTTCTAAAATTAACAGAAATAAATATTTTTAAAATTAAATCATATTCATTCAAATATTATTATTCCCAGAAGAAATAAAGGATCCAAAATAACTGCACAAAAATTGCATTACATTTATCTTTTACAACAATGTGTCAAAAATAATTAATGAGGTTAAATGCGATGTCTTCGAGCTTTCCGAAGAAGGCAAATTAATTCTTTAATTGTAAATTGAACAAACGGGCAATTGAAAAATCGAAACATCCAAAAATTGTTAAAAGTTCCGAAAATTGAAAAATTGAAATATAGAAGAATTGAAAACTCGAAAAATTGAAAAACCAAAAATTTTAAAAATTGAAACAGAAAAATTCGAGAGACATCGAGGGAGAGTGATAAATGGGAGAATGAGGGAGAGTGATAAATGGGAGAATGAGAGAAATATCGAAAAATTGAAAAACAGAAGAAAATTGAAGAATCGAAAAACTGAAAAACCACAAAATTGAACAAAATATCAAAAAATTGGGAAATTAAGAAATTAAAAATTGGAAAATCGAAAAGTCGAAAAATTGAAAAATAAAAGAAAATTGAAGAATCGAAAAACTGAAAATCACAAAATTGAACAAAATATCCAAAAATTGGGAAATTCAAAAATTGAAAAATTGGGAAATCGAAAAGCCAACAAAGCAAAGTCGAAAAATCGAAAAACTGAAAAATCAAACACCTAAAAACTCGAAAAATTGAAGAACTGAAGAACTAAAAAATCGAAACTTTCGTAAGTCGAGAAATGGGAAAATAAAAAAAAAGATTAGTTTGGAAATCGGAAACCTGAAAATTTAGAAACGTCAAAAATTGAAAAATTGAAAAATCGAAATATTTAAAAATCGTACAATTGAAAAGGACAAAAATTGAGAAATCATGTTATTGAAACATCGGAAAATTGAGAAAAAAAAAACAGGAGTCCAAAAATCGAAAAGTCGAAAAATCGAAATATTGAAAAATCCCAAAAATGAAAGAAATATCCAAAAAATTGAGAAATTAAAAAATTGGAAATGTGAGAAATCGAAAAACTAAAAGAGGAAAGTCGAAAAATCGTATACTTAAAAAATCGAAAAATTGAATAATCAAAAAACCTGAAAAATCGAAAAATTGAAAAATAGAAGAAAATTGAAGAATCGAAAAACTGAAAAATCACAAAATTGAACAAAATATCCAAAAATTGGGAAATTCAAATATTGAAAAATTGGGAAATCGAAAAATTGCAAACTTAAAAAATCGAAAAATTGATAAAATCAAAAATCCGGGAAATAGAAAAATTGAAGAACTGAAGAACTGAAAAATCGAAACTTTGGAAAGTCGATAAATGGGAAAATAAAAAAATAGATTAATTGAGAAATCGGAAAATTGAAAATTCAGAAATGTATAAAATTTGAAAATAAAATAATATTGAAAAACTGAAAAATCGAAAAATTTAAAAATATAAAATGTAAAACATTGAAAAATTATAAGATCCTAAAATTGAAAAATGGAGAAATCAAAACATTAAAAAATCGAAAAAATAAAAATTAGAAAATCTAAAATTTAAATGAGAAAATTGGAAAAACGAAAAATCGAAAAACAGAAAAATCGAAAAACTGGACAAAATATCGAAAAATAGGGAAATTAAAAAATTGAAAAATTGGGAAATCGAAAAATCGCAAATTTAAAAAATCGAAAAATTGAATAATCAAAAAACCTGAAAAATCGAAAAATTGAAAAATAGAAGAAAATTGAAGAAGCGAAAAACTGAAAAATCACAAAATTGAACAAAATATCCAAAAATTGGGAAATTCAAAAATTGAAAAATTGGGAAATCGAAAAGTCAACAAAGCAAACTCGAAAAATCGAAAAACTGAAAAATAAACCACTTGAAAAATCGAAAAGTTGAAGAACTGAAGAACTAAAACATCGAAACTTTGGTAAGTCGAGAAATGGCAAAATAAAAAAAAAAAACGATTAGTGTGGAAATCGGAAACCTGAAAATTTAGAAACGTCAAAAATTGAAAAATTGAAAAATCGTACAATTGAAAAGAACAAAAATTGAGAAATCGTGTCATTGAAACATCGGAAAATTGAGAAAAAAAAACAGGAGTCCAAAAATCGAAAAGTCGAAAAATCGAAATATTGAAAAATTCCAAAAATGAAAAAAATATCCAAAAAATTAAGAAATTAAAAAATTGGAAATGTGAGAAATCGAAAAACTAAAAGAGCAAAGTCGAAAAATCCTATACTTAAAAAATCGAAAAATTGAATAATCAAAAAACCTGAAAAATCGAAAAATTGAAAAATAGAAGAAAATTGAAGAAGCGAAAAACTGAAAAATCACAAAATTGAACAAAATATCCAAAAATTGGGAAATTCAAATATTGAAAAATTGGGAAATCGAAAAGTCAACAAAGCAAAGTCGAAAAATCGAAAAACTGAAAAATCAAACACTTGAAAAAACGAAAAATTGAAGAACTGAAGAACTAAAACATCGAAACTTTGGTAAGTCGAGAAATGGGAAAATCAAAAAATTTATTAATTGTAAAATCAGAAAACTGAAAATTCAGAAACTTCAAAATTTGAAAATTCTGAAAATTGAAAAATTGGAATATAGAAGAATTAGAAACTCGAAAAATTGAAAAACCCAAAGTTAAAAAACGAAAAATTGGAAATCCAAAAAGTAAAAAGTCGAGAAATCGAAAAATCCAGAGCTCGAAAAATGGAAAAGTCGAAATATTAAAAAATCTCAAAATGAAATGTCGAAAAATTGAAAAATAGAAGAAAACTGAAGAATCGAATTACTGAAAAATCACAAAAATTAAAACAAAATATCAAAAAATTAGGATATCAAAAAATTTAAAAATTGGGAAATCGAAAAGTCAAAAAAGCAAAATCCAAAAATCGCAAACTTAAAAAATCGAAAAATTGAAAAATTGAAACTTTGGGAAGTCGAGAAATGGGAAAATCAAAAAATAGATTAATTGAGAAATCGGAAAACTGAAAATTCAGAAACGTCAGAATTCAAGAATTAAAAAATATTGAAGAACTGAAAAATCTAAGTCTAAAAATCTAAAATTTAAAACATTGAAAAATTAAAATCGAAAATCCGAAAAGTAAAAAATCGAAAAATTCAAAAACTAAGACATCGAGAAATTGAAAAATCAAAAAATTGAGAAATCGAGAAGTCGAAAAGTCGAGAAATCGAAACGAAAATTTAAAAATGAACAATCAAAACATTGAAAAATCGAAAATTTAAAAATTCGGAAAATTGAAAAATTAAAATATAGAAGAACTCGAAAAATTGAAAAAGCTAGAGTTTAAAACATTGAAAAATTAAAATATGAAAAAGTTGGAAAATTGAGAAATCAAAAAATCCAAAAAATCGAAAAGTCGAAGAATTGAAATACTGAAAAATCCCAAAACTAAAAGAAATGTCCAAAAATTGAGAAATTAAAAAATTGGAAAATTGAGAAATCGAAAAACCAAACAAGCAAAGTCGAAAAATCCAAAAATCTAAGAATTAAAGAACTGAAAAATCGAAACTTTGACAAGTCGAGAAATGGGAAAATCATAAATAAATTAATTGAGAAATTGGAAAACAGAAAATTTAGCAACGTCAAAATTTGAAAAATTGAAAAATACAAATAGTGAAAAAGTAAAAAATCAAAAAAAATCGAGAAATAGAAAAATCTAAAATTTAAGACATTGAACAATTAAAATATCGCTAAAATTGAAAAATCGATAAATCCGAACATCAAAAACTCAAAAAATAAAAATTTTAAATTGAAAAATCGACAATTCGAGAAATCGAAACTACAGAATTTAAAAAATTGAAAAATCGGCCAACTGGAAAATCGAAACTTCGAAAAATTGAAAAGCCCAAAAGTAAAAAATCCGAAAATCAAACCATCGAAAAATTCAAAAAATCAGAGGATCGAGAAATAGAGGGGTCGAAACCCCAGAAGAAAAGTTAGAAATTGATAAATCGAAACATTTTAAAAACAAAAAATTGGAAAATCGAAAAATTCTAGCATTGAAAAAATCCAAACTTGAGAAGTCACGAAATGGGAAAATAAAAAAAAAATTGTTCAGAAATCGGAAAACTGAAAATTTAGGAACGTCAAAATTTGAAATATTGAAAATTCGAAATATTTAAAAATCGCAAAATAAAAAAATCCAGAAATCAAAAATTTTTAACAATGGAAAAATTGAACAAGACCAAAACTGAAATATTGTAAAATGGAAACATCTGCTAAAGTTGAAAAATCGAAAAATCGAAAAGACGAAAAATCTCAATAGCGTCTAAGGTAAAAACTCAACACGGATTCATAAACCATAAATAGGTTAGTTCTTCGTAGTGGATGTGTTTCATATCAGCTCTAACGAAAGTCGGCTTATAGATAAATCGCTTAGAGACGATATTGACTTGAGTGCGCTCCTGTTGTTTCAAACAATACAAAGACCACTTTCTGTGATGTTGATTATTGTAGAAACAACAGTATATTCCATACATTTTGCAACTCATTGTACATATATGGGAGTGATTTCAAATTTTGCAAATGGCGCGACTTCAGCGCCCTCTTTGATACAAACTCAAACAACGTCAAATATTTATTTATTAGAAACATAAGAAAAATGTTTACCAGAAGTAATTTAGTATATAAGTACCGAATCTACACCAAGTCTATCCAAAATATTCAGGTACGAAGCACCTTTAAACTCCATAATTTATAAACAATTAAATTCCGCGAAGTGTCAAAATTTATAGGTTATGTCACATTTTCCATAATTACTTTTTTATATTTTTCAGACAAATTTGGTGCGAACAAAACAAACCAAAGCAGTCGAACTTTTACACAACTCGAGTAAATCGCCTCCAGTGAGAAACAAACATTTTCAAAAATGCAAAGTGAGTAACCGCCGCCAAAATTAGACTCAAAGTTAACAAAATTGGTTGTAGGACATTGTCAACAACTCACAATTGGTACAAACCATCTCTAGAACCCTCACGTCCATCCAAGACAAGTTTAACTTCAAGGTAAAGCCGCTGCGGTTAAAGCCAGCCAACCTAACCTCACTTTTTCCAGAAAAATGAAACCACACAAAGAACGATACTTAATAGTAAATTCTTTCTTTCGAGTACTGCCGTCGCAACGGCTGCCTCTGCCACTCCCAATGTAATTATTGAACCCATTCCTGAACCCCCACCAGTTCCATTGGAAGCTCCTGAAGCGGCCGCGGAAGTCGTGAGTCAAATAAACGCCTTGGGTGAAGCCACGTTCGCCTCTTTGGGGCTCGGGGGGAAAACTCCCGTAGGCTTGGTGCAAACATGTTTCGAATATTTGCACGTTACCTTAGGAATACCGTGGTGGGAAGCTGTGGTTATTGGAACACTGGTTATTCGTTTTTGCATGTTCCCTTTGGTGGTCGTAGCGCAAAGAAATGCAGCTAAAATGAATAACTACATGCCGCAGTTGCAAATGCTTCAGTTAAAAATGACTGAGGCGCGGCAGACGGGAAATCAGTTAGAAGCGGCAAGGTACTCTCAAGAAATGATGCTCTTCATGAAGGAGAAACAACTGAATCCTCTTAAAAATATGATTGTGCCGTTGGCACAGGTATGGTTTTTGGTATGATTAATTGGCTGGAGTAATAGTTGGATTGTAGGCTCCCGTGTTTATATCGTTTTTTATTGCGCTGAGGGAAATGGCGAATGTTCCTGTGGATAGTTTACGAACGGGGGGGTTGTGGTGGTTCACTGATTTAACTGTCCCTGATCAGTATTTCTTAATGCCATTGATTACAAGTGCAACACTTTATGCTACCATTGAGGTAATCCAGAGACATGATTGAGTTATTATTATTAATAATGTAATTTTTGTAGTTGGGAACAGATACAGCAAAGTTGTCATCACAGAATTTGCAAACTATGAAATATGTTCTGAGAGCTATTCCTTTGATTATTTTGCCGTTCACAATTAATTTCCCTGGAGCTATATTGTGTTACTGGGTGTCTAGTAACTTCATCTCTTTAGCGCAAGTGGGGATATTAAGGATACCAGCTGTTAGGGATTATTTTAAGATTGAGAGAATGATCACCCATCGTAAATTGCCAGTTCAGCCAAAAGGGTTCACTGAAGGAATAAAAGACTGTAAATATAATACGTCGTTTTGGAAAATTTTTGACAATTAATTTTTTTTAGCGTGGACTAATCTCAAGATCACTCGTGAATTAGAAGACCGGCGTCGATTGGACGAATTACAGTTTCAAAAAGCCGGCAGAGGTCCAGTAGTCAAGACTTACAAATATGATCCGACAAAACAAACAAATCCGACCGCAATTAATGCGAAAAAACGGTAATTATCTGATAACGAAGTTATTAATAAATGTTTGTGTTTATCAAATTGATACATTTGTGGTTAATGTAGGTGAAAAAAGGTCACCAAGCGAACAATTTTAGAGTTTTATTTAATACATAAAATATAAAAATTTGTATTATATTTCTATGAGAAATTAAAAGAGATAAACTAATCTAAGAAGTATAACTGCCTCTCATATGAAAGTATCTCTTTGTGAATTTGTGCGATTGGTAGTAGTTTAATGAGTGTATAAAACTGTCTACTGTTTTTGACTTTGAATTTATAAACGATATACTCGTGCAGACAATTCCTCGCCAGTTCTACCAAACTTGGAACTACTGTCAAAGTACTCAAATTGCTTAACGCATTATTGGGTTCATACTCGTAATGATCTATTACATACATCCTAATCCATTTTGGCAGCGCAAAATAATTAAAAATTTTATAAATATTGGTATCTATAAAATTGAACTGAACGATATTTTTAGCAATCGTGTTACTCGTTTGTTTGATATTATAAATTATGTGGGGAACCACATAATTGACTTGTAGATCACGCGTATCAACAATATCCATGTGGAGCATCACTTTAAACAAATTACAATACCCATAACTTAAAAAAATTACATCCATACATTGAACAGTTAAATCAACCCCCAAACTTAACAAAAAGCACAACAATAAAGTTGCCGTTTCCGGTGTTTTGTCATACTCCACGCAACTAAAGAGCATATATGGCACTAATTCAATTCCTTCGTCCGCCACGCAATAATGAACCTCATCGACAAGAAAATTCGACAACGGGCTTTCAAATAAAACAAACAAATTTTTGATATAGTTTGCCAAATTTTCCTTGCGTTGTTCACTAAGGAACACGTTTATTAAATACCGCCGCGTAAATATATTGTGGGCAATGTCCTGAAATTTTTCTAAAAACGTCTGGAATAATGTTGGGTCAAAAAACACTATACGAGAACAGAAATCTCGTAAGTCGTTACTCGTGTAGTTAATATCATTAGCAGTCTGCAACACTTTAATAAAATTCACGTTGTCGTTATTCGTAAGAAGTGTCGCAAACGTCATGAGATTAAAACTTACATTGTACCCGATTAAATGGTCAAGAAATATTTCTTGAACTTCAGCTTTCACGCTTTTCGTTGCGCAAATATCGAAACAACGCGCTAGGTGAGGATCAGCTCCGTAGAACAGCAACATCCAGATTTCATCCACCAATTCGAAACAACAAGCAATATTTAGGGCGGTTTTCCCTTGAGAATTTAACTTATCTACATGGAACCCATTTTCTATCAACAATTCGGCCACTTCAATCCACCCGTTTTGAATGGCCCAGTGCAGTGCCGTGTTGCCGTCACTAAAAGTGTCAAAAATTTCGCAACCTGCTTTTATCAGTTTAATCGCGAAAATTTGCCAGTCGCGGACGAAGGCCTCAAATAAAGGGGTGTTGTTGCGCAGATTGACTGCGTTTTTGGGGACTTCGTCCAGCGTGAGTAAATAATCAAACGCGTCGATCCTACAAGTGGAAAATAAATAAGGATTTTGCAAGTTTAGTAAAAGTTACGTTGGTGCATCTGCAGGTGCCATTATTGTCAAGTGAAGAAGAGTATTGCCTACAAGCTAGCGATACACCCGATTCTCGCAGGCGTCGCAGCGTTGAGACGTCGTTGTTCATCACAGCTTCGATTAACTGAGAGGACATGACCTAAAACACACGGTATTAACGGTTGTGGCTGCATAATAAAATCGGATTTACTGGATCCTCGGGGAATTGTGACGAAGACATGGTGATGAGTGTTTTCGAAAGCTAAATGGTCTTTGGTTTTTTCATGTTTCTAAACTTTCAAAGTAGGTTATGTTGTTAATTTTATTGACATTTATGACATGTGTGCCGAATGTTGGCGAAGTTGTGCGAGGTCTGGCTAGCAGTGGCGTAACGTCGATGTATTGAGAAGGAAGGCTGTGTTGAGGTATATTTCTTTCAAATCTACAAAAAAATAAAAATAAATTTGTTTGATAAAAAAATCGATGAAAAATAAAAAGGTGATCAGATATTGTTGGCCACCTCTACTCAGTGACATGAAAATCGTAGAACATTTGACGATTGGTTTTCTCAACATTTTCGTTTAATTAGTGACTTTCGGCACAGGTTTTGTTTTTGTCGGTGTAGAGAAGCTTAATTTTTCCCCAGATTTGACTTTTCCTTGCTCTTTTACAATTTACTATGGGAACTGGAGTTCCCTCTTTGGCTTCTTGTTTCATGAAATACATAACCCCTGCCATTATTTCTCTAGTTTTTGAAGTGAACATTCTCACTTGATTTAAATCCAAAAAGGACAGTAACGTACTAAAAATTGAAGGATTATTTTTTTTCAAAACACTTCTTAATTTGTAAGACAATTACAACACATTATATTTACCAAAAGAAAAAGAATACAAGTAAAATTGTCTTGAAAAAGACAGATTTCTTAAAAATGAAAGCAGTGAACAAGCACGAGACACAGGAAGATAAATGTAGACAAGAAGAAAAAGACGAGAGGACACAACAAAAGGAGAAGACGAGCAATGAGACGTTAACTTGTTTGGACAGTTTCTTTTATTTTCATTAGGATTGCTATTTCTTGAAAGTACAAATTAAACAACTTATATGCACAAGGTGTTTTTCCAGTGGAACATCTCTAATAATTTTTTAGAGAAAATGCCATTTAAACATCTGCCAAAATCAGTCTTAGTGGGTAGGCGGGGTTAATTATATGTTCTACTGTAGAGAACCTAGGCTTAAAAAAAGTGAAAAAAGCGTCAGTCGTAATTTTTTGTTGTACTATTTGCTATAAGATTTATTTTTTTATTTCAGAAGAAAAAAATTAGAGAACCGGTGGGTGAGAATTACTACGTTTAACTTTTTCCCAAGTTTTAAATTTAATTTTCTTACTTCATCTGGATGTTTTATTAATTCATTTAAAATCTGTGCATACATTTTTCACCGTTGAATGTTAGGTTTTGGATATTTAAATCGTTTTCTATGACATCACATTTGTGTACAAAATTTTCTGCAGATTTTCTTAATCCTGACCAATAAAAATATTTCTTGACGTTATTATACATTCGATTTATGCCTGCATGTTCTCCTGTCGGACGCATGTGAAAATTATTTAAAAATATTTGTCATATTTCTAGATCAACAATAATTTGAACATCATACAAATAAAACCTAAATTTTTTTCATAACAGTTTTCTAGATATTTGTTTTCAGTTCTGCCATTTTGAAAAATGGAAGATTGCAATTTTGCATATAACTTTTTAGTTACCTTGTCATAATACACGTGTACGAAATTAAACAATTTATATGTATACAGGGTGTTTTTCAAATAAAACACCTCTATTTTTTTAGAGAAAATGTCATTTAAAGATCTGCCAAAATCAGTCTTATCATAGCAGGTACTAACCCCGCCCACCCGCCCTCTTCTCATTGTAACGACAAATTTTATTTCTGGTCAGTATAAGATGCACCTTTCATTCAGAGCAGAGAAAATTAATCACTGAAATAGAGGCAGGGTGGGTGGGCGGGGCTAATTATATGTTCGTCTATAGAGTGAGGGTTGGTACTAAGAGAACCTAGGCTGTAAAAAAAGTGAAAAAAGCGCCAATCGTATTTTTTTCTTGTTGTACTATTTGCTATAAGATTTATTTCTTGTTGCAGAAGAAAAAAAAAATAGAATGGGGGGGGGGTGAGAATTATACGTTTAACTTTTTCCTAAGTTTTAAATTTAATTTTCTTACTTCATCTATATGTTTTATTAATTCATTTAAAATCTGTGTACACATTTTTCACCGTTGAATGTTGGGTTTTGCATATTTGAATCGTTGACTATGACATTCTTCACACTTGTGTAAAAACTCTCTACAGATTTTCTTAATCGTGACCAATAAAAATATTTCTTGACGTTATTGAATGTAGGGTTTTGGATATTTAAATCGTTCACTGTGACATTCTTCACATTTGTGTACAAAATTTTCTGCAGATTTTCTTAATCCTGACCAATAAAAATATTTCTTGACGTTATTATACATTCGATTTATGTTTGCATGTTCTCTTGTCGGACGCATGTGAAAATTATTTAAAAATATTTGTCTTGTAGATCAAATGATCAAGAATAATTTGAACATCGTACAAATAAAAACTAAAATTTTTTTCATTCAGAGTTTTCTAGATATTTGTTTTCAGTTCCGCCATTTTGAAAAATGGAGGATTGTAGTTTTGCATATAATTTTTTTAGTCGCCTTGCTTTAATACACGTGTAACAAATTGAACAATTTATGTGCACAGGGTGTTTTGTTCTAATAAAACACGTCTATTTTCTTAGAGAATATGTCATTTAAAAATCTGCCAAAATCTGTCTTATATTAGCAGTACTAAACCCGCCCACCCGCCCTCTTCTCATTGTAACGACAAATTTTATTTCAGGTCAGTATAAGATGCACCTTTCATTCAGAGCAGATAAAATTAATCACTGAAATAGAGGTGGGGTGGGTGGGCGGGGTTAATTATGTTCTTCTGTAGAGTGAGGGTGGGACTTAGGAGAACCTAGGCTTAAAAAAGTGGAAAAAGCGCCAATCGTAATTTTTGCTATAAGATTTATTTCTTATTTCAGAAGAAAAAAATTAGAGAATGGGTGGATGAGAATTACTACGTTTAGCTTTTTCCCAAGTTTTACATTTTATTTTCTTACTTCATCTGGATGTTTTATTAATTCACTAAAAATGTGTGCACACATTTTTCTCCGTTGAAAGTTTGGTTTTGAGTATTTAAATCGGCGACATTCGTCATACTTTATGTATACAGGGTGTTTTTCAAATAAAAAAAAGTTATTACGTGATTTTGCCGTTTGTTGGTATTTTCCGTTTTAAACAATTTTATTCCATATCATAATACGGCATTAACAAATCTTGAAATTCGCTTTCTATAACGTCAACGTTAATAAAATAGAAAACTGATATTTTATTAACGTTAACATGTTTTTAAATTTTAATCGCCGCTGCCACTGCTTTCACAACACCAAAACTGTTCTGCGCACTCCCCCCTTTCGTGGTGAAGTGAAACCTACTTTACCGATGTCGCGTTTTCAAAACAAAACAAGCAAAAAAAGTTTAATTAAAACATTTATTGAGTAAATACGTAAAACCACATGAATAACAGTATAACGAGTCCCAAAAGACGACTCCCGTAAACATTTAGTATAGCATGTGGTAGTCAATGTCACATGCTTAGTCTAACCCACTCTTAATAAATTAAAATAGAAATCACAATTATTTACTGGCTTCATGTGAAGTATGAGCAAGAATCCATGGATGTTTTAGAACTTCATTCAGTTCCAACCTGTCACTGGGATTTACCACTAAAAGTCTCTTAATCAGATCTTGGGCTCCTTCTGAAACATAGTGAGGAAACTTGTAGTATGCCTTACTGATATTTCTATAGAGCTCTTCATAAGCTGCCGACTCAAACGGTGGCTTTCCAGTCAAAAATTCAAAACATAAAACTCCTAAGCTCCATAAGTCAACCTTTTCATTGTGAGGTTTCCCAAGGACCATTTCTGGTGGCAGATAATCCAGAGTTCCACACAGAGTAGTCCTGCGTGAGGATGGAGCATGAACTGACCATCCGAAATCAGCAATTTTCATCTGACCATTGGCACAAAGTAACAAATTTTCAGGCTTAATGTCTCTATGAATCACTTTTTTAGTATGGCAGTAACTTAAAGCATCCGCTATTTGTCGAATATAACGCGCACTGATTTCTTCAGAGAAGCGCTTATCTGGACTCGCTTGGAGCGCCTTATAACAAGTACCTACAACACAAAGAATAAAAAGTCGGAATTTTAGTAACGAGTACCCACCATTTGGCGCATATTCAAGAATTATATACACTCGTTGTTCGTCGTGGAAGTAACCATACATCCTCAAAATATTATTGTGCCTGAGATGTGACTGGATTTCGATTTCCCTGCGGACTTGGTGCTCGATGTTGTACTCTTTAATTGCACTTTTGAACAAGACTTTCAGCGCCACAACGAACTTTGATTGCTTTTCGCGTGCTAGATACACGTTTCCGAATTTTCCTTTACCTAAAGGTTTGCCGATATCGAAGTCGGCTAGAGTCCAACGGCGTGAGTTGTTTCCGTCGTTGTTCGTAGTTGCTGTTTTTATGGGTTGTGCTGGAATGGTTGTTTCTGGATACTCTGTCGGTGGAGGCGTCACATGAGCGTTTTTGGCCAAATTGAGGTGTGTGGTGGTCTCCGCTAAGCCAGTCTTTTGAATCTGATGCACTTTCTTGATTTGGCATTTATTTGTTGTACTTTGAGGGTTGTGGGGCACATTTTCCTTATTGTGATTGACGACACCCGCACTAAGTTTTCTTTGGGACATGACTTCAACAACTTGGTTCGATAGTTTTGGATTTTCGCGAATAAATAAACTGCTGATGATAAATTACATTTAAAGACGTCACTTTTTGCGGCCAACGGTTTTTTGCACTGTTGCCAACCATGAACTGACGCGGAACTAACGGTAATTTATTGTTACCAATCCAAGGACGCAGCAAAATAATTAATTTTGCGCTCGCTGCTGACTAGTTTAAAGTAAAAAACATCACAAAATTGGATTAAAAATCACGATAAAAACACTTCCAGTGAGCTTAATCACGTTTCAATACCCCACGAAATTAAATTCTAGGGACTTTCATTCTCAACCGAAAAATTTTCAAGTTGGAAGTCATGCAAGGCAAGGCAAATTTAGGTTAGGTTTCAAGTTAACCTAAAAATAATTTTCACGATACCAAATGTTTTACAAATCGGGATAAAATGGCATTATTCACACGTTTGCATGGCTTCTGCGCTGTTGGAAGATGCCTCAGAGTTACTTTAATGAAGACTAACGGCTTCCACTCTTTATCAAAAATTCCTGATCGTAGCCCCCCAACCGGCACCCGCTCATTTTTCTTCAAGTTTTTAACAAGGCGTTCAAAACGAGATCTTATGGAAGCCGACGATGTTCCTGATGCTTTTGCGATGATTTATAGAAACACAATGAGTAATTATATTCTGGGGGCCCAGATTGTATCACTAGTGACTGGGGGTGTGATGTTGATGGCTCTGTTTTTTAAAAGTGAATATAGAAACCGGAAAGAAACCGTTGAGTGGAGTGCAACAGCTAAATCTTCAGAGAACGAAGAAATTGTCTATGTAACGATTTTCGCCGTGATTCTTGTATTAACACAAATGATGGTTTCCAGGACTCCTGTTAGGATATATAAAGTGCCTAGAACAAATAAATATATAGGTATAAATTATGGGCATTATTTTTTTGGAAAGGACAAGTTTAATTTTCATCTTGGAGAAATTTCCAAAGTGGAGTCAAGAAGCATTTTGCCGTGGAGCGAAAATAGATACATTATTCAGACAAAAACCGAAAGGAGACCAGTTCTTTTAGTGGAATATTTTTTTAGAAGACCGGCTGATTTGTATATCATGTTGGGTGAACAGAAAGATCCAGATTTACAAGAGGAAGAAGAAGTAAAGTAAGATCAACACTTAAAGCATTTTATTCTCAATAATTAACAAGAAGACAAGTTGTTAATATAATTTCTGTATATAATTTATTGCAATAAATGTAAAAATGATCGCAACAGTCTTAAGTCTAGACCGGTTTAGTCTTTAACATTGCTATACTATTAACGAGAAATGGATGACCTAAGTTTACATGGCGCCTCTTGCGGCAATAAACTCTAAAAATAACACTTTAATAAAATTATTTGGCTCAATACACGATAATATAAAAAAATGCATCCACACCTATTTGCATACTGATACAAAAAGTGAAGCCAAAACTGTTGATACAACAGAAGGACGTTCCGAAAATATAATTTATCTCATACAAAATAGATATCTCTTTTTTTTCTAAAATGATATGATTCAGAAGGTGTATAAATCTGTTTTGTTGATGATATGTATAAATATAAATGCCTGCAAAAGTCAATTAAAATATTGTAAAGTCTTTTAACAAATGTTTACTTGATATTGTCATGTTCTAATTTCTACGCGCTACAAGAAAGTCGCTTTGAAGTTCTATCACCACACGTTTTCTTGAACCTTAAATTATGGAGGACTTACGGAAGTTTGTTTTATGTTAATGTGAATAAGCAGTGAGGCTAATTCTAAATCCTCACTGAAGACGTTTCTCAGCCAGATGCTCCTATAACCCGTCCTCAAACACGTCACCTATAACACAAATTAAGTAATTAATTTGTAATAACTAGCGCCACCTATCCGAAAATTGAGGAACAACAACGCGAACTGTCATTTTCACAGAATAAAATATATGTACTCACGGGATAAGTAGCTTGGCCTATGAAATTTGGATCACCGAAAACATCTTCATCTTGAACCAAAAACCTTAATAGCGCAAAATACGGATTATACACTGGAAACTCGATTACTTCGTCCATCCACCTAGGATTGAATCCGTTATCGCCTGAAAAACAGCAGTTTTAATTTTTCGTTTCTTCATTTAATCGATTTTTCAACTTATCCGTCTCATTCGAATTTTACTGCTTTCACCGCGTTTATTTATATTGTGTTGCCTGAGAATTTTTATAACAGCAGTCACTTTTGAATTTTTAAAAATTCTTTAGTTTTCCACTTTTAAAATTTCTTAATTTTCCGATTTTTGTTATGTAATTTTTAGATTTCACAGTCTTTCGAATTTGTTTTAAATTTTTGTACTTTTGAATTTTTTATCTTATAATTTTTCTGTTTTAGTTAGTTGGTTTTCACTTTTTCGATTTTCCAATTTTTCGATTTCAAATTTTCTAGTTTTCAATTTGATGGATTTTCGAATTTTGGTTTTCTAACTCTTGTTCCTTCCAAAGGCAAACCTCAATTTTATCTTTTTACTTCTCGAGCATAAGCTAAGGAAGTATAGTAATCGAGCTCATAGGACGAATGGCCACTTTTATATTTTCTCGACGTTTCATGAGTACGAAAATAGTAATCTCCCGTTTCCGTCTGTCTGTCTGTCTGGTGTCTGTATCTATTTTTATTAAATTTTATTCCGAAACTACTGGACCGCTTGTTGTCAAATTTTCTATGTGTATTAGAAAATCATGTAGGTGGTTAAATGCTAACCAAAATTTTGCTTATCATCCCCACCAACAATTTGATGACGTCATTTCAAAGAATTCTATGTTTAAAACCTTCTCGGGGGCCCCGACTGGTTTCTGAAAATGTAAAACCTTCTCGGGAGCGCCAAATGTCTTTTTTATGAGAAACCTTCTCGGAGGTCCCAACTGTTTTTTTTTTAATATAAAACCGTCTTGGGGGCCCAAATGTATTTTTTTAAGAATGTGAAACCTTCTCGTGGGTCCCAAAAAGTCTTTTTTTTTAAATGGAGAACCTTCTCGGGGGTCTCGACTGTCTTTTTTAAAAGTGTAAAACCTTCTCGGAATCACCAATGTCTTTTTTTTTAATGGGAAACCTTGGAGGTCCCAACTGTTTTTTTTTTTTAATATAAAACCTTCCCGGGGGCCTTAAGAAACTTAAGCAATCCAATAATTCCGAAAATCGAAAATTCCAAAAATCTAGAAAATCCATAACACCAAAAAAACGAAAAAATAAAAAAAAATCCAAAAAATCCACAAGCAAAAAAGCCAAGAAACTTATGAAATCCAATAATTCTAAAAATCTAAAAATCGAATATTCCAAAAATAGAGAAAATCCAAAAAATCCCAAAAGAACAAAAAAATCGAAAAAATCCAAAAGCAAAAACCTCAAGAATTGCAAGAAACCTAAGAAATTTAAGAAATCCAATAATTCCAAAAATCCAAAAATTGAAAAAACCCAAAGAACCCAAAAAACCCAAGAAATGCAAGAAACCCAAGGAACTTAAGAAACTCTAAATATCCAATAATTCAAAAAATTCAAAAATCGAGAAAATCCAAAGAATCCAAAAAATTCAAAAACAAAAATCCCAAGAAATGCAAGAAACCCAAGAAACTCAAAAAATCCAATAATTCCAGAAACCAAAAGAAAAAAGATCGACAACATCCAAAAGCAAAAAACCCAAGAAATACATGAAACCCAAGAAATGCATGAAACCCAAGAAATTTAGGAAATCCAATAATTCCAAAAATCGAATATTCCCAAAAAATAGAAAAAACTCCAAAGAACCCAAAAAATCCATAACAAAAAAAAAAATCGAAAAAATCCAAAAGCAAAAACCAATAAACTTAAGAAATCCAATAATTTCAAAAATCGAGAAAAAAATCAAAGAATTTAAACAATCCAAAAAAATCGAAAAAATCCAGGAGACAAAGTAAAAAAACTCAAAAAACCCAATCACTCAAAAAAATCGAAAATATCACAAAAATACAAAAAAATCGAAAAAATAAAAATACCAAAAAGCCAAAACATGCAAGAAACCCAAAAATACTCAAGAAATCCAATAATCGAAAAAATCGAAGACATCCAAAAAATTTGAAAAATCCGTGAAACCTAAGAAACTAAAAAAAACTCAAGAAATCCAATACATAGTTCCATAAATTAAAAAATCGAAAATATCTCAAAAATCCAAAACATCCAAAAAATCAGAAAATAGAAATAGCAAAAAATAAAAATTATTTAAAAAAATCTAAAAAATTGAAGAAATTCAAAAATTAAAAAAAAAAAAACCCAAAAATGGGAAACCTTGGAGGTCCCCCCTATTTTTTTTTTTTTTTATTTTAAATATAAAACCTTCCCGGGGGCCCAAATCTATCTTTTTAATGTGAAACCTTCTCGGGGTCCCGAGTGTCTTTTTAAAAATGTAAAACCTTCTCGAGGGTCCCAACTGTCTTTTATAAAAATGTAAAATCTTCTCGGGACCGCCCAATGTTTCTTTTAGAATGTGAAACCTTCTAAGGGGTCCGACTATATTTTTTAAAAATGTAAAACGTCCTCGGGAGCGCCAAATGTCTTTTTTTTATGTGAAATCTTTTCGGGGGTCCCAACTGTCTTTTAAAAATATAACGCCTCGAGAACGCCAAATGTCTTTTTTTTATGTGAAACCTTCTCCGAGATCCAAATCTTTTTTTTTTTTAATACAAAACCTCGGGTCTCAACTGTCTTTTTTTAAGAATGTGAAACCTTAAGAAACTTAAGAAATCCAATAATTCCAAAAATCGAATATTTCAAAAATCTAGAAAATCCACAACAAAAAAAAAAAAATTGGTCTAAAGAGTTTAGACAGTACTTCCCTCGCTGTCGGAAACTTGACGTCTGCATGCCTATTGTGTTTTTTTCTCATTACATTTTTGTAGTGGGAATTTAAAAAAAAATTGTGATGACGTCATCAACATTTTTGCAAGGACACGTATATCAGTTGGGATAGATGTAGTGTAATACTAAGAATAAAATTATTGTATTCCCAAATTTTCGGGAAAATGAATTGGGTCGTTTTGAATATTGATTTCTTATAATCAATAAAATAACGAAACAATTTACTCACGTATACGGCGCCGGTGTGTAATATCTAGAGAGCGGATTTCTGTCGGGCTAGGCAAGGCCAAACTCGGTATGGCTCGTACGGGATGCGAATTCATTGCGGTTGCGGACTGCACTTCGTTTATTTGAGATTAGAATAACGCTGTTTCGTTGCACTCTGCTGTTAATTCCCGTTTTCATTTACTTAGCCGTTTGATTAATAAATCGTTAATTATATTTATGGAATTAGTACTGATTAAATTCAGTGATTATCTATCACCCGCTACTGAGTCCCGGCGATCCAGCGCGTCCCCACCTATTATCGTGACGTATCCCGACAAAAAGCCGCTGTCTAGTAATATGAAAGGCAACTGAAAATCGTTTATGTATAAACATTCTTAATTAAAGATGACAAGCGTAACAGCATACGTGAGAGTCAAACAGAGAAACTGTAAACGAAACGACCATCGGTTTTATTGCTTCGACTTCCGCTTATTATATAAAACATTGGGTTTTATTTTAATTCTTGACGGTGAAATTCACAATTGGTTGATTATAAACATGTCTATTTCACATTCGCGGAACCAAGTGAGCGCATAAAACAAATGCAGGTCTGTAATGTTAAAGTCGATGTAAATAAGCGTGCTACCCTTATGTTTCAACCGAGTTTTTCCTTTAACAAATTTTGTGTCTACCAAATTGGGTTGGTTGGGGTGTAATACTAATAATAAGTGTTGCCTTTAATTTAATCAATAAAATAAATTGACTTCATTAATTTTTTTGAACCACCTCTTAAGAAAATCTAAAAAATATGAATGGAATGATATATCACAAGTACAAACTCATCATATTTTTTGCATTTTAGATAGGATTTATTCAGCAAAATTTAAGGGTGACGTCATCAGTTTTTTTAGGAGGGATGAACAAATACATTTTGAACAAAAGTTTACCATGCTTATAATAACTTTAAAATATTCCCAAGATTTCAAAGCATTCGGTTTTGTAATTCCTGATTAAATCGATAAAATAAATTCACGCCTTCATTAATTTTTTTGAGTCACCCTGCATATGCAAATCCAAAAAATATTAATGGAGTGATAGATCACAAGTACAGACTGATCATATTTTGTACATTTTAGATATGATTTATTCGGCAAATTTTCGAGCTGACGTCATCAAGTTTTTGGAGGGGATAAGCAAATATATTTTGACTAAACATTTATTATGCTCTTTATAACATTAAAACATCTGCAAGATGTCAGAGCATTCCGTTTTGTAGTTCCTGATTAAATCAATAAAATATATTTACGCATTCATTAATTTTTTTGAGTCACTCTGTATATGCAAATCCAAAAAATATGAATGGAGTGATAAATGACAAGTACAGGCTCATCATATTTTGTACATTTTAGATATGATTTATTCGGCAAACTTTCGAGCTGACGTCATCAAGTTTTTGGAGGGGATAAGCAAATATATTTTGACTAAACATTTATTATGCTCTTTATAACCTTAAAACATCTGCAAGATGTCAGAGCATTCCGTTTTGTAGTTCCTGATTAAATCAATAAAATATATTTGCGCATTCATTAATTTTTTTGAGTCACTCTGTATATGCAAATCCAAAAAATATGAATGGAGTGATAAATGACAAGTACAGGCTCATCATATTTTGTACATTTTAGATATGATTTATTCGGCAAACTTTCGAGCTGACGTCATCAAGTTTTTGAAGGGGATAAGCAAATATATTTTGACTAAACATTTATTATGCTCTTTATGACCTTAAAACATCTGCAAGATGTCAGAGCATTCGGTTTTGTAGTTCCTGATTAAATCAATAAAATATATTTACGCATTCATTAATTTTTTTGAGTCACCCTGTATATGCAAATCCAAAAAATATGAATGGAGTGATAGATCACAAGTACAGACTCATCATATTTTGTACATTTTAGATATGATTTATTCCACAAACTTTTGAGCTGACGTCATCAAGTTTTTGGAGGGGATAAGCAAATATTTTTTGACTAAAGATTTATGATGCTCTTTATAGCCTTAAAACATCTGCAACATTTCAAAGCATTCTGGTTAGCAGATTAAAAATTAAATTTCAAAATGTTGTTTTATAATTTTGATTTTTTTTCCAAAAATCTGGACGTTTCGGGTGAAAAGTCGATTCAGAGTTGTAAACTACATGTGTAGGACTATGTTATTTTATACAATTGAAAACCCATTTACTATGTACAATTTTGAAGTGACGTCATCGCTTTAGTGGTGGGGATGATTAGACAAATTTTGGTTAGCGTTTTACCATCTACATGATATTCTTAATATAAGTACAAAATTTCACAACAATCGGTCGAGTACTTTCGGAGATTATCTGTCTAATAAAAATCCGGGACAACAGACGGACAGACGGACAGACGGACAGACAGACGGAAATGGGAGACCTATTTCTTCGTCTTCTAGGGGTCATGAAAGATCGAGAAAACGTAAAAGTAGAGAGTCGGCCGACGGACTCGATTACAATACTTCCTTTGCTTACGCTCGGGAAGTAAAAACGAAAAAATTAAAAAAAAATCCAAAAAATCTACAAGCAAAAAAGCCAAGAAACTTAAGAAATCCAATAATTCCAAAAATCTAAAAATAGAATATTCCAAAAATAGAGAAAATCCAAAGAATCCAAAAAATCCCAAAACGACAAAAAAAAAATCGAAAAAATCTAAAAGCAAAAAGCTCAAGAATTGCAATAAACCTAAGAAACTTAAGAAATCCAATAATTCCAAAAATCCAAAAATTGAGAAAACCCAAAGAATCCAAAAAACCTAAGAAATGCAAGAAACCCAAGAAACTTAAGAAACTCTAAATATCCAATAATTCCAAAAATTCAAAAATCGAATATTCCAAAAATCGAGAAAATCCAAAGAATCCATAAAATTCAAAAACTAAAAACCCAAGAAATGCAAGAAACTCAAGAAATCCAATAATTCCAAAAACCAAAAGAAAAAAGATCGAAAACATCCAAAAGCAAAAAACCCAAGAAATACATGAAACCCAAGAAATGCATGAAACCCAAGAAATTTAGGAAATCCAATAATTCCAAAAATCGAATATTCCAAAAATACAAAAAACTCCAAAGAACACAAAAATCCATAACAAAAAAATTAAAAAAAAAAAAACAAAAAAAAATCGAAAAAAAAAACAGCAAAAACCCCATCCCAAGAAACTTAAGAAATCCAATAATAAAAGAAATAAAAAAACTGTTTTGCTTGCAATTATTAAATCAAGTTTGATGTCTTACCAAGATGTCAAAGGCGCTCGATAAATCAATTTCTTTTTTGTAAAAAAAATCTAAGAAATACTAAAAAATCCAAAAGAACCCAAAAAGCAAAAAAATCCTCGAAATAAAAAAAAGCAATCCAAAAAATCATCTAAAAAATTGAATGAATAAAAAAACAAACTAGAAAATCCAAAGTATCAAAGAAACCAAACAAAACATCCAAGAAAATAAAAAAACCCGAAAAAAAATTAAATTAAAAAGATTAATAAAAAACGAAAAAATCCAAAAAACCCAAGTAGTACAAAAACCTTAAGAAATTCAAGAAGCCTCCAAAAAATGGAAAAATTGAATCCAAAAAATAAAAAAAAAATAAAAAAATCCAAACAATCCACAAATCCCAAAAACCCTAAGAAGCTCAAAATATCCAATAATTAAAAAATGGAAAAAATCCAAAAGAACGAAAAAAATCGACAAAATTCAAAAGCAAAAGCCCAAGAAATGCAAGAAACCCAAGGAATTCAAGAAATCCAATCATTTCAAAAATCGAATATTCTAAAAATCGAGAAAATGCATAACACCAAAAAATCAGAAAATAGAAATAGCAAAAAATAAAAATTATTAAAAACAAAAATCTAAAAAATTGAAGAAATTTAAAAATTAAAAAAAAAACAAAACCCAAAAATGGGAAACCTTGGAGGTCCCAACTGTTTTTTTTGTATTTTTAATATAAAACCTTCCCGGGGACCCAAACCTCTTTTTTTAATGTGAAACCTTCTCGAGGGTCCCAACTGTCTTTTATAAAAATGTAAAACCTCTTCAGGAGCGCTAAATGTCTTTTTTTTAAGTGAAACCTTTTCCGAGGTGCCAATATATATTTTTTTTTATATAAAACCTCGGGGGCCAAATGTATTTTTTTAAGAATGCGAAATCTTCTCGTGGGTCCCAATTGTCTTTTTTTTTAACGTAAAACCTTCTCGGGGGCACCAAAAATGTTTTTTTCTTTAAATGTGAAACCTTCTCGGGGGCAACAAGTGTCTTTTTTTAATAATATTAGATCTTCCAGGGGCTCCCAATTGTCTTTTTTAAGAAGGTGAAACCTTCATTTTTCTGTAACACTGTGACCAGTACCTTCTATATTGTTTTTACTCCATAGAAGTTATCACGAAAAAGTAAAATTCCGCAAAATCAAATTTTATATTTTTTCAGAGAAGCAGTATTTGTTGGGCTGTGTTCGACCAATTTTTTCAACACAAATCGCTTATGGGTGAATTACGGACAGTCTACATATTAAACGGCATCAGTTTTGCCTGTCTGTGGTGTGTTGCTAATTATGGGAACAGCGAATACCCACATACCAAGATAAGAATAACAATAACTTTTCACATATATTTTTATAATACTAAAAAAAAAAAAAAAATTATTGGCCAGAAATGTATCTTTCAGAAATAATAAAAATAATAATAGGGTGCAAATTGATTGCTGGGGCATTGCCTCACCTGCCTCATAAGACAAGTCGCCCCTGATTACTCAATAATAAAAAACGACTTTCAAATTTCGTAATGCGTTACTATTCCCATTCGAACTCTTCAAAAACTCACCAATCGGTTTTGTGGTCAACTTAACCCCCGAATCAAACGGTGCCCCAATAACTTCGACCTCCACAAACGGACTCGCAGTTCCCCTCCTCGGCCTGCACAAGTGCCTCGCCGCTATAATCCTCAAAGTAACAGTCCAGGGTTCCACTCCCACCAACGTATTCTTATCAGCCGGATCAAACTCATCCCTGAACATAAAATCGGGCCTCAACAAATACCCACAATTTCCGTTGTCCCTAAACTTCGCTTGATTCAACTGCATGGGTTTGTCGCCGGTCTGATAATTAAGGGCCACCATTTGCGAGCCCATGTTCCATATGTTAATGGGGTTATAGTTCGACGAGTCCACGCGCTGGCCCTTAGGGTACACCCGTGAGAATTGAAGTTGATGGTACTTGACGAAAAACTTCTTCTCTTGGTGACAGATCAACTTTTCGGCTTTGGTTTCGGGGAAGGATGACATTTCGTAGAATATGAAGTTCTGCTGGCGGGCTCTGTCCATGTTGAACGTTATGGAACGGCAGTAGATAATCAAATTGGACATTTCCTTGGCGATGCGGAAGGTGCGCTCCATTTCGCGGTGTTGGTTTTCGAGGGCGCATGCGCGTTGGGCTACTTCTTTAATGTACATTAACCATTCTAGAGCCTGCGGGAATTACAACATAAGTAGTGTCCAGTAAGCAAAAATACAAAACTATCTGCATTATTAGATAATTAGTGGTTAATTTTGTGAACACTCATGCAGCTCACAGACATTTAATCAAGATTTTTCTTTAATATTGTATCTACATATAAAATAACTGTTTTCTTTAACGGGCCTTACCAAATCGCGCGTTTGGACTGCGACCTCCAACGGTGTACAAGCCGTCGAAGTCACTATCTTCAACACCCATTCAAGGCCTGGACGTTCTGGATTATGGAACAAGTCTACAACAGCACCATTCATGTCGAGTTGTCCTTGCAGCATTGATTCTCCCGACTTTGGTTGTTAAAACAATAAAATAAAAAATAAATTATTCTGGTACTACCACGTAGTCGGAAAAAAATGGCGTTTTTACTTATATTAACGTCATTTTTTGAGGACGATTGAATAGTGAATACACACCCCATCGTCGCTGCCGTCTTGAGAATCCATTCGGTCCAATTCCATGACGTAGTTGGCAGGGAAGAAATGTTGTTTCATCCCTCCGTAGTCGCCTCGCCACCAACCCGCACTGTTTTCTGGTTTGGTAACGTTGGTAATAATCGCATGTTTGCAAAAAGAGAGTTCGTCGGGTTGTTGGGCTCGGTAGTCGTAGAGAGCTTTGACGGTGATTTTTGGAGGGGTGAAAGCACTGGGGTCCATGTATGAGGGCGTACTGTTGTAACCGACAGCGTCGTCTTGTTCCTAATTGTCACGAATAATAAAGAGGTTAGTCGTTGTAGAAGACATGTTAAAAAAATAGAATGACTAGGTAACTTATAACTTAAATTCTTATTATTACTTATGCTGTGTTGTCAAAATACACTTTTCATTTAAATTTAACTCATACCAAAAATGCACCGGCTGATACCACAATTAACAATTTTAAAAGTTTATTTATACAACCCAGTGAAGTAGTGTTATATACGTTTTACAATAAATTGCTCCCCAATATAGTCTATTTTTGTGTATTTCTGTCTAAAATTTCAAAAAATAAAAAAAAAACATATTAAAGTGTCTGTGGGTATGCAACCGAAAATACACCAATTGTGAACTACACAGCTGACAGTTCTGGTATTCCATTAGTGTAAATTACTGAGGTTTTAGGGAATTCGTTACGAATTAAATGTATAAAGTTATGAAAAAACCTTTGACTTACTGCACAATACTTAATTTCTAGAGGAATGAATAAATAAAAAAAATCTGTTTTGCTTGCAATTATTAAATAGGTTTGATGTCTTATCAAGATGTCAAAGGCGCTCAGAAAATCAATTTCTATTTTGTAAAAAAAAATAAAAAAACTACCAAAAAATCCAAAGAACCCAAGAAATGCCAGAAATCCTCAAAACTAAAAAAACCCAACAATCCAAAAAATCATCTAAAAAATTGAATGAATAAAAAAACAAAAACATCTAAAAAACTAACTCCACCCCAACGAAGAAATGCAAAAAAAAACAAGAAATCCAATGATTTCGATAATTCCAAAAATCCCAATATCAAATATATCAAAAAAAAAATGTTTTTAATCCAAAATACATCTAACAAAACCAAACAAAACATCCAAGAAAATAAAAACGAAAAAACAAAAAAATAAAAAAATCTACAAATCCAAACAATCTACAAATCCTCAAAAAATCCGATAATACCAAAAATTCAAAAATCGAATATTCCAAAAATCTAGAAAATCCAAAGAATTCAAAAAAATTCATAACCTCAAAAATTCGAAAAAATCCAAAAGAACGAAAAGAATCGAAAAAATCCAAAAGCAATAAACCCAAGAAACTTAAGAAATCCAATAATTCCAAAGAATCCAAAAAATCAATAACATCAAAAAATTGCAAAAATCCAAAAAATCCAAAAGAACGAAAAAATCGAAAAAATCCAAAAGAATAAAAAAAAAAACGAAAAAAATCCAAAAGCAAAAAACCCAAGAAATGTTAGAAACTAAGAAACTTAAGAAATCCGATAATTCCAAAAATCATATATTCCAAAAATCAAGAAAACCCAAAGAATCCAAAAAAACCCAAAGGCAAAAGACCCAAGAAATGCAAGAAATCCAAGAAACTTGACGAAATCCAATAATCCAAAAAAATCGAAACTACGAAATTAAAAAAAACCGAAGAATTTAAACAATCGAAAAAATCCAAGTCTGAAACTAAGAAAATTCAAAAAACCAAAAATACAAAAAATCGAAGACATCCAAAAAAATTAAAGAACTCAAAAGAATTTAAAAAATCCACAAAAATCTAAAATCCAATAATTCCAAAAATTAAAACCCTAATCATTCCAAAAATTCAAAAAACGAAAAATTTCGCAAAAAAAAAATAAAAAATAAAAAAGCAAAAAATCCAAAACATGCAAGAAACCCAAAAATACTCAAGAAATCCAATAATCCAGAAAATCGAAGAAATCCAAAAAATTTTAAAAACTCAAAAGAAAAATCAATGAAACCTAAGAAACTAAAAAAACTCAAGAGATCCAATAATTCTGAAAAATTAAAAAAATCGAAAATATCCCAAAAATCCAAAAAAATCAGAAAATAAAAATAGCAAAAAAAATATCAAAAAAAAAATCTAAAAAATCCAAACAATCCACAAAATCCAAAAAATCCTTAACATCAAAAAATCGAAAAAATCCGAAAGAGCAAACAAAAAATCCAAACGCAAAAAATACAAGAAATACAAGAAACTCAAGACGCTTAAGAAATTCAATAATTTCAAAATCCAAAAATCGAATGTCCCAAAAATCGAGAAAATCCAAAGAATTCAAAAAATCCAGAACATCAAAAAATCCGAAAGAACGAAAAAAAAAATCTAAAAGCAAACAACCCAAAAAATACAAGAAACTTAAGAAATCCAATAATTAAAAAAATCGAGAAAATCCAAAGAATCCAAAAAATCCATAACATTAAAAAATAAAAAAAAAATAAAAAGCAAAAAACCCAAGATATGCAATAAACCCAAGAAACTTAAGAAATCTAATAATTGCAAAGAATCCAAAAGAACAAAAAAATCGAAAAAATCGAAAAAAAAAACGAAAAAAAAATCGAAAAAACCAAAAACAAAAAACTCAAGAAATGCGGGAACTTAAGAAATCCGATAATTTCAAAAATCGAGAAAACCCAAAGAATCCAACAAACCCAAAAGCAAAAGACCCAAGAAATCCAAGAATCTTAAGAAATCCAACAATCCAAAAAATCTGAACTATGATATTAAAAAAAAAAATCAAAGAATTTAAACAATCCAAAAAAATCGAAAATATCCAAGAAACTAACAAATTAAAAAAACTAAAAAAAAAACTCAAAAAAAACAAAAATCAAAAAAATCGATAAAATCGAAGACATCTAAAAAAATTAAAACACTCAAAAGAATTTAAAAATTCAAAAAAATCTAAAAAATCCATGAAACCTAAGAAACTAGAAAAATCCAAATACTTCCAAAAATAAAAAAATCGAATATTCCAAAAATTGAGAAAAGCCAAAGAATCCAAAAAACCCAAAAGCAAAAACTCAAGAAGTGCAAGAATCCCAAGAAACTTAAGAAATCCAATAATCCAAAAATCGAAACTGATTTTTTTTTATCAAAAAATTTATGCAATTCAAGAAAATCTAAAAAATCCAAGAAACCTAAGAAACTAAATAAAACTCAAATAACCCAATCATTCCAGAAATCCAAAAAACGAAAAATTTCGCAAAAATCCAGAAAAAAAAATGAAAAAATAAAAAAAACAAAAATCCAAAACATGCAAGAAACCCAAAAATACTCAAGAAATCCAATAATCCAAATAAATCGAAGACATTCAAAAAATTTAAAAAACTCAAAAGAATTTAATAAATCTAAAAAAATCTAAAAAATCAATGAAACCTAAGAAACTAAAAAAACTCAAGAAATCCAATAATTCCGATAAATTGAAAAAATCGAAAATATCCCAAAAATCGAAAACATCCAAAAAATCTAAATATAAAAATGGCAAAAAAAATCAAAAAAATCTAAAAAATCCAAACAATCCACAAAACTCAAAAAATGCAATAATTCCAAAAATTCAAAAATCGAGAAAATCCTGAGAATCCAAAAAATCCATAACATCAAAAAATCGAAAAAATCCGGAAGAACGAAAAAAAAATCGAAAAAATCCAAAAGCAAAAAACCCAAGAAATGCATGAAACCTAAGAAAATTAAGAAATCCAATAATTTCAAAAATCCAAAAATCGAGGAAAGCCAAAGAATTCAAAAAATCCATAACACCAAAAAATCCAAACGAACGAAAAAATCGAAAAAATTCAAAAGCAAAAACCCAAGAAACTTAAGAAATCCAATCATTTCCAAAATGCAAAAATTGAGAAAACCCAAAGAATCCAAAAACCCAAAAGCAAAAACCCAAGAAACTTTTGAAATCCAAAAAATCGAAAATATCGCAAAAAATAAAAAAAAATCGAAAAATTAAAAAAGGAAAAAAGCCAAAACATGCAAGAAACTAGAGATGTACCGACTGTAGGTCTGGCCGACTAACCGACTAGCCGATTGTTCGGCCAGTAAAAACCGACTAGTCGGCCGACTGTTCGGCTTTGCTAAAACCGGTTTATAAATGCGACAACCCGGGTGTTTTTTTTTTCTATTTCTCTGACTACCTGTAGGTCTGGCCGACTAACCGACTAGCCGATTGTTCGGCCAGTAAAAACCGACTAGTCGGCCGACTGTTCGGCTTTGCTAAAACCGGTTTATAAATGCGACAGACAGTGTGTTTTTTTTTCTATTTCTCTGACTACCTTGAAAATTTGTTTTATTTTAATAAAAGGAATAACTAAAGTTCCTTTGTTTTCCAAAAAATGTGTTAAATTTGTTTGGATAATTTTAACATTTAATTTTTTTTAGTAACTCAGTACAAAAATAAAAAATAACACAATTTAGGGCCAGTTTATATAATATTTTAACTGAGATTAAGTTGATCGCACATTTAACAAGGCCATTAGCGACGTCTGATTGGCGTAGAGTCGGTCACATGGTACTTCAAAGCGGGGTTAAAAATTAAATCGCAATTAAATATTTAATTGAGGTTCTGTAAACCAGGTTTAATTGTTTTATATACTATTTTAATTTTAATAAAAAAAGCCGACCGATCGGTTGTTTAGCCGACCAGTCGCCGACTGCAGCCGACGATGAAAAATGGCCGAATAGTCGGCTTATCCGACCGGTCGGCCACTAGTCGGTACATCCCTAATTTGTTCTATTTTAATAAAAGGAATAACTAAAGTTCCTTTGTTTTCCAAAAAATATGTTAAATTTTTTTGGATAATTTTAACATTTAATTTCTTTCAGTAACTCAGTACAAAAATAAAGAATAACACAATTTAGGGCCAGTTTATACAATATTTTAACTGAGATTAAGTTGATCGCGCATTTAACAAGGCCATTAGCGACGTCTGATTGGCGTAGAGTCGGTCACATGGTACTTTAACGCAGGGTTAAAAATTAAATCGCTATTAAATATTTAATTGAGGTTCTGTAAACCGGGTTTAATTGTTTTATATACTATTTTAATTTTAATAAAAAAAGCCGACCGATCGGCTGTTTAGCCGACTAGTCGCCGACTGCAGCCGACGATGAAAAACGGCCGAATAGTCGGCTTATCCGACCGGTCGGCCACTAGTCGGTACATCCCTACAAGAAACCCAAAAGTACTCAAGAAATCCAACAATCCAAAAAATCGAAGACATCCAAAAAATTTAAAGAAACTCAAAAGAATTTAAAAAATCCATGAAACCTAAGAAACTAAAAAACTCAAGAAATCCAATAATTGCAAAAATTAAAAAAATCGAAAATATTCCAAAAAATCCCAAACATCCAAAAAATTGAAAACAGAAATAGCAAAAAATAAAAATTAAAAAATAAATCTGAAAAATGGAAACAATCCACAAAACCAAAAAAAAAACCAAAGAAATCCAAAAAACCCAAGCAACTCAAGAAATCCGGTAGTTTCAAAAATCCAAAAAAATCGAATATCAAATATCTAAAAAAATCCAGAAAATACAAAAAATGAAAAAACCAAAAGCCTAAAATTCCAAACTTGCAAAAAACTGAAAACATTAAAAAATCCAAGAAACCAAATAAATAAATGAATAAATAAATCCTATTTAATTCCCTGTTTAAATCCGAAGAAATAAGTTAGTTCTTCTGGAGTAAATACAACCAATAAAAGAAAGTGCAAAGATGTAAATATCAAAAACAAACGGTAAGACATAAAATGTTGTGTGTACCAAGTGTATTACATGAAGTTTATGCGCTTTCAAGGGCCAAAGTTTAGAGATAATACATAAGTTTCTTGATACATAAATAACCATTAAGTATACATAAATTTTCACAGTTATCAATCAGTCCAGTAGTTAAAGAAAAAAAAAAACATGAAATTAGAGTTTGTCAGAATGATCCTGTTATTCTTCTTTATTTTATGCTCGGAAAATAAAAAACATTTTTGAAGTAACTAAACAATACCGTAACTTTAAAAAATCATTTTGTGAAGTAATCAAATCTACGCTTAAAAAATCCAAAGTGGCCCCGCCCACCCACCCCGATTTCGTTTTAACCATTTTAGTGGACGAAAAGTGGATTTTATATTGGCAAATAGTCATCGACTATTTGGAAGGAACAAATATATTAATTTTGGTATACATGATCATTAATTACAATATTACTGTATTCTATTAGTAGAAACACTAACAAGCAAAACCAGACTCTAATGTGCAGTCAGTGCGTGGTAATTTCAAAGTCAAACTGTAAAATGTTGACATAAACACTGTTTTTTTCTAAAAATCTGGATCTTTACGATAAAAAATTAAGACGGATTCATAAAGTACAAGTGTAGGAATTACTTTATGAAATTAAATAACATGTATTTTTTTATACTATGCAGAATTTTGAGGTGACGTCATCACACTGTTGATGAGAATGATCCGGCAAAGTTTGGTTAGCGTTTTACCATCTAGAACATATTCCTAACACACATTTTGACAAAATTACCGATGTAATAAAAATCGACACACGTCAGTCGAACCGGGGATCTACTTTTTTGTACTCTAGGGGTCATGAAACGTCGAAAAAATATGCCCGGGAAGTACACGAACAAATAACATATACATATTAGAACTTATTCAGCAAAATTTTGAGATGACGTCATCAAGTTTGGGGGGAGGGGATTAACAAATCAATTTTGGTTAATTACGATAACCTTAAAACGTTTGCAAGATTTCAATTCGATTTTGCAGTTTTTAGGTTAAATCGTAAAATGTTGTCATATATTTTTTATTTTTTCCCAAAAATATGTAAAAAGCGGGTTCGTAAACGACACGTATAGAAATGCTAGAAAATAAAATTTATTTATTTTAATTGGCTTTTAATATCCAAAATTTTGGGATAACATCATCAAATTGTTTTATATACATATATAAAAAAAATTGTATTTGATGTACTTCATACAGCAATAAAATCACAGCCTAAAAGCATTAAACTTCACAGAAAATAATAGTCAATATCAGTAAATTAGTTCGGTAAAAAAGCTGTTTTCTAGTAATCTCATCGAATAATATGCATCACATTTCCCCCCTTTTCTAGCCATTTTTATCTACCATTAAACTTTACGACACAATATCCCTCTTCCTGTAAACTCCTTCAACAATACCTAGTTAGATAAAAAAAAGCGTTAAACAACCGAAAATGGAATCATTATCACAAAATCAGCATAACAATGGCACCCCCTTCCCGCATTACAATTAAAATATTCAACACAGCGAGCGCCTTAATAACCCGCCAACATAAATAATTTATAATCCACCTAAACCGGAACAAATCCGTGAGAAACCGTCGAAAAAAAACCCAAACCGGCCCACCCCGTACATCACCATTAACGCACCTCGTCTCCATATCTCTCTCGGACAGCACTAAAGAATTTTTTACTTCCACTCAATCAAAAAGGAAAAAATTATCTGTAAAACGAAACATTCCGAGTTCCTCGACCCACTGACTCACGTAACGCAACACGAAGAAAACTACTTTTAGAATAATCCGATAATTAAAGGGCGACGGACGCAGCGCGTATCAAAAGAACCTGTTCGGAGGCGACCTGTTTCTCGTATTAACCCTTCAGAGGCGAGAGAGACGGAAGTGATATGGGGAAACAGAGACGGGAGATCTGCATTCCAAACGAACGAGGGTTCAAAAACGACGAAGGGAGTCACAGACAGTGATTTTTCGGTTTCATTGTCAAGTGCAAGGTGCTGGAAGCAACAGGTTGGAGGTGCCAGCTGTCAGAATGATCAAGAGGGATCTGTGATTTGTTGCAGAATGGATAGGATTTTCTCGCGAACGCTGGTAAGTTCTTTATACGCTTTTTTTTTGTTTAGTTTTTGTTTTTTGTGTGTAGTCCTCGTGATGTTTATGGTGACTTTTAAAAACAACAAAAAATTAATATTTTGTGGCTTGATTAACCAATAAAAAAAATGTCACCCACAAGTCAATCGAACCAGTAATCTCCGCATTAGTAATTCAACATTTTTGAGGCACGCCCACGGAGTGCTTCTATACTTGTATAAAATATGATGACCTGACTTAGATTTTGTTTGCTAAAAAAGCAGATTCATAAACTACAAGTATAGGAGTAAGTTATTTTAAAAAATTTAAATAGCAATTACTAAAAAAAATTGAGGGGACGTCATCAAATTGTTGGTGGGGATAATTAGCCAAATTCGAGTTTTACTATGTACACGATATTCGTAACATACTAAAAATTGTAAACTCAAAAAATAGCAAAATCGAAGAAATGAAAAATTCAAAATTTGGAAAGTCGAAAAGACTTTAAAAATAACCCTACTGCGATTTTTTTGTGGACTCTTCCATTGCCAAAAAAATTCAAGAAAATTGAAATAAGGTGGCGAGGTCGCACCGGAATTCCAAAAGTAAACTGTAAAGCCTAAGAACAGATTCATTTAAAAAAAACAAGTTGTGTTACTCGTTAAAAACAGAACACTCTGTATAGTTAAAAATAATATTAAAGTATAATCCATTCAACTTTGGTCTTTGACGTTTTCTTCTATTTTAATAATTAATGACATATCGAGGACCGCTCGCTTAGTGACTCACCTGTATATAACCAAAAATTGCAAAATCGAAGAAGCGAAAACTCGAAAATTGCAATCGAAAATTTGAAAAAACAAAAATTGGAATATCGGAAAATTAAAAACTGAGAAAGTGAAAACCCGAAAAAATGACTTAAAAACGGGAAATTTAAAAAACTAAAAATTGCATGTCGAAAAATTGAAAAATTCGAAAGTTAAAAACCACAAATTAGAACAGAAAACTCGAAAAATAGCAAATCGCATTTTTGATAAATTTAATTTAAAATTGGAAACTCGAAAAATTGAAAAAATCAAAAATTAAAATACCTAAAAAATAAAGGCTGAAAGTTCTAAATATCTGATATTCGAAACATGTATTTAGGTGCGCTATAGTGTATTTTCTGCTATTTTGTTTATTAATCAGATTTTTTCCTATATGGACCTATCCGTTGGAAAGTAAACCCAATATTATTATTATCAAAACGAAAAATTGAAAAACTTCAAATTTAAAAACGAGAAACTGCAAAATCGCACTGTTGAAAAAACGAAAAATTAAAATATCTAAAAATTGCAAAAACGAAAAATTCGAAAATAAAATAACTATTGAAAAGTAGGTAAAATCTAAAATCTGAAGAACATTTTATTCCTTATTCCTGCATCTTATTTTATTTTTTGTTCTCTTTCTTTTTTGCTGAGTATTTTCTATATTAAAAGTTGATTGTTTCTCCGATTTTTTACTTTATTAAGACACATCAACATACATATTAGAAGAATACGGAAAATTGAGAAACCAAAAAAAAAATCGGAAAAGTGACGAATCCAAAAATTAAAAATTCGAAAAAATGAATCAGAAAACCGAAATGGAAAAAAATTGAGTAATCAAAAAATTGAAAAACTAAAAAATAAAAAAAACGGGGAATTGATGAATTGAACAATTGATACATAGAAAAATTGAAAAATCGCAAAAATTAAGAAATCTAAAAATTGAAAAATCGGAAAAATGAAAAATCCCAAAACTGAAATATGTATCTAAAAGTTGAAAAATCAAAAAATGAAGAAGTTAATAAAGAAAAATCGTACAGCTGAAATATCAAAAATTTGAGAAACCGAAAAATTAAAAAATCGAAAAATCCAAAAATTGAAAAACTGAAAAATAAAAAAAAAACGAGTAATTGGACAATTGATACATAGAAAAATTGGGAAACCGGAAAATTGAAATATTGGGAAACTGAAACATGAAAAAATCGAGCAATCGAAAAATCCAAATATGGAAGAATGGAAAAACTGAAAAAACGAAGAATTTAAAAAATGAAAAATCGTACAATTGAAATATCGGAAAATTGAGAAACCGAAAAATGAAAAAATTGGAAAATTGACAAACCGAAAAATTAAAAAATCGAAAAATTGAAGAATCAAAAAACCGAAATAAAGAAAAATTGAGTAATCAAAAAATTGAAAATTTGGAAAATCAAAAAAACGAGAAATTGAACAATTGAAACATAGAAAAATTGAAATCGTGAAATCGGAACATTAAAAAATCCCAAAACTGAAATATCGAAAAGTTGGGAAATCGAAAAATTGAAATATGTATTGGGAAACTGAAACATGAAAATACCGAGAAATTGAAAAATTGGAAAAGTAAAAAATGAAACAGATCAAGAAATCGAAAAGTCAAAAAATCGAAATATCGAAGAATGGAAAAATTGAAAAATCGAAAAAATAAAAAATCGTAGAACTACAATAGCCGAAAATTGAGAAACGGAAAAACTAAAAAATCGAAAAATCCAAAAATTGAAAAACTGAAAAATCAAAAAAAAACGAGTAATTGGACAATTGATACATAGAAAAATTGGGAAACCGGAAAATTGAAATATTGGGAAACTGAAACATGAAAAAATCGAGCAATCGAAAAATCCAAATATGGAAGAATGGAAAAACTGAAAAAACGAAGAATTTAAAAAATGAAAAATCGTACAATTGAAATATCGGAAAATTGAGAAACCGAAAAATGAAAAAATTGGAAAATTGACGAACCGAAAAATTGAAAAAGCGAAAAATTGAAGAATCAAAAAACCGAAATAAAGAAAAATTGAGTAATCAAAAAATTGAAAAACTAAAAAATTAAAGAAACAAAAAATTGAAAAATCGCAAAACTGAAATATCTAAAAGTTGAAAAATTGAAAAGACGAAGAATTTAAAAAAGGAAAATCATACAGCTGAAATATCGGAAACTGAGAAACCGAAAAATTAAAAATCGAAAAATTGAAGAATCAAAACCCGAAATGAAGAAAAATTGCGTAATCGAAAAATTGAAAAACTAGATAATCAAAAAAACGAGAAATTGAGAATTCGGAACATTGAAAAATTCCAAAATTGAAATATCGAAAAATTGAAAAATTTGAAAAGTAAGAAATTAAAGAGATCAAGAAATCGAAGTCAAAAAATCGAAATATCGAAAAATGGAAAAATTGAAAAATTCAAAATCGAAAAAATGAAAAATCGTTGAGCTAAAATATCGGAAAATTTAGAAACCAAAAAATTAAAAAATCGAGCATTCGAAAAAATGGAATTTCTAAAACTAAAATATCCGAAAATTAAGTAACCAAAAAATTGAAAAACCGAAAAATTAAAAAAACGGGGAACTCAACAATTGAAACAGAAAAATTGAAAAATCCCAAAACTGAAATATCTAAAAGTTGGAAAATCGAAGAAATGAAGAAGTTAATAAAGAAAAATCGTACAGCTGAAATATCGGAACCGAAAAATAAAAAAATCCAAAAATCTAAAAATTGATGAATTAAAAAGCCGAAATAAAGAAAAATTGAAAAACTGAAAAATCAAAAAATTAAAAAAACGAAAAATTGAGAAACCAGAAAATTGAAATATTGGGAAACTGAAGCATGAAAAAATCGAGAAATCGAAAAGTCTAAAAATTCAAATATCGAAGAATTGAAAAATCGTAAAAATGAAGAATTTAAAAAATGAAAAATCGTACAATTGGAATGTCGGAAAATTGGGAAACCGAAAAATTACACGATCGAGAATTCGAAAAAAAGAAAAAACGTAAAACTAAAATATCGGAAAATTGAGAAACCGCAAAATGAAAAAATTGAAAAATTGATGAACCGAAAAATCAAAAGATCAAAAAATTAAAGAATCAAAAATTTGAAAAATCGCAAAAATTGAGAAATCGGAAAATTGAAAAATCCCAAAACTGAAATATCTAAAAGTTGAAAAACTGAAAATTTTACCGGAAATTAGAAAAGAAAAACCATACAGCTGGAATATGGGTAACTGAGAACCCAAAAATTAAAAATCGAAAAAATATAAGGAATTAAAAAACCGAAATGAAGAAAAATTGTGTAATCAAAAAATTGAAAAACTGGTAAATAAAAAAAAAACAGAAATTGAACAATTGAAACAGAAAAATTGAAGAATCAAATAGTGAAAAATCGAAAAACTGAGAAAAATTCCAAAACTGAAATATCGAAAAGTTGGGAAATCGAAAAATTGAAACATGCATTGGAAAATTAAACGTGAAAAAATCGAGAAATCGAAAAGTCAAAAAATCGAAATACCGAAGAATGGAAAAACTGAAAAATTTAAAAATCGAAAAAATGAAGAATTTAGAAATCGTAGAATTAAAATATCGGAAAATAGAGAAACCGAAAAATTAAAAAATCGAGCATTCGAAATAATGAAACATCGTAAAACTAAAATATCGGAAAATTGAGAAACCTTGAAAAATTGTGTAATAAAAAAATTGAAAAAAAAACAAAAAACGAGAAATTGAACAATTGAAACATAGAAAAATTGAAAAAAAAAAAAACGAGAAATTGAACAATTGAAACATAGAAAAATCGAAGAATCAAAAAATTGAAAAATCGCAAAAATTGACAAATCGAAAAATTGAAAAATCCCAAAACTGAAATATCTAAAAGTTGAAAAATGGAACAATCGAGACATCGTAAAATTGAAACATTGAGAAACTGATGCATGAAAAAATCGAGAAATGGACAAGAAATAGAGTAAGATGCAGTAATAAAATACAGGTGTTCCATTTGAAAAAACTGAAATATGGATATTTGAAAATTGTATTAAAATTTGATTTAGTTGATGCCACAACAAAGCGCGTATTTTTATTTATACTTCTTTAACATATTGTACAACAGATTTTAAAAATAACCCTATTGCGTTTTTTTTTTTGTGAATAATGAGGCAACGTGGCATCGGAATTTCAAAAGTAATGCATGGTATGTGTAAAGCCTAAGAAAGGATCAATCAAAATATGTCAAAATATACAAGGTGTTTCACCAAAAAATAACTAAGCTATGCTACGCCTTAGAAATAGAACACTCTTTATAGCTAAAAATAATTTTAGAATATGTATAGTCCGTTTAACTTTGGTCTTTGAGTTTTCTTCTATTTGTAATAATTAATGACATGTCGAGGACCATGCGCTGAGTGTAATTACATCTGTAATTTAAAAATTACAGATGTAATTTAAAAATTCAAAAATCGAAAAATTGCCAACTCGAAAAATTGAAAAATTGCAAAACACGTTGTTTTTATTTATTTTATTTTGACCTTTTTGTCATGAAATTTGAAGTTTTTTACTACCAACTTACCACTGTAAAAGTAAACTCTAGAGGAGTTTTATTTGATACCAACTTAATTCAACAGTAGTATTAATGTGACTATTAATGATTTTTGGGTTGAAAATTCTGAATTATTGGCAGCAATGTTAGCACGTCAGTTTAGAGTTGTCAATTTTGACGTGAGTGTGATTAAAAATCTAATAAGATCCAACATATCAGGGATGCCATCATAAAATTTTAATATATTGCCAACCTGACAAAAAATCACAAACAGGCGCCAGCTGTGGACATGAAAACACACTTTCTTGATTATTCTGTGACGTAATTGTCAACAATACATTACTCATGGTGTTTACTACAGTCAATCTTAAGGTTCATTATCATTTTGCATTCTACATTAACGTAATCAGCGCTTAAAATGAAAAATAGTCAGCCGTTATCAAGACAACATTCTTTTGTTTACTGGAGACTTTAGTAGAAAACACTAAATAATAAAAGAAAAAAGAAAAAAAACTTCAATTTAGGTTTACGTAATAATTAAATTATTCTCGTTAATATACTTATCCCCACCAAACATTTGATGACATCGTCAAGGAAATTATTAAAAACTGCGCATTTTTCTCTGATACCACTTGAAATATTTAAAATATTTGTCAAAAATAAAAAATATATAATTAAAACAATACGTTATAATCTCCCTCTTTGTAGGTGTTTGTGCTTTTAAGCACCCTACACACCGCCACCTCCACCCCCTTACCCGACCGAGTGTTCGTCCGTAACGAAACCTCCGTCACGCACAACCAAACAATCGCCGACCTCGTCCAACGCCAGACAGACACCATAAAAAAAATCATCTCCAACCACCACATCGACTACCCCGTCATCACCAAATACCCCCCCGACGACAAACAAAAGAAGAGCGACCCCATTCCATTCGACGAGTTAAAAATCAAGTGTCAACACTTGGCCCGCCTCATCTCCACGACCACGCCCACGCCCCGCAACATCTCCGGCTTCTACATAACGAGCGAAGAGCCGCCCCCGACCACGCCCAAGCCGAGCCCCGCCCCCGTCAAATACATCAAGCTCGAACCGGTCATCCTGCAGAAAACGATCATGAGCGACGGCCGCACCATCTACTACTGGCACAAGAGCATCCCGAGCCAGTTTGCTCCCGCCACGCCCACTACCCCGCCCCCGACGACCACGACGCCGGCCCCCGGGTATAACTTTCGGAATTTTTTTCCGTCATTTTACTCGATTGGAGGCTCTGAACCGGTTGGTGCGACTACAACAGAGAAAGCGCCAACCTCGGAAGAGATGCACTTGTACCAGCAGCAGTTGAAGTTCGTGGTGCCGGTGCCGTTCGTGCCGGCGGAGGACCCGGGGGTGAAGAAACCGTGGGAGATCGATCAATACGCGTATTATCCGAAGCCGCTTCAACCGGAAAATGTTAACATGCAGGTGCCATATGTGCCCACGTTTCATGTGATTAAGGCGGTGGCGGTGCCTAATCAGTATGAGGGTGGGTCCGTTGACGGAATGTAAATTGATAGATGGATGGTAAAGTAACATATGACGTCACCAATTTTTTTTTTGGTGCGTTACTTTATTATCATGTTTGATTTCGAAATAATTATAACGAAGATGAGACTGATTAGGAATAGGTTTGTTAAAAACAAAAAGATGTGTTTAATTAGAAAAAAAATGACATTTGTTTGAACTGACATTAAAATTTTGAATGTTTTAATACTTCAAATTTTTTGTTATACTGATTAATTACACCAAGTGTACGTACAAATGTTCCCGTACTATAGGTTTATTGTTAGTATAAGAATTATTACTTAATGAATTATTGTGTTTACCACTTCTTAAGCCTTATGCACACGTACAAGTTTTGCCTTCAAGTCCAACCTCAGATGCAAACAGACAAATAAATCGACGAGCTTGTAAGGAACTTGTACGTGTAAGCGCGGCTTTAGGTTGATAGTTTAGTGGGGTCGGTTTCGTGCAATTAAATGTACAAATGCAGCTCAAAATCATTTTTAATAAAGTTTCTGAAACTTACCATTGTCATTCTCTTCACGGCATCTTCACTAATCGGATAACTAAGCTTGACTCGTTTGTACAAAGGGTGATTTTCATAATAATTAATTAATTCTACCAGACTTTCAAATTCAACGTTACCGATTGTGTATAATCGTCCTTCCAATTTAATTCGACAATGTTTGATTTTTCTGTCTGCCCTGAAACAAAAAAAAAAAAAACAAAATTTAGAGAAACTTAATTAAACTCTTCGGTTAAAAAATAATTTTGTTGACATTTATTTTTTTTTATCTACCTCCTGTAATATTTTAAAAATAAATACATACACTCTGATTTAATTAATATATCAGAAAGCACAGTATTTCAACAATGCAAGTTATTTAACGATAATGAACTACGCTCAAATAATTATTACGCTGCTTATCACCACCAAGTAATTCCAAGCCTGATGTTTAATCATCATGAGATAACTCGATCGATTTGATTTTTCTTTGTCCTGTCAAATCTAATGCACCAAAACCAATAAAATTAACCCAAAAATCACGAATGTTTATTTTTGTTAAAAACGATTTACGCTTGCGGTGTCCATTTCAAGGAAATTCACTCAACAAAATTCTGAGATAACGCCATCAACCGTGTCTTTCAGGGAATCGATATCAATTATACCATAAACGCCACTGACGACAATTAAGTGTATTCGTGCGAAAAATAATGCTATAATAACGCTTAAATGACAAGCAAGGTGCTAGCGTTATGTAAAAAATCGAAAAAAGAATTTTAGCCGCACCTGTTACTTTCTGATATATGTATTGTTGTAATTATTTATTCTCATTTGTCAATATTTTCAGTAACAATATTGTCCTGAAAGATTTGCAAATTTAATTATACAAATGCCACCTTAATGTCATTATTTTAAATAAAGATGTGTTTAATATTTTTCAATGATGACATTCATTTTTTAGTGAGATAAGTATATCGATTCTGATGTGTACAATGTAAGATTAATCATACCACCATTGTATTTTTATTTGTTGTCACTGCAATCCTTGTTAGTATCCAACCAAAATTTCAAAGAAATTTTTGATGTAATCTTTGCGACAAGACTGTAGCACATTGTAAATTGTACATATTTTATTTAAAAATATTTTGATATCTCCAACTACATGATAATCTTCAAGTACATCTAAAATTTCCAGGTAAATGTAATCAATCAGGAAGTTCGGGCATTATCTGTCTAATAATTTAAAGAAGAGACATGTATAGACTCCAAAGTACAGGTAAACCCGTTATAGTGTAACGGAAAAAAAGGACATATCGGAGATCGAACCCTGGACACTCCAGATGCTAAGCTAATGCGCCTGTTACTAACCCCATGTTTCGTATAGTTAGTATTATGTACGTAAAGACCAGTGTTACTACGAGAAATATTGAGTAATAAAAATTATAATACCAGAAAATAAAATCAAGGCAAATTCATAACACATAACTTCATGATTACACAAATTTTGGTTAGCATCTTACCAACTATTTATTATACTATTTTGCCATTTTAAATGGGATTTGTTTAGCAAAATTTTAAGATTACGTCATCAAATTTTTAGTGGGGATAATTAGGCAATTGGTTTACGTTTTATCATCTGGAGGATGTTCTTAAAACAGACCTATTATTTCACAAGAATTAGGTCAGTAGTTTCGGATATTATTTGTCAGAGAGACGACAGATTATTAACACAAAAAGATGACAAATTGACGAAAATACCTCCCAGCTTCTTCTCGGGAAGTAAAAATAGAAGAAAAACGTAACAGCAACAGTGAAAACCTTAATTTTCTAGAACACCTGATTTTCATTTTAAATTTTATTAAAAAAGAGCAAAATTTGCGTAAAACGTCATAGCGATAACTGACCGATTTCAGCTGTGAGATTCAAGACTTAAACTAAAAAAAAATTTGTAAAAAAAAATTGAAAAATCAAAAATTTTAAAATCGAAAAATTGAAAAACCGAAATCCGAAGACACACATAACATAACATAACATAAAACCTGAAAATTTGAGAATTGAAAAACTGAAAAATCAAAACTTTGAAAAGTCGAGATATCGAGAAATAGAAAAATCGAAAAATTGATTAATCGAGAAATTGAGAAATCGAAAAATTGAAAATTTCGAAACGTCAAAAATTGAAAAATTGGAAGTCGAGCAATCGATACACCAAAAAATCGGAAAATTTAAAAATGTGGAAAAAGAAAAATTCCCAAAATTGAGATAATGAAAAATTGAGAAATCTAAAAATTGAAAAATCAAAAATCGAAGCCGAAAAATTTTTTAAATCGAAAAATTGAAAGATTTTTAAAATAGAAAAACCGAAATATCATGAAATTGTAAGATCAAAATATCAAGAAATAGAAACAACAGAAAATCGTATACTTGGTCGAAAAACTAAAAGATCAAAAATTTAAAAATTTGAAAAATCGAGAAATCAAAAAATCTAAAAATTTAAAGAATTGAAAAATTAAAATACATATCGAAAAATGGAAGAACCGAAAAAGAGAAAAATTCAAAAGTCTAAAATTTAAAATCGAAAAACCAAGAAATCTAAAAGTCGAGAAGTCGAAAAATCGAAAAATGAAGAAATCGAAATACATAGGTCAAAAAAAAAATTGTAAATTGAAAAATTTACTTAAAAAAAAACCTAAATATAAATCGCAAAATCAAAAATTTTAAAAATCGAAAAACTGAAAACTCAAAAACCTGAAAATCTAAGAATTGAGAAACTGAAAAATCGAACCATTGAAAAGTCGAGATATCGAGAAATATAAAAATTGAAAATTTAAAAATGTCAAAAATTGAAAAATTGAAAGTCGAGCAATCGATAAACCAAAATATCGAAAAATTTTAAAGTTCAGAAAATGAAAAATTCCCAAAATTGAAATGATGGAAAATTGAGAAATCGAAAACCTGAAATATCGAGAAATCTAAAAATTGATAACTCGAAAAATTTTTAAAATCGAAAAACCGGATTATCAAAAAATCGAGAAATCGAAAATTTTAAAATTCAAAAAATTGAAAAATCGAGAAATCAAAAACTCTAAAAATTTAATGAATTGAAAAATCGAGAAATCGAAACATCAAAATTCGAAAAATTGAAAAATTCAAAAATCTAAAATTTAAAATCAAAAAACCGAGAAATCGAAAAATCAAAAACTGAAACATCGAACACTCGAAACATAAAAAGATGGAGAAATCGAAAAGTCCAACAATCGAAAAATTGAGAAATCGAAATGGGTCAAAAAAGTTGTAAATTGAAAATTTGAAAAATTTACAATAAAAAAAAAACTATAAATCGAAACGTCGAAAAACCGAAAACTTTGAAAATCGAAAAACTAAAAAATCAAAAATCTGAAAATCTAAGAATTGAAAAACTGAAAAATCGAAACAGCGAAAAGTCGAGATATCAAGAAATAGAAAAATTGAAAAACTGATTAATCGAGAAAATAAGAAGCCGATAAATTAAAAATTGAAAAATGTCAAAAATTGAAAGTGCTCGAAACACCAAAAAAATCCAAAAAATGTAAAAATTCAGAAAATGAAAAATTCCCAAATTTGAAATGATGAAAAATTAAGAAATCAAAAACTTGAAAAACCGAACAGTCGAACAAATTTTTAAGTCGAAAACTTGAAAAAATCAAAAACTTTTAAAAATTCGAAAAATTGATATATCGATGAAGTGAAAAATTCAAAAATCGAGAAATCGAAACATCAAAAATCGAAAAATTGAAAAATTCAAAAATCTAAAGTTTAAAATAAAAAAACCGAGAAATCGAAAATTCAAAAACTGAAACATCGAAAACTCGAAACATAAAAAGATGGAGAAATCGAAAAGCCCAACAATCGAAAAATTGAGAAATCGAAATGGGTCAAAAAAGTTGTAAATCGAAAATTTGAAAAATTTACAATAAAAAAAAAAATAAATCGATAAGTCGAAAAACTGAAAACTTTAAAAATCGAAAAACTGAAAATTCAAACACCTGAAAATCTAAGAATTGAAAAACTGAAAAATCGAAACATTGAAAAGTCGAGAAATCTAAAAATTGAAAAGTCGAAAAATGTTTAAAATCGAAAAATCGAATTATCAAAAATTCGGAACATCAAAATATCAAGAAATCGAAACATCAAAAAATCGTACTCTTGGTCGAAAAATCGAGAAATCAAAAACTCTAAAAATTTAATGAATTGAAAAATCGAGAAATCGAAACATCAAAAATCGAAAGTGAATAATTCAAAAATCTAAAATTCAAAATCGAAAAACCGAGAAATCGAAAGATTCAAAAACTGCAACATCAAAAACTCCAAACATAAAAAGATGGAGAAATCAAAAAGTTGAGAAGTCGAAAAATCAAAAAATTGAGAAATCGAAATAGGTCAAAAAAGCTGTAAATTGAAAAATTGAAGAATTTACAATAAAAAAAAATATATAAATTGAAAAACTGAAAAAACAAAAATCTGAAAATCGAAGAATTAAAAAACTGAAAAATCGAAACAGTGAAAAGTCGAGATATCGAGAAATAGTAAAATCGAAAAACTGATTAATCGAGAAAATGAGAAATCGATAAATTAAAAATTTAGAAATGTAAAAAATTGAAAAATTGAAAGTGCTCGAAACATCGAAAAAATCCAAAAATGTAAAAATTCAGAAAATGAAAAATTGAGAAATTTGAAATGATGAAAAAGTCGAAAAAATTTTTAAATCGAAAACTTGAAAAAATCAAAAAACTTTTAAAAATTCGAAAAATTGATATACATATCAATGAAGTGAAAAATTCAAAAATCGAGGAAATCGAAACTTCAAAAATCGAAAAATTCAAAAACCTAAAATTTAAAATAAAAAACCGACAAATCGAAAATTCAAAAACTGAAACATCGAGGACTCGAAACAAAAATATAGAGAAATTAAAAAATCGAGAAGTCGAAAAATCGAAAAATTGAAAAACCGAAAAATCGAAATCCTAAAAGTCGAAAAATTTAAAAAATTGAAAAATTAAAATATAGAAAAATTGAAGAATTGAAAAATTGAGAAATCTAAACATCAAAAAATCGAAAAATTTAATAATTAAAAAATCTAAAATTTAAAAATCGGAGGAAAATTGAATAAAAAAAAAATGAAAAATCGAGAACCTGAATTAATTCAATTAACTGATTATTAATTAACTGAAATGACGAAAAATTGGAAATATGTACGTCAAAAAGTTGAAAACTGAAAAGTCGAAAAATTGACAAGTTTTAAAAAAATCAAAACACTGAAAAATCAAAAATCTGAAAATCTAAGAATTGAAAAACTGAAAAATCGAAACAGTGAAAAGTCGAGATATCGCGAAATAGAAAAATCGAAAAACCGATTTAATCGAAAAATTGAGAAATCGAAATACAGTATTGTCCGGTTATAATGAACCCGCTTGTAATGAACTTCCGGCTATAGTGTACTGTATTTCAAGTAACGAAATTTTTTCCATATATCTAATGTATTTTTTTTCGGTTATAATGAATCACTGAATCCGCTTGTAATGAACTTTCGGATAAAATGAACTAAATATTATTCAAAATAAAGTGCAGTTTTCCGTTTATAATGAACTTTTCGGGGATTCCCTGATTTACGCGCTACGCATTTCCCCACCAACTTGCTTTCTGTGCCAGTCGATTCTTGGTCACTGTGTCGAAGTAGCGCTACATAAGTACTTACTTGTGTAATAACATTGTTCGAAATGGAAAAACAAAAACGTAAAGCTCTAACCTTAAAGGACAAGTATGATATTATACAAAAAATACAAAGTGGTGTTAAACAACGCGATGTTAGCCAGGAAATGAACTTGATAAAATCCACTGTTTCTATGATATGGAAGCAAAGAGAAGCCATTTTATCAGCGTATGGTCAGGGAAATTCTACGTGTAAAAAAATGAGAAAATCAAAGCACCATGAAATGGATCAAGGGCTTCTTAAGTGGTTTACACAAAAAAGACAAGAAAACGTTCCTGTAAGTGGTATTATTCTACAAGAAAAAGCTAATGAAATGGGTAGTAAAATCGAAAACAAAGACTTCAAGTGTTCTAAAAGTTGGATTGAACGTTTTAAAAGAAGACATAATATCCGAACAGGAAAAATTGTGGGTGAGTCTGCAGCAGTAGATTTGAATGTTGTTAATGACTGGTTAACTAATGTTTGGCCTCATATTCGGAAAAACTATGACAGTGAAGACATTTTTAACGCTGATGAGACAGGGCTCTTTTATCAAATGACTCCTGATAAGACTTTAAAATTTGTGGGAGAAAGTTGTGCTGGAGGAAAGTTATCTAAATTGAGGATTACAGTTTTAGTAGCTGCCAATATGTCTGGAACAGAAAAAAGGAAATTGTTGGTTATAGGCAAATCTGCCAATCCTAGATGTTTCAAAAATAAACAATTGCCCGTAAAATACAAATCAAACCGTAACGCGTGGATGACCTCTGAAATTTTCACAAATGAACTGCTTGAATGGGATGAACAATTAAAACAAAAAAATAGGAAAATTGTACTTTTAGTTGATAACTGTACAGCTCACCCTGAGATTAAACTAAACCAAATTAAATTAGTTTTTATGCCACCGAATACGAGTTCAAAATTACAACCGATGGATCAAGGTGTAATTCATTCATTAAAGAGCCATTATAGGAAAATTTTACTCGCGCAGATGATAGAGGCTATGGACAACGGAAAAACATTTTCAGTTAGCATTTTAGATGCTGTAAATTTTATTCACATGGCTTGGCAAAAGGTTAGCAAAGATACAATAGCAAACTGTTTCAAGCATGGAGGATTTTCTGAAAAAAGTGCTGAATTTGATGCAGACGATGAGCTTCCCCTAACAGAATGGTTAAAAAAACATGAAGATGATCCTGGACTTATTTTCACAGATGTGGATAATGCAATTGAAATTGCAGTGCAAGAGAAAATCGGGGAATTTAATTTTGAAGAATATGTGGAAATTGATAACGACATAACGGTAACAGAAAGACTAACTGACGAGCAGATTATAGAATCAGTGACATCAGTCATGGCAACAAGTGACGAGGCCGAGGGTGAGGAAAATGAGTCTGATGAAGATGTTGATGTTTATGTTCCTTCTCTTAATGAAATGGCGCAAAAAATGGCAGAGACTCGCAACTTTTTAGAATCGCGCACTGTTCCGGAGCCTATATGGAACAGCTTTTGCAACCTCGAACGCTATATTAGTGACATTCACTTTTCTAATAGATATGTACAGACAAAAATAACTGATTTTGTCAAGTAGACTTGTGTTTATGTGACGTCTTGTTATATGTAATTACATAAATAGCTATGTTTTTTTTTATTTTTAGTTTATAAACCAAGAAATATTTTTTGAATTGTTCCCAACGTAGAATTGAAGTAAATTGAATTTAAACAAACGCAGTTTTTATTTTTCCGTTAATAGTGAACTTCGGATATAATGAACTAGTTTTGTTACATTTTTTGAGTTCATTATAACCGGACGCTACTGTATGTCAAAAATATTGAAAATTTGGAAAATTCGCAACTAAAACAATCGATAGATCGAAAGATCGAAAAATTTAAGAATCAAAACATCGTAAAATCCCAAAACTGAAACATCGGAAAATTGAGAAACTGAAAAATTGTTACATCTACAATATTTATTTTTTTTCCCTAAAAATCTCGATGGCTAGCGTGAAAATTAAACACGGCTTCATAAACCACAACATTTAAATAACATTTATTCGACAAAACGATTTTTCTGATCAACTTAAAACATTTGCAAGATTTCAAAGCACTCGATTTTGCAATTTTACAGTTAAATTGTAAAATATGGTTATACAAATTTGATTTTTTTTTCCAAAAATTTGGATGCTGATAAAAACTGAAGACGGATTCATAAACCACAAATAGAAATCGGAGATTATCTGTCTAATAAAAATCCGGTGGAAATGGGAGGACTATTTTTTCGTATTCTAAGGGTCATGGAAAAGATTTTCATTTACATAAATAGCGCCGACAAAAAAAAAACTCCAATCTTGGGTACCACGTAGTCAAAAAAAAATCTGACCTGAGTACTACGTTTAACGTTTTTTTTTCGACCTATTACTATTATTTTTATTACTCGTCATAGAATAGACGTTAATACGACCAGTGGCGGCGAATATCCGCTATTTTTTGTACAAATAAAAATAATATCCACTTACCTAAAACTAATAGTATAACAATTTGCATCATTCTCACTGGGCCTAACCAAGAAAGCCCCTTCAGTCTTCACCCTCTTCAAAATCTCATCCGCCTGTATCTTCCCCGTATGCTGATGGTACCACTCCTCCGTCTCGTGCTTCTTCGGCTGCGGCACCGGCTCCTGCAGCGTAATCGAAAACTCCGCAGTGACTAGAGGACAGTTCCGATAGTGCGTTATCAGACTGTACAAACTGTCGAAGTACTTCGCATCCGTCAGATAGTATTTCGTGTGTTGCTTATCCGGCTTCGACCTGATCCGGCAATGATTCACCTGCCCGTTCCTCCAGAACGACAGACAATACTCCCCCACGAACGTCACGCTCGCCCTCACCAGGAACGTCCCGTCCCCCAGGTGCGAGTACGTCTTCAGCAGTTGCTCGGCCTCCTCGCGCCCCTTGGCCAGCTTGCCGTGGAACCACTTCTCGCTGAAGTGGAGCTCCTCGTTCGGCACGTCCGACTTGGAGCGCTGGAAGGCGGCGCTGTCGTCCTCGTCCTCGGAGCGCTCGGACTCCTGGTCCGGCTTGTAGCTGTCGGTGTAGAAGAGTTTGTTCTGGGTGAGGATGAAGAAGTGCGGGTTCCACTCTTTGTCGACGGGGTCTTCCAGGTACATGATGCCGTTGTGGACAGAATTGCGCAGGTCCATCTCGCTACCCTCGTTGCGGATGAGGAAGGAGGATTCGTCCTGGCCTTCTGGAAGTTTCTTGTGTTTGAGGATGATGCGGCGACGCAGCTGGTACGGGGAGGGGAGTTGTTTTTCATTTTTTTCGACGGGGTGGATGACGAGAGATTCGCCAAAGACTTCCTGTTGGTGTCAAAATAAGAGTCATTTACATCGAAATTACATGGGGTTCGGTAAAGACACTTTCCTGACGTTGCGAACAACATTTTTTCAAACACCAGTTAATAAATTTATTCTATAAGTACATACTTTAAATCTCTATATTATCAACATCATCAAAAATTTGTATCTACAACATTGATTGGTTCCGTAGAAGATAGAAATTTAAAGCGAGCTTTTAGAAACAATGCTTTTAAAAATAAGTGTGATGAAATAATTTAGGTCGCCACTAATTTTTGTCACTTTAATGTGATTAGCGAATATCAACAGGAAGAATCTCTTATAGTAATAAACAAAACCAACTCTGAAACAAAAACTTCCTGCGGCTGGGAAAACAGGAGATATAAATCCCACACAAATTAACAAAATTGTAGTTTGTTAAACAGAAAAATAAATACTTTCCTGAATTTTGAATTTATTTAATCGAGACAGGAAAGTACTATAGTAAAATCTGGGAAATTCTGATTCATTCTCAATTTCTTAATACATAAACCTACACACCAACGCCTATTAGATCACAAATTTTATTTATGTGAACTTTTCTAAATAAAAGAATTTTATTTATCAGAGACGGATCAAGAAATCTGAATCGGTCTAAAAATAGCCAAAATTGCCGCCACTTATTATCACGTAACTTGGCAATAAAATTTCCTTATACCAAGTGTTGCCAAAGCTTAAAGTTGAAATTTACAAAATTAAAATTCCAGCACGTATTACACTGCTTTTATTTTTTTCGGAAATGACATCAACTTTTTCTTTTCAAATAAAAGAAAACTCTTTTAAGTGTGTCAAATTCAGTGTTTTTTTTTTTTTAATTTTCAATACGGCAAAATTTGTATGTAACTCGTTTAATTTAATGCTTTAAAAATTTCAAAAGCTGCTAAATCACTCATTATAAAAAATTCAAATCAAGTGAAAATTAAAAAAAAATCTGTTTAATACACTTAAAAAGTATAAAAAAAGTTGAAGCCATTTCCATAAAGAACAAAATGATATTGAGATATTAAACTGGGACACCCGGTATATTTTATTTTTGAAGTATCGAATTTCGTACAGAATACAGTTTATACAACAAAAATTGTGAACCTAAATCGTTATTTCTCGGGGAGAAATCAAAAAAAAAACTGAAATCCGAAAATTCAAAAATTAAAATATTCAAAAACTGAAAAACACAGAAATTGAAAAGTTCCCAAAATTGAAATGTTGAAAAATAGAGAAATCTAAAAATCGGAAAGTCGAAAAATGTTTAAAATCAAAGAAGCGAGATGTCAAGATATCGTAAAATCGAAAAGTGTAGAATTAAAAAAATCGAAAATTGAAAAATCAAAAATTTCAAAATACCAAAAATTGAAAAACAGAACTATGGAAGGACTAAAAAATCGAGATACTGAAAAAATTTAAAATTTAAAAAAAATAAAAATTGAAAAATTCCAAAACTGAAATGACGATAAATCAAAACATCAAAAAATTGGAAAATCGGAAAACCGAAAAATCAAAAAATCAAAAAACCCAGAAATCGAAACATTGAAAAGCTAAGAAAACGAGAAATAGGAAAATTAAAAAATCAATTAATCAACTTTGAAATGTCAAAAATTGAAAAATCGAAATACTGAAAAGTTGAGTGATCGAGAAATGGAAAATTCAAACATCAATTAATCGAAAAATTGGGAAATCGAAAAATTGAGAAATTGAGAAATTCAAAAACCTGATAAATAGAAAAATTGGAAAATACCAATACTTGACATATCGAAAAATTTTAAATCGAGAAATTGAAAAATCGTGAAATTAAAAAATCATAAAATTGAAGAATAAAAAAAACTGAAAAAAACCCAAAATATATATATATAAGAAAAATTGAGACACCGAAAGTTGAAAAATTGATAATTCGAAAACTGAAAAATTAAAATACATATCAAAAAATTGAAGAATCAAAAAGTTGAGAAATCGAAACATCAAAAAATCGAAAAATTGAAGAATCAAAAAATTGAAAAATTAAAAAATTAAAAATTTCAAAACGGAAATTACGAAAAATTGGATAATCGAAAAATTAAAAAGCTGAAAAGTCCAAATGAAATTGAAGTCGAATAAAACATAAAAAGATCGAGAAGTCGAAAAATCGAAATCAGGCCAAAATCGAAAAGTTGAAAATTGGAAACATTGAAAAATGGAAGAAAAATTGAAGAATCGAAAAAACGAAAAATTCCAAAACTGAAATGACGAAAATCAACACATCGAAAACTTCGAAAATCGGAAAGCCGAAAAATTGAAAAGTCGAAACTTTGAAAAGCTAAGAAATTGAGAAATGGGAAAATTAAAAAATTGATTAATCAGTTTAGAAATCTCAAAAATCGAACAATCGAAAGACTGAAAAATGAAAAACCAGAAATTTGAAAAATTTAGAAGTTCAAAAACTGAACACCGAAAAATTGAGAAATCGAAAAATTGATTAATCAATTTAGAAATGTAAAAAATTGCAAAATCGAAATACTAAAAATTCGAGAGATCGAGAAATGGGAAATGGAAAATTCAAAAATCAATTAATCGAGAAATTGGGAAATCTAAATATTGAAAATTTAGAAACGTCAAAAAAAAAATTGAAAAATCTAAAAACTGAAGAGTCGAAAGATTGAAAAATTGTAACACTAAAACATCGGAAAATTGAGAATTTGAAAAGTAAAGAAATCAAGAAATTGAAAATCTGAATAACCCAAAAATTGGATAAAATCCCAATAATGTAATGTCGAAAAATTGAAAATGGAGAACCGAAAAATTGAAAAATCGAGAAATTAAAAATTTCAAAACGGAAATTGCGAAAAATTGGAAAATCGAAAAAATCGAAAAATTGAAAATTGGTGACGTGGAAACATTGAAAAATCCCAAACCGAAAAATTGAAAAATGGAAGAAAAATTGAAGAATCGAAAAACTGAAAAATCCCAAAACTGTGAAATCCTGAAATGGGAAAATTAAAAAATCGATTAATCAATTTAGAAAAATGTCAAAAATTGAAAAATCGAAAAACTGAAAAATCAAAAACCAGAAAATCGAAAAATTGAAGAACTGAAAACTCGAAATACTGAAAAGTCGAGAAATGGAGAAATGGAAAAGTCAAAAATCAATCGAGAAGTTGCGAAAACGAAAAATTGAAAAATTCCAAAACTGAAACATCGAAAAACTGAGAAATCCTGAAATGGGAAAATTAAAAAATCGTTTAATCAATTTAGAAATGCGAAAACTTGAGAAATCGAAAAACTGAAAAATCAAACACCAGAAAATCTATACATTAAGAACTGAAAAATCGAAATACTGAAAGCTCGAGAAATGGAGAAATGAAAAATTCAAAAATCAATTATTCGAGAAATTAGGAAATCGAAAAATTGAAAATTTAGAAACGTCAAAAATTGAAAAATCTAAAAACTGAAGAGTCGAAAGATTGAAAAATCGTAAAACTGAAACATCGGAAAATTGAGAAATCGAAAAGTAAAGAAATCGAGTGAAAATCTGAAAAATCGAAAAATTGGATAAAAACCCAATAATGAAATGTCGAAAAATTTAAAATGGAGAACCGAAAAATTGAAAAATCGAGAAATTAAAAATTTCAAAACTGAAATTGCGAAAAATTGGAAAATAGACAAATGAAAAAGCTGAAAAGTCGAAATGAAATTGACGTCGAATATCGAGAAATCGAAAAATTGATTAATCAATTTAGAAATGTAAAAAATTGCAAAATCGAAATACTAAAAATTCGAGAGATCGAGAAATGGGAAATGGAAAATTCAAAAATCAATTAATCGAGAAATTGGGAAATCTAAATATTGAAAATTTAGAAACGTCAAAAAAAAAATTGAAAAATCTAAAAACTGAAGAGTCGAAAGATTGAAAAATTGTAACACTAAAACATCGGAAAATTGAGAATTTGAAAAGTAAAGAAATCAAGAAATTGAAAATCTGAATAACCCAAAAATTGGATAAAATCCCAATAATGTAATGTCGAAAAATTGAAAATGGAGAACCGAAAAATTGAAAAATCGAGAAATTAAAAATTTCAAAACGGAAATTGCGAAAAATTGGAAAATCGAAAAAATCGAAAAATTGAAAATTGGTGACGTGGAAACATTGAAAAATCCCAAACCGAAAAATTGAAAAATGGAAGAAAAATTGAAGAATCGAAAAACTGAAAAATCCCAAAACTGTGAAATCCTGAAATGGGAAAATTAAAAAATCGATTAATCAATTTAGAAAAATGTCAAAAATTGAAAAATCGAAAAACTGAAAAATCAAAAACCAGAAAATCGAAAAATTGAAGAACTGAAAACTCGAAATACTGAAAAGTCGAGAAATGGAGAAATGGAAAAGTCAAAAATCAATCGAGAAGTTGCGAAAACGAAAAATTGAAAAATTCCAAAACTGAAACATCGAAAAACTGAGAAATCCTGAAATGGGAAAATTAAAAAATCGTTTAATCAATTTAGAAATGCGAAAACTTGAGAAATCGAAAAACTGAAAAATCAAACACCAGAAAATCTATACATTAAGAACTGAAAAATCGAAATACTGAAAGCTCGAGAAATGGAGAAATGAAAAATTCAAAAATCAATTATTCGAGAAATTAGGAAATCGAAAAATTGAAAATTTAGAAACGTCAAAAATTGAAAAATCTAAAAACTGAAGAGTCGAAAGATTGAAAAATCGTAAAACTGAAACATCGGAAAATTGAGAAATCGAAAAGTAAAGAAATCGAGTGAAAATCTGAAAAATCGAAAAATTGGATAAAAACCCAATAATGAAATGTCGAAAAATTTAAAATGGAGAACCGAAAAATTGAAAAATCGAGAAATTAAAAATTTCAAAACTGAAATTGCGAAAAATTGGAAAATAGACAAATGAAAAAGCTGAAAAGTCGAAATGAAATTGACGTCGAATATCGAGAAATCGAAATGTCGAGAAGTCGAAAAATCGAAATCAGGCCAAAATCGAAAGAAAAATCGAAAAATTGAAAATTGGAAATAAAAAAAAATCGATAAATCGAAAAAACGTGGCGTGGAAATACTGAAAAATCCCAAACCGAAAAATTGAAAAATGGAAAAAAATTGTAAGAATCAAAAAACTGAAGAATCCCAAAACTGAAACATACAAAAACTGAGAAATCCTGAAATTAGGAAATTAAAAAATCGATTAATCAAGTTAGAAAAATGTCAAAAATTGAAAAATCGAAAAACTGAAAAATCAAAAATCAGAAAATCGAATAATTGAAGAATCGAAATACCGAAAAGTCTTGAAATGGAGAAAGGGAAAATTCAAAAATCAATTAATCGAGAAATTGGGAAATCGAAAAATTGATAAAATCTCAAAACTGAAAAATCGAAAAACTGAGAAATCCTGAAATGGGAAAATTAAAAAATCGTTTAGTCAATTTAGAAATGCCAAAACTTGAAAAATCGAAAAACTGAAAAATCAAAAACCCGAAAATCGAAACATTGAGAACTGAAAAATCGAAATACTGAAAGCTCGAGAGATTGAGAAATGGAAAATTCAAAAATCAATTAATCGAGAAATTAGGAAATTGAAAAAATGAAAATTTAGGAACGTCAAAAATTAAAAATTGAAAAATCGAAAAATTCAAGGGTCGACAGAACTGAATCGTAGAACTGAAACATCGAAAAATTAGGCAATCCAGAAATTGAAAATCTGAAGAATCGGAAAATTGGAAAATCCCAATACTGAAATATTACAAAATTTTAAATCGAAAGTTCAAAAATCGAAAATTCGAAAAACTGACAAATTAAAATAAAATACATATTGAAAAATTGAAGAAACGAAAAATTGAGAAATCGAAACATCAAAAAATCGAAAAATGGAAGAATCGAAAAATCAAAAAATCTAGAAATTAAAAATTCCAAACGTGAAATGACGAAAAATTGGAGAATCGAAAAATCAAAAAGCTGAAAAGTCGAAAAAAAGTGGAAATTGAAGTTAAAAAAAAAATCGGTAAAAATATAAAAATCTATAAATCGCAAAATCCAAGCATGGAAACAGTGAAAAATCCCAAATTGAAATATCGAAAAATTTAAAATCAAGAAACTGAACAATGAAAAACTGGAAAACCGAGAAATTAAAAAGTCCAAAACTGAAATGACGAAAAATTGGAAAATCGAAAAATCAAAAAGCTGAAAAGTTGAAAAAAGTGAAAATTAGAAATAAAAAAAATCGGTAAAAATTTAAAAAATCTATAAATCGCAAAATCGAAGCATGGAAACATTGAAAAATCCCAAATTGAAATATCGACAAATTGAAAAATGGAAGAAAAATTGAAGAATCGAAAAACTGAAAAATCCCAAAACAGAAATCGAAAAACTGAAAAATCGAAATATTGAAAATTTGAGAAATCGAGAAATGAGAAAATCAAAAATCGATTGATTAATTAATTTAGAAACGTCAAAAATTGATAATCGTAAATCGAAAAAAATTGAAAATTTCAGAAATCGAAGTTTGAAAAATCGAGGAATCGAAAAGCCGCCAAATCAAAAATTCGAAAAATTGTTATATTTTGATTTTTTTCCAAAAATCTCGATGTCGAGAATAAAAATCAACACGGATTCATAAACCACAAATACAGAAATATGTTATATTTTTGCTGTTGTGTAATTAAATCAAAATAATTTACATTAGTTACTTTATAAACGATCGTAATTAAGTACCATGTGATCGAAAAAAATACTCTAATGAGTCGTGAAATTTATTTTTATATAATGTTAGTTATTTGACCGTAACTGTCAAACTGAACAAGGGGCGTGTTGGTGTTGCCAACATAATTTTTTAAAGATAAATTTCAAAGCTTGCTAGTGTACTTTTTTCCATCAATAGTACAACACTTAATATTTAAAAATTAATTGCAATAATTAAAACAGCTATAAATAAATAGATGCGTAATGAATAATTAAAAAAAAATTAAATGAATTTTATTGTTGTTAATTGCTAATCAAATGCATTCATTAATTTTAGTTTTTAATTCAAAATTATATGATTATGAAGGTTTAGTAAGCGATTGTAAAATAAGCCATGTCGGTTAGCCCTCAGTGAAAATATAGGGGTTGTAATTGAGAGAAATGCGGCCCACTGAATAAAATGGCAAACATTATTTATAAAGTAGCAAAACACAAAATATAAACTTGTGAAACATCCTGTACAATACATTATTTTGCACATGATTAAAATTCAAGTATTTGTAAATTTGTCGACCTATTACTTCTTTCAAGAATTTTTTATTTTTATTATTTATCTACGTGGCCTTTTTTAACGTACGAAAACTTGATTTGTTATTCATCCAATCGATAAAATGTAAATCAACAATGTAAATGTACATAAAAAATTTGATATAAAGATATACAACGATCCCATCAATTTACTCTAGATTACCTGCATAGCAGTCGCCATTTTCCTCTGCTGGGGCAACGAACAATTATCTTCAATCGATAAAATCACCGGATATTCCGAAGTGGCAAAAGCGTGTTCTTTTATGGTCCGGATCACATCCATGAATTTGATTTTGGTCGTAAAAGTATGACCATGGTAGATGAACGGCATACCATCTGGACCATCCCAGCAGTCCAACTCTATACATCTACAGCCCATTCGCAAGCATCTGGCATACGCTTCTACTGAAGATTCGCTTGATAATTGATCACCGGTGAGATATCTTCACACAAAAAAAAATGATAAAGAATAGATACGAATTTTGAAAGTGGATGTCTTACGTGTTGTGAGAAGACGCTATCCAATAGTGAGAAAGCGGTCTGGACATGTCATGGTACACCGTATCTTTCGACGGATCCCATAAGTCGTTCTCTTTCGAAAAAAGAAAATCCAAAAATTCACCAATCGTGAAATGGGGCTCCTGCACCTCCCTTTGAGGGTCCTGCAAGCCGAAAACTATCACTCGGAAAATTCAAAAACCCTACCCACCTTCAAAAAATCACAGATAAATCGGGAGACGGCCCGGTCGTCGATACTCAACTCGTCGTTTTGCTCCTTTAACAAAAAACTTTGGAATTCTTGTAGACTGACGGTTTTCATATTCGATGAATACAGGTTGACTTTATCAAAAATCTCGGCGCAGTTCTAAAATCACCGTTAACAAATAAGCTAAAGCGTGAATTAGAGTAGGCAGTACTTTACACTTTCGTCGAAGATGATCTTCTGGTACAGAACGGCAAAGTCGTCGAATCCAATCTCTGCTCGTTTCCGCGTATCGACTTCGTTAAATAATTCTCTAAGTTTGTTCGTCGGAATTTTGTAATTTATTCGAGGTAGGAACGCTTTTAAGTCTTTAATGTTTATGGTTTCTGAGGAATTCTCCATGGCGTAGAACTCCCGCCTGAGCCATACTTGTACTTGGAGAGGGTAGGGGGCGTTAATGGTATCTTTGACTAAGTAACGCAAACCCTTCACCCACAATTCACATTCTTTTTCGGATAGTGCTAAAACCAAGAAAGTAACATTTTTTTGAAATGAATTTAAATATATATTGGTCAATTTTTTAAGTACTATTTTTCTTTTCCTGTCAGAATTGTACAGAAAATTTACGACTTTACCTATCGGTACCTGATACCTATAACGTCATACTAATCTATTATTAGGATTACTCAAGTGCAAAACGGAAGTATTTAAACTTATCAATGTTTACTTATTTTATTATTGATTCATAATTTGTAAAAAATCATATCTTTTACCATGTACTTGCAGTGAAAATATCGATTGAATTCGTTAGTTCACTAACCCAATATGACAAATATTGTAAAAAGTCAGTTTATTTTTTTATATGATTTATAATTAAAATATATGGCTATACATTTCGGCTTTTTGTTTTAATATGTGTAGACTTCTTTTCACAACATGAAACTTGGAAAATGGAAAATTTGTATTAGGAAATATCGATTTTATGCACATTAAGAAAAAAAAAAGGCAAAATTAAAGCCCCGCCCACCCGCCCTATCTCAATTCTGATGATTTTGTTTATTCGTCGCAAGCCGAGGGGCGAAGCTTAATTGTAAAATCCTTATTTTTCTACGAGAAATTACCATGTGAAATATGTTCTTAAGTAATCGTGTTATACAAAAAAAAATGGAGAAATACAAAAATCGGAAAGTCGAAAAATTTCTAAAATCGAAGAACCGAGATGTCAAGATATAAAATCGAAAAATGTAGAATTAAAAAAATCAAAAAACTGAAAAATCTAAAATTTAAAAACTCCAAAAATTGAAAAATAGAATTATCGGAAAACTAAAAAAAACGCGATGTTGAAAAATTGAATAATGCCACAACTAAAATGACGAAAAATCAAAACAGCGAAAAATTGGAAAATCGGAAAGCCGAAAAATCAGAAAATTGAAAAACCTATGAATCGAAAGATCGAAAAATTCAAAAACTGCAACACCTAAAATTGAGAAAACGAAAAACTGAAAAATCGAAACATTGAAAAGCTAAGAAATCGAGAAATGAGACAATTAAAAAATCGATTAATCAATTTAGAAATATCAAAAACTAAAAAATCGAAAAAGTGAAAATCAAAAACCAGAAAATCGAAAAATTGAAAAACTGAAAACCCGAAATACTGAGAAGTCGAGAGATCCAGAAATGATAAATTCAAAAATCAATTAATCGAGAAATTGGGAAATCGAAAAATTGGAGAGTCGAAAGATGAAAAAATCGTAAAACTGAAACATAAGAAAATTGAGAAATCGAGAAATTGAAAATCTGAAGAATCGAAAAATTGGTAAACCCCAAAACTCCAATAATGAAATATCTAAAATTTTAAAATCGAGAATCTGGAAAATTGAAAAATCGAGAAATTAAAAAATCGAAAAATTGAAGAATAACAAAACTGAAAAAATCCCAAAACTAATATATCGAAAAATTGAAAAATCAAAAATTTAAAATCCAAAAATTGAAAAATAGAAATATCCAAGAACTAAAAATCGGGATATTGAAAAAATCTAAATTTTAAAAAATCGAAAAATTCCAATACTGAAATAACGAAAAATCAAAACATCGAAAAACTGGAAAATCGGAAGCCTAAAAATCAACAAATTGAAAAACCCAGAAATCGAAACATCAAAAAATTCAGAAAATGAAACACCGAAAAATTGAGAAATCGAAAAATTGAAAAACTCAAAAATCGAAATACTGAAAAGTCGAGAGATCGAGAAATGGAAAATTCAAAAATCAATTAATCCAGTAATTGGGAAATCGAAAAATAGAAAATTTAGAAACGTCAAAAATTAAAAATTGAAAAGCGAAAAAGTGAAGAGTCGAAAGACTGAAAAATCGTGAAAACTGAAACATCGGAAAATTGGGGAATCGAAAAATAAAAAAATCGAGAAATTGAAAATCTGAAGAATCGTAAAATTGGTAAACTCCAAAACTCCAACAATGAAATATCGAAAATTTTAAAATCGAGAAACTGAAAAATTGAAAAATCGAGAAATTAAAAAATCCAAAAATTGAAGAGTCGAAAGATGGAAAAATCGTAAAACGGAAACATACGAAAATTGATAAATCGAACAATAAAGAAATCGAGAAACTGAAAATTTGAAGAATCGAAAAATTGAAAAATCCCAATAATGAAATATCGAAAAAATTAAATCGAGAAATTGAAAAATTGAAAAATCGAAAAATTGAACAGAAAAAAATTGAAAAAAACCCAAAAATAATATCAAAAAATTGAAAAATCGAAAGTTTAAAAATCGGGAATTCGAAAAACTGAAAAATTAAAATACAAAAATTGAAGAATCGAAAAAATGAGAACTCGAAACATCAAAAAATCGAAAAATTGAAGAATCGAAAAACTGAAAAATCGAGAAATTAAGATTTCCAAAACTGGAAAATCGAAAAACGGAAAAATCAAAAACCAGAAAATCAAAAAATTGAAAAACTCAAAAATCGAAATACTGAAAAGTCGAGAGATCGAGAAATGGAAAATTCAAAAATCAATTAATCGAGTAATTGGGAAATCGAAAAATTAAAAATTTAGAAACGTCAAAAATTAAAAATTGAAAAACTAAAGAGTCGAAAGATTGAAAAATCATGAAAACTGAAACATCGGAAAATTGAGGAATCGAAAAATAAAGAAATCGAGAAATTGAAAATCTGAAGAATCGAAAAATTGGTAAACTCCAAAACTCCAACAATGAAATATCGAAAATTTTAAAATCGAGAAACTGAAAAATTGAAAAATCGAGAAATTAAAAAATTCTAAAATTGAAAAATCGAAAATTTTAAAAATCCAAAAATTGAAGAGTCGAAAGATAGAGAAATCGTAAAACGGAAACATAGGAAAATTGATAAATCGAAGAATAAAGAAATCGAGAAATTGAAAATCTGAAGAATCGAAAAATTGAAAAATCCCAATAATGAGATATCGAAAAAATTTAAATCGAGATTTTGAAAAATTGAAAAATCGAAAAATTGAAGAAAAAAAAAATTTTAAAAACCCAAAACTAATATCAAAAAATTGAGAAATCGAAAGTTAAAAAATTGGGAGTTCTAAAAACTGAAAAATTAAAATAAAAAAATTGAAGAATCGAAAAATTGAGAACTCGAAACATCAAAAAATCGAAAAATTGAAGAATCGAAAAACTGAAAAATCGAGAAATTAAAAATTTCAAAACTGTAATTACGAAAAATTGGAAAATCGAAAAATCAAAAAGCTGAAAATTCGAAATGAAATCGAAAAGTCGAAAAATCGAAAGAAAAATTGAAAAGTTGGAAACTGGAAATTAAAAAAATTGGTAAAAATAAAAAAAATCGACAAATCGAAAAATCGTGGCGTGAAAACATTGAAGAATCGAAAAACTAAAAAATCCCAAAACTGAAACATCGAAACACTGAGAGATCGTGAAATGGGGAAAATTAAAAATTGATTAATCAATTTAGAAATGTCAAAAATTCAAAAATCGAAAAACTGAAAAATCAACAACCAGAAAATTAAAATACAAATCGAAAAATTGAGAAATCGAAACATTAAAAAATCGAAAAATTGAAGAATCGAAAAACCGGAAAATCGAGAAATTAAAAATTCCAAAAGAGAAATTACGAAAAATTGGAAAATCGAAAGATCAAAAAGCTGAAAAGTCCAAATGAAATTGAAGTCGAATATCGAGAAATTGAAACATTAAAAACAATCGGTAAAAATAAAAAAAAATCGATACATCGAAAAATCGTGCCATGGAAACATTGAAAAATCCTAAACTGAAATATTGAAAAATGGAAGAACAATCAAAAAACTAAAAAATCGTCACATTGAAAATCGAAAAATTGACAAACTGAAAAGTCGAAAAATTGAAAAATCGTAAAACTGAAACATAGGAAAATTGAGAAATCGTGAAATTGAAAATCTGAAGAATGGAAAAATTGGATAATCCCAATACTGAAATATCGAAAAATTTAAAATCGAGAAATTGAAAAATTGAAAGAAACATCGAGAAATTAAAAAATTGAAGAATAAAAACTGAAAAAATCCCAAAATTAATACTTATAAAAAAATTGAGAAATCCAAAGTTAAAAAATCGACAAATCGAAAAACGGAAAAATTAAAATACAAATCGAAAAGTTGAACAATCGAGAAATAAATTAAGCTCTGGCCCCCTGGTGCACGGCGAATAAACAAAAACATCACAATTGAGATAGGGGGCACAATTGAGATAGGGGGGGTGGGCGGGACTACATTTTGGTTTTTTGTTTTAATATATGTAGACTTCTTTTCATAACATGAAACTTAAAATATGTTTAAATTGGAAAATTTAGTTAGGCTCTGCCCCATAATTGCAAAATCCATTTTTCCTTGCAAAAATGTACCATTTTAACCATGTTCTAAGTTTCATGTTAAAAAAAAAGATGGCTAAGTATATTAAGAAAAAAAAAGGTAAAATATAAAAATGGAAAAACGGAAGAAACATTGAAGAATCGAAAAACTGAAAAATCCCAAAACAGAGAAATCGAAAAACTGAAAAATCGAAGTCGAAAAATCTGAACAATTGAAAAATTAACGAATAAAAAAACTGAATCATCGAAATATTGAAAAGTTGAGAAATCGAGAACTGAGAAAATCAAAAAATCGATTAATTAATTTAGAAACGTCAAAAATTGAAAATCGTAAAACGAAAAAATCGAGAAATTGAAGAATCAAAAATTCGAAAAATCCCAAACTGAAATATATCACAATTCGGATGATTTTTTTGTACTCGTCGTAAACCGAGGGGCGGGGCTATAAAATCCATATTTCTTTACCAAAATTGATCATTTTAAACGTGTTTTAAGTTTCTAGGAAAAAAAAATCATCACAATTGAGATGGGATGGGTGGGCGGGGTTTCTATTTTGCCTTTATTTCTGAAGATACTTAGTATTCTTTGAACAACACGATACTCAAAATATGGCGAATAAACAAAATCATCACAATTGAGATAGGGTGGGTGGGCGGGCCTTACATTTTGGCTTTTTGTTTTAATATGTGTAGACTTTTTTTCACAACTTGAAACTTGAAACATGTTTAAAATGGAAAACTTAGTTAGGCTCCGGCCCATAATTGCAAAATCCATATTTCCTTTCAAAAATGTACCATTTTAACCCACGTTCTAAGTTTCTTGTTGTGAAAATATGGCTATGTATATTAAGAAAAAAAAAATATATATATATAAGCCCCGCCCACCCGCCCTATCTCAATTGTGATGACTTTTTTATTCGTCGTGAGCCAAGGAGGCGGAGCTTAATTGCAAAATCCTTATTATTTCTTGTTGTAGCGGGCATGCTCACTTTCAACGGCTACGTTTTTTAATTTATAGAGCTTATCACAAACAAAAACACTTTTATCATTTCTAAAGAAGGACCTTTGTCCAGTTTTTTTTATTAACATTTGAAATGTATTTGGCTTAAAACAAGTTTTGATTATTTTTTTTAAACACACTACCGAATTTTTACTAACTTTACTTTTCACATTTTTGACAGTGTACATAACTACTGAATGGACCCATTTGGTTAAATTTGAAATATATCTAGTAATCCTAAACAGAATAAAAAATAAATAAACAAATATAAAAAAACCAATAACCATGCATATCCTAACATCATTAAACACAGAGTCTGCAGTAAAGTAATTTATAACGTTTACATTTCAAGAAACCATAAATAATATTATATTAGCGCAGTTAATTTTTCAAAATACCAAAAAGTGCACCATATAATAATTTTGTTGGTATTACTGCGATTTATATGAAAATAATTCTCGACATTGACACTAACCTTTAAAAATATTTATCCATAATTTATCCAAACCAATTAATCAAAATTTCGTGGAAGCGTAGTATTAATGTTTTAAAATATATTTCTTACTGTTTTTAATGAAGTTACAATACTGCCAAAGCAGCAACTCAAATTTTAATTGATCGGTATTCACACGAATTTATTATTATGATTTCCTCATATTTATTTTTTCTATACTAATACGAACTGGTGGATAAATATTTTGAGTTGGCCGATTTATCTGAATTCGTAAAAAATGTTCGCTAGAATTCTTCGATACTCGGAATTGGGTGTCCAAGAAATGTTAAATGAAAGCAGACAATTACATAATAAAATGTCCCTGAAATAAATTTTTTACCTCGTATCAATCCACTTAATAATGCAAAACAAAATTGAAGGCACCAGATCCAGATATTGGGTACGATTGCATTGATTTCACAAAATTTACAACAAATAAATTTGATAGTGTCAAATTAAGCACTGTCTAATGAGGTAATCGCATTTTTCTGTTAGTTTATATTGGTATAATGAAGTAGTAAAATTAATATTGAGCAGATAACTGATAATTTACGACTTTTGTTAATAAGGACATTCATGAATAAGAAACATTGAAAATTATTTTCTTTTGAGCTGACTCAATGAAAATTAAGTTTAATGTTACCATTAATTTTTATTTGTCATTTTTTTTAACCAAAAATTTAAGATGTATATTTAAAATACATTATATGTTTATTTGAAATAATAAAAAATGTACACTGGCAGTTAGAATATCAATATATGTATATGTTTATAGTTACTTCGTAAAAAAATACTTAGAAAACAATAAATATGGTCGTAAAACTTTTTCAGAACTAATAGACGAATTTTAAAAATTTATAAAATTATAATATAACATTTTTCTTTTTCACAGTGGTAACATACAGCTCGTAAATTTCTCATTCAGCTAGCAAAAGAAATGAGGAATGTAGGAAACAAACAATAAACAAATATAGCTATTAATAAAATATGTAGCCTCTATGTTTATTTTATTTCAGAAAAAGATGTCCTCGGAAAATATTGTATGCCGCAAAAATATCAAGCAAAACTTTCAATTATAATTCGATTTCGCAATATTTAAAATGACTATTTTATTTCCGCGAACTGACTTTTATTATTCCAACAAACATCTAAATGTACTTTAATAACAAAGCAATGTAATGATATACACATAAATCACATACAATAAAAAAGTACATTAAAATATCATTCTTTTATCTCCACTGTACAATCGAACTAAACAAACAGCAAGATTTGTTTGTTTTGTTTCTTCTTTTTTAGTTGCTTATGTGGCAAGAACAATTTATTTTTTAATATATGCAAATAAAGTCATTAGCCACGCTAGATTAATTATGTATTAATTACCTCTTTATCTTGCCATAAATTCATAAGACTCACCAGCAATACTGAGGACCCTCAACTTAAATTCAGATCCATAATACACCACAAAACACTTGAGATTCTCAATCTTCTTTGAATCGTCCGCCCATTTATCAAAGTCTTTGGAATTCTTCCCTAAACGAATTTCTTTGATCTTCCTCAAGTCAACAGCACCATCATGGACTGGCCTGGCGTTGGTAGTAGTGGCCCGTGTCCAGACAATCTGCCGAGTCTCTCTCCGTATAGCCAAAGTCTTATGCTCCGCTTTTTTTCTCAGAGAGTACTTCATCACCAAAGTGCCCCTTTCCAGTTGACTGATGATCTGCTCCATCTCCGGGATGTATCCTGAGCCCGGCGACGGCGAGAAGGCCCCGTTGAACATCCCGAACATTTTGCTGATCCTCTCTTGATCCAAGCTACGAAAATTGTTCTCAAAAGGGCTGTTCCGAAACATCATTTTCAGTTAAACGGGGGCGCGCAGTAAAAATCGTCGCGGTTTTTATTATTAGACTAATAGATTTGAACCGGATGGATTCTGTTAGGAACTGTGAGCAACAAACGTGAGGAATCATTCCTGCCGCACGCCAACACGATAAACAAAGCACAATTCCGTGAATTCCATGCTGTAAGGCTCGTTTCCATACTGCGAGTTATAAATAACTGTAAGTGAAGACAAGGAATTGATTCGAAATGGGTAGATAAGATAATAATTATCTGGCAGGCGCGCAAAGTGGCGGTAAATACGATGTTGTGTGGAAATGTGGCGTTTTAATTCATGATGTGAACCTACAGTTATTAGATTAGTATGCTATTTTGGGTACCTTTACACAGGAAGTGTGGCTTATTTGTTACAATACATGTCCAGTGGTTCTCCCCTTTCAGCAACAGGAAATTGCACTCTCACGTGTTTGGATATGAAACATTGTCAAATTGGGATCGTTTGATAACGCGAATAAATTTGTTTAACTGCTTTAATCCACATTGATAACCCTCTTGCAAATTGACAGCTGACATGTATTTGACAAGTGCGGAAAAGAATGGAAGGGTGGGCGGAGCTAATCAAGGACACGGATCACGGTGCATTGACAAGACGACAGTGAAGTTGACAGATCGGCATCCTTGTTTTCAACTCGGTTGTATTATTTGTTGCATAACCAACAAATATTTCAAAATTAATAATAACAAATTTTTAAACAATAAAGTATTTTCCATCAACTTAATTCGCTTTAAAGTTAAAAACACGTAGTCGTTAGATATTGCAATGACCACTTAATTACGAATTAAGTATGTACTTACTTAATAAGTACTTAATTCGTAACAAGGTAAGTAGGTATAGGAAAATATGTAAAAATGAAAAGACTTGACGAACCACAATTTATTGTTTACAGTAAACAACAATATGTTGTTGAACCATTTATATTTACCAATTCGTAGTTCCTATGTTACGTCACAGTAAACAGCATTAATTTTAAAATAGCTATTTTTATGTTCTCACAACTGAAAATAGCATTATTTACTTGACGTCGTTGAACTGCAACGGATGGAAAAGTCAAAAATAAATCAACCGCACGAAGTTCAGTACTACGAGTGTGTTTCCGGTGTTTTGTGTTCACTAGTTTGGTTGACACTGGAAAAATTGCTATTTCATTTAAGGGTGCCCAGTAGCAGACCGAAAAATGAGTTAAATAGATTTTCATTTTACGGGCGTAATTTCAACTTTGAAAAAAAGATCGACATTTCAATTGATAGATTATGTCTACATCTCTGGGGAACACACAATATTTTTTAAAATAAGTGATTGTTTAGTGTTTCATTAATCGTTCATTCTTCGAAGGAATTTGCATTTTTAGACGAGGAGAGAGCATTTTACGCTTCAACTTTTATATTAGTGCAAATACAACACTGAGCTCAATGGGGAAGACCCGGTCATTTTTATTTAAAATTTACATTTATCAAAATATTTGCTTTTTAAAAAAATACTGACTAATGAAAATAAAGTGAAACTAGGCAACCCTATTTACAAAGTTTTCCGTTTCAATAAATGGTTGAGTTTTACACAGCAGGGAGCTTTGCCGCCGACCCTTTCAGGTAATCAGTCCAGGTACTTTAGGTCATAAAACTCATAAATACTCTTAGCTGACCAACATTGTTGAAACTCTTTTACAAGTCGACTTCTTTCATTGCTGACATAATTTGATCACATACCTTCCAAAAAAATAGAGGATGGGTGGGCGGGGCTAGTTTTGGTAAGATAAATCTGCTTTCGGCACTTTTAATATTTTTGGACCATTTTCAACCATTTTCGAAATAATTGAACTCATTTTACTGTAGATTTCGATACCCAGTTTTTGAGCTAATTTTGGGACCCCGTTTTTTTTTTTTTGAAAAATTTAAAACGGGGTATTCCTGTTTGGAACGAACTTGAAACTGCTTTGGAATCTCGTGTCTTTTCTTATAATAATTTAATTAAATTTCTTAAAGGTTACGTCATTTGAAAACTCACTCTTATTTTAGCAAGTACTAGCATTTTTACTTTTACAATTGGTCGAATTTGAAGTTGTCTATTTTTCGGGTTCTCAATTTTTACATATTTTGTAATTCTTCTTTTTATAATTTTTAGATAGTTTTTCACTTTTTAGCTTCTTCTTTACGAACTTACGATTGTCGTTTTTTTTTACTTTTTTCACATCGACACAAATTTTACAGCTAAATTTAACTTTTTCTGTAGAATCCTATAAGCAAGTAATAGCCCCGCCCATACATCCCCTCTTCATTCCAGTTATTACTTTTAATATTGTTTAGTCATTTACCGAAATCAGTCTAAAACAATATTAAAGCGTAATGACTGGAATGAAGAGAGGGTGGGTGGGAGGAGCTAAACTTAACTTTTTTCTGTAGAATCTTTTATAAATAAACAATAGCCCCGCCCACCCACCCTCCTCTTCATTCCAGTGATTACTTTTAATATTGTTTAGTCATTTACCGAAACCAGTCTAAAACAATATTAAGAATAATCACTGAAATGAAGAGAAGGTGGGTGGGCGGGGCTAAATTGAACTTTTTTCTGTATAATCTTAACAAGCACGCAATAGCCCCGCCCACCCACCCCCTCTTCATTCCAGTGATTACTTTTAATATTGTTCAGTCATTACCGAAATCAGTCTAAAACAATATTAAGAGTACTCACTGGAATGAAGAGAAGGTGGGTGGGCGGGGCTAAATTTAACTTTTTTCTGCAGAATCTTAGCAAGCAAACAATAGCCCCGCCCACCCACCCTCTCTTTTCTTAGAGAGTATGTCATTTGCCTGAATCAGTTTTATCTTATCTAGCTAGTACTTGCTAAGATAAGACTGATTTTGGCAAATCACAACCCTCCAAGAAAAGAGAGGGTGGGTGGGCGGGGCTAGTATTTGATAAGATAAAACTGATTTTGGCATTTTTGACATTTTCGACCAATTTTCGAAATACTTGAAGTCATTTTCTTGTAGATTTCGATATCCAGAAGTTATTTTCGGCTTCATTTCTTCGGAAATTCCTACCGTTTTCTCAAAATCGCCAACTGAAATATAGCAATTTTTACAGTTCCGTCAAAATAGCTGCTTATAAAAATTTTGTAGATAAAAAAGCAAATAATTATTAATTTCTGTTTCACAAAATACAATTATTTTAAGAATGTACTTTGTGGTTTTTATATATTCACAGAAATGTTTAAAATTTGTTTATTTGAATAGAAAAATCAGAACAGGTCAGGAGACGTTAGGTCAAGTCAGGTCAGATGCATGAAATAAGAAATATATTTTATAGCAAATAGTATAACAAAAGAAGTTACGATTGGCACTTTTTTTTACTTTTTTCACATACTTTTTCCACTCCCACTCAACAGAAGAACATAATTAGCTCCGCCCACCCACACTGTCTCTATTTTAGTGATTGATTTTATCCGGTCTGAATGAAATGAATGATCTTATATTGAATAGAAATAAAATTAGTGGTTAGAATGAGAAGAGAGAGGGGGGGGCTAGTAGTTGCTAAGATAAGATTGATTTTGGCAAATCACATACCTCCCAAGAAAATAGAGGGTGGGTGGGCGGGGCTAGTTTTGGTAAGATAAAACTGATTTCGGCACTTTTAATATTTTTGGACCATTTTCAACCATTTTCGAAATAGTTGAACTCATTTTATTGTAGATTTCGATGCCCAGTTTTTGAGCTAATTTTGGGACCCCGTTTTTTTTTTTTTGAAAAATTTAAAACGTGGTATTCCTGTTTGGAAAGAACTTGAAACTGCTTTGGAATCTCGTGTCTTTTCTTATAATAATTTAATTAAATTTCTTAAAGGTTACGTCATTTGCCAAAATCACTCTTATTTTAACAAGTACTAGCATTTTTACTTTTACAATTGGTCGAATTTTAAGTTGTCCGTTTTTCGGATTCTCAATTTTTACATACTTTGTAATTCTTCTTTTCATAATTTTTAGATAGTTTTTCACTTTTTAGCTTCTTCTTTACGAACATACGATCAGCGTTTTTTTTACTTTTTAACATCGACACAGATTTTACAGCTAAATTTAACTTTTTCTGTAGAATCCTATAAGCAAGCAATAGCCCCGCCCTCCCACCCCCTCTTCATTTCAGTTATTACTTTTAATATTGTTTAGTCATTTGCCGAAATCAGTCTAAAACAATATTAAAGTGTAATGACTGGAATGAAGAGAGGGTGGGTGGGTGGAGCTAAATTTAACTTTTTTCTGTAGAATCTTTTATAAATAAACAATAGCCCCGCCCACCCACCCTCCTCTTCATTCCTGTGATTACTTTTAATATTGTTTAGTCATTTACCGAAACCAGTCTAAAACAATATTAAGAGTAATCACTGGAATGAAGAGAAGGTGGGTGGGCGGGGATAAATTGAACTTTTTTCTTAGCAAGCAAGCCATAGCCCCGCCCACCCACCCCCTCTTCATTCCAGTGATTACTTTTAATATTGTTCAGTCATTACCGAAATCAGTCTAAAACAATATTAAGAGTACTCACTGGAATGAAGAGAAGGTGGGTGGGCGGGGCTAAATTTAACTTTTTTCTGCAGAATCTTAGCAAGCAAACAATAGCCCCGCCCACCCACCCTCTCTTTTCTTAGAGAGTATGTCATTTGCCTGAATCAGTTTTATCTTATCTAGCTAGTTCTTGTTAAGATTAAGGCTGATTTTGGCTTTTTTGACATTTTCGACCAATTTTCTAAATACTTGAAGTCATTTTTTTGTAGATTTCGATATCCATAAGTCATTTTCGGCTTCATTTCTTCGGAAATTGTTACCGTTTTTTCAAAATCGCCAACTGACATATAGCAATTTTTACAGTTCCGTCAAAATAGCTGCTTATAAAAATTTTGTAGATAAAAAAGCAAATAATTATTAATTTCTGTTTCACAAAATACAATTATTTTAAGAATGTACTTTGTGGTTTTTATATATTCACAGAAATGTTTAAAATTTGTTTATGTGGGACAATAGAAAAGTCAGAACAGGTCAGGTCACGTTAAGTCAAGTCAGGTCAGGTGCTTGAAATATAAAATAAATTTTATAGCAAATAGTTATAACAAAAAAATTACAATTGGCGCTTTTTTTTACTTTTTTCACATCCTTTTTCCACGCCCATTCAACAGAAGAACATAATTATCCCCGCCCACCCACCCTGTCTCTATTTTAGTGATTGATTTTATCCGGTCTGAATGAAATGAATGATCTTATACTGAACAGAAATAAAATTAGTCGTTGGAATAAGACGAGGGGGGGCTAGTACTTGCTAAGCTAAAATTGATTTTGGCAAATCACATACCTTCCAAAAAAATAGAGGGTGGGTGGGCGGGGCTAGTATTTGATGAGATATAACTGATTTTGGCAGTTTTAAGATTTACGACCATTTTTCAACCATTTTCAAAATAGTTGAACTCATTTTCTTGTAGATTTCGATATCCAGTTTTTAAGTTAATTTTGGGACCCTGTTTTTTTTTTTCAAAAATTTTAAACAATTTTAAGGTTTTCCGTATTCCTGTTTGGAAAGAATTTGACACTGCTTTGGAATCTCTAGTGTCTTTTCTTATAATAATTTAATTAAATTTCTTAGAGGATATGTCATTTGCTAAAATCAGTCTTATCTTAGCAGGTACTAGCCCCGCCCACCCACCCTCTCTTTTCTTGGAGGGTATGTCATTTGCCAAAATCAGTCTTACTTTAGCACATACTAGCCCCGCCCACCCACCCTCTCTTTTCTTAGAGAGCATGTCATTTGCCAAAATCCTCCAAGAAAAGAGAGGGTGGGTGGGCGGGGCTAGTATTTGATAAGATAAAACTGATTTTGGCTTTTTTGACATTTTCGACTAATTTTCTAAATACTTGAAGTCATTTTTTTGTAGATTTCGATATCCATAAGTCATTTTCGGCTTCATTTCTTCGGAAATTGTTACCGTTTTTTCAAAATCGCCAACTGACATATAGCAATTTTTACAGTTCCGTCAAAATAGCTGCTTATAAAAATTTTGTAGATAAAAAAGCAAATAATTATTAATTTCTGTTTCACAAAATACAATTATTTTAAGAATGTACTTTGTGGTTTTTATATATTCCCAGAAATGTTTGAAATTTGTTTATTTGAATGGAAAAGTGAGAACAGGTCAGGTGACGTTAGGTCAAGTCAGGTTAGATGCATGAAATAAGAAATATATTTTATAGCAAATAGTATAACAAAAGAAGTTACGATTGGCGCTTTTTTTTACTTTTTACACATACTTTTTCCACTCCCACTCAACAGAAGAACATAATTAGCCCCGCCCACCCACCCTGTCTCTATTTTAGTGATTGATTTTATCCGGTCTGAATGAAATGAATGATCTTATACTGAACAGAAATAAAATTAGTGGTTAGAATGAGAAGAGAGGAGGAGGGGGGGGGGCTAGTAGTTGGTAAGATTGATTTTGGCAAATCACATACCTTCCAAGAAAATAGAGGGTGGGTGGGCGGGACTAGTTTTGATAAGAGAAATCTGATTTCGGCACTTTTAATATTTTTGGACCATTTTCAACCATTTTCGAAACAGTTGAACTCATTTTATTGTAGATTTCGATACCCAGTTTTTGAGTTAATTTTGGGACCCCGTTTTTTTTTTGAAAAATTTAAAACGGAGTATTGCTGTTTGGAAAGAACTTGAAACTGCTTTGGAATCTCGTGTCTTTTCTTATAATAATTTAATTAAATTTCTTAAAGGTTACGTCATTTGCCAAAATCACTCTTATTTTAGCAAGTACTAGCATTTTTACTTTTACAATTGGTCGAATTTTAAGTTGTCTATTTTTCGGGTTCTCAATTTTTACATATTTTGTAATTCTTCTTTTTATAATTTTTAGATAGTTTTTCACTTTTTAGCTTCTTCTTTACGAACTTACGATTTGCGGTTTTTTTCCTCTCCCATACTCGAAAGAAGAACATAATTAGCCCCGCCCACCCACCCTGTCTCTATTTTAGTGATGGATTTTATACAGTCAGAATACATTGAATGATTTTATTATAGTCAACATAAATAAAATTAGTCGTTAGCATAATTATCGACACAGAACTACGGCATGGACGTGAAGACTTTTTACTTCCCGTTGGCTAACCAAAATAACATTCGTGATTTCCAGATGTTTGAATCTATTGGACCGTACTATAGAATTTTAGGTAATTTTCTATTTCAAGGTTATTGATAAACAAAATATCTGATCCCGCCACAAATCTAATGACGTCATCAATATTCGCAAAAAATAGTTATAATACCTAGTTATAGAACTGATTTTAGAATTTGAACATACACTGAAAAAAAAATTAATGGACCAACTTTAATTTTGTTCTATAGTATAGACGTGACAAGGAGTGGGTGTTATTAAAGATTTTTTAAGAGTGAATGAAATAAATACCCAGTACATAATATATCCATGCTGATTCTCCATAAAAAGTATATTGAAAAAGACATGCACATTAAGTTATTACAAACTATTAAACAGTAGAAAAAAAATATCTATGAGTAAGTCCAACCATGTCGTCCACATTAACACAATATAACATAGTACCTCACCACTTTCAGTATTATAAATGAAATAATAGTGGAATCCCAACATTCTTACCCTCTCGCGCACCTTTTTGATGGCGATAAAGTCATCAACACTCTAATAATCTCTTCCAACCAGTCTAGCATTCGTTCATGAACTTGTAAAATAATTTTGAACATTTCTAAAAGTCTTTTATAGTTTATACATATATCATAATAGGTCTTCAACAGAGAACGGAGTTCACCTGAATATTCAGACTCTCTCCATGATGAAGTCTGGGGTGAAGCTTGGGGTAAATCCGTTTCTTCGCTTATTTTTGGCTCTTGTTCGTCAGCTTGCTTGGTCACATTTTCCCCGATTAATTTAACACGGAGGTCTTCAGTTTTCAGTCCAATTTCTGGTTCACCTTTTTGTAATTCATTTTTACTCGGAAACTGATTGTTGGAATATTTGTTTTGGTTGGATGGGGTTCCAATGCTTGAAAAAAGACCACTTTAAACCTTAACCTTAATTTTTAAATTCCATAAATTTACTTACTTTGTTTTTTTCGCTGCTGCGTTGTTCGAGTATTTATAGGACCTGTCCATTTTATTTATTCTTTTTCGACAAAATACAACGGATTCACAGAAAAATTATAATAAAACTAATAAATTGTTACTTAGTTTTAAATATCCGTCTAATCTTAATTAGTTTTTCGATGGGAAATTAAAAACTTGTACAAAAAACAGGAACTGCGATCAGTAACTTTTGCGTGACCAACGTGAGAAATTAAACAACCAAAATCCCAATCATAAAAGATAGCAGGGATTTTTGATGAACTTATACTCTTGATTTCTACTCTGTGCAGCTGGGGGAAACCCTGATCACAAGTAATGTTACGGTACATACCAGCATGTTATTCCGCACGCTCCAATTAAAACTTGCTTTGCAAAATATTGGAGTGACGTCACTAAGTTTTTGGAAGGGATGAACAGGTAAGTGGAAAAGTAAAAACCGTATTTTGTCAGCAAATATCAGAATGAAAAGCTTTAATATAATACATTAACTACAAAAGAAAAGATGGAAAATAACGACTTAACTATAATATAATAAACATAACACAGTAACTACAAAACAAAAAACAATATAATACGTTAATACTTTGTCACTGATGACAACTGAAACCAGTAATTCTATAGTCTTATTATCTATAACCTGCCTCTATTATAATTAAATCGTTGGAGATCAATTTGATAAAAAATAAAATGGCACCCCAACTTTTCAATATTACACATTACAGGCCAGCTGGAGCCCAAACCCACATTCTCACCTTCCTGAACACCTTCTTTTTGTCAAACTTTTCAGGATCCCAGCCAGGATTGTACTCGCCCAACCAGTCGGTGATTAATTCTTCGTACTCTTTGTGACTAGGATTTTTATAAACTTCCACCAAATGGTTATACCCATCGACCCCGCCGCAGTCTTCCGGGGGACACGCCCGCTTCCCCCCTGTACATTTAGGATATTCTGCTTTAGGTGGCGGCGGCGGCAAAATTTTTTCCACAATAACTTCATGCACCCAGCTATCACCTAAATCAAATTCATACAAAAGTCTATCATCTTTCGCCGACAGAAATCTTGACAATTTAGTAGTTTCTTCTTTGAGCAGATGTCGTTCAGTAAAATCGTAAACTAAGCCTTCAAGGGTTCCATTAACGATTAATATATTTGAGTTTGTTTTTGGATTGGAAACGATAAATTGGTGAGAACGGTCGGAAATCCAGCCCATGGCTTCATTGATGTTGTTGCGGAGATCGAAAAAAGTGCTGTTATTCAAGACTTGAATGCGGCGAAAAATTGGAGGGGTGATGTCTCTCAAGGAAATTTTTAATTGTAGAATGGATTTGTTCGGGGGCTTGGGAGCTTTTTCCTCTTTATTTGAGGAAGGAGTGGCTTTCTTTGGCTTAGTCACTTTTTTTGTAATGGGTTTTTTAATTTCAAAATCGTCATCTGGAGAAACGTCGTCTGTTTCTAGATCTTGGGTTTGTTTGTTCATATTTGCATCACTTTCTTGTTTTTCTAATTTTTTATTTTTCTTTTGTTTGGTTGCTTTATTTGCAGGTTTGGTCTCTTCTTTACTGTTGGAGTCATCCGATTTTTCGTGTTCAGATTTTTTATCCTCTCTTGTGGCTTTAGTTAGTTTCTTATTTTTAGTAACAGGTTTTTTGCCGTCATCTAATTTGGTTTTCTTTTCAGGTTTTTCAGTATTTTTGGTTTGTCGGGTCCGTTTTTTTGTTTGTGGCAAGTCACTAGTTTCTTCTTTTATTACTTCTGTACTAGTCATTTTAGATTTTTGGACTCTAGTTTTTTTGCTTGTCTTGTTTGAATTTTTGTCAAGTTCTGCAACAGCTTCAAACTTGTCCTTCTGTTCATCTTTAACATCATTTTCTTCCAGAAGAGCCAGTGAACTGCCACTTTAAATTAAAACACTTTCAACCTTATTTAACAATACAAACTTACCTGTCTTTAAAGTTCATTTTTTCTATCTGCACTGTTGGATTTTTCTTGTCATTCTTAGCCTGTTCATCTTTAGGCTTCTGGGCTCTATTTCTTTTGCTCATTTTAGTTGAACTTTTGTCAGGTTCTGCAACACCTTCAAACTTACCCTTTTGTTCATTTTTAACATTGGTATCATTTCCTTCTTGGGGAGTAGGTGAAGCGCTACTTTAAATGAAAAAAACTTTAACTCCTACTGGAACCTTTACAACTAGTACTAACTTACCTCATATCTTCATCTTTCTTGTCGATTTTAGCTTGTTCATCTTTAGGCTTCTGGACTCTACTTTTTTTAATTCTTTTATTTGAATTTAGGTTAGGTTCTGCAGCAGCTTCAAACTTATCCTTCTGCTCACTTTTGACTCCATCATCACTTCCTTCTGAAGGAGGCGTTGAACTGTCATTTCAAACAAACAAATTTTCAATCTTCAAAGCTTAATATGAACTTACCTGTCTTCGAATGAGCTGATTTTTTCTACCTCTTCCATCTGATTTTTCTTGCCAATCTTGGCCCGTTTTACCTGTTTTCTTGGCGGCTGATCAAAATCTGAGACTTCATTTTGTGCTGTTGCTTCACAATTTTCATCCGTTGTCTCTGGAACGTCATTTTCCTCCTCGATAACGGGAAGATTTGCAGGCCGCTTCTTCCGTTTTTTAATCAACTCTTCTGACTTCAGAATTTCGGTTTTCTTTGATTCATCAACACTCAAAGTGCTATCATCCACGATCGGCGCACTTTCGTTACTAAAAACGACACTCATTATTTATAATTTTTAATTTGAAAATAACTTACTCTGTGTTGCTAGGCAATTTAGTTTTCGCTGCACGTTTGCGGGATTTGCCTTTGTTATTCATTTTAGAGCTTGATTACCACTTTCAAATACACTATTTTCTAACCTTTGTACTTGGTCTTCAAGTAAGGAAGCTTTATTTAAACACCTGGTTTCCGTTTCGCTATTATGAAAGTATAATAACGAAACCACAACGAAATATGTGTCTGAAATCCCGCGTTCCAAATAACGACATTTGTGTTGCCAATATTAACGTTGCAAAAGCAGAATTGCCAACCTGACGAGAAAACAGGGATTTTAGGGTACGTGTGTTTTTCAGCTCTGCGAGATTAGATCAGGGGAAATACGTATATCTCTGCTTACTGGCCGAGCCACACTTTTAAATACGGGTATGTAACACTTGCAGGGCTTTGTATTTCTCTCAATGATAACACTCAAATGTGTAATATGTTTTGTCTTATGGTTGGCCACTCTGTAAATTTTCGGAAATGTTTTAATAAAATGCGTTTTTACGACAAATTAATTAAATTAGTCTACATAATTGTTCTGAACGAAAAGAGTGTTAAATGCTCGGTTAAATGCGTGCTTTATGGTGTCATAATATATAAAATATTTATACTGAATGATTGTGAAAAAAGTTACTAAAGCCTCCGCACAAAAAACTAGTTCTAGCGGCAATTTTAAATTAAATAAAATTTACTTTATTAACCAACTTTTACTGATTTCTGACGGATCCAAATGGCACCAGTAAAAACAAATCCTTGAAGTTTGTGTTATGATAGAAAAGTTACTAAAAATTCGAAATCTAATAGTTTAACAACCTACCTGTAGATCAAATATCACTGATAACTCGTGATACCCTTTCTCACTACTGTGACCTTGGAAATTATAAAATAAATAAAATATAAAACGAGATATTTTCTGTGGATAAATGATTCTTTGGGAAAAGTAAAACTTATTTTATTTTGAAGATGTAATCGAAAAACCGGAGTTGTGACATTCTCCTTTTTACTTCCCGATATGATACCATACATTAATATAGATGAGGCTGATTTTGCAAAACCACCCTTATTGACATTGGAGTCCTCAACCGCCAAAGACAAGCGCCAAATTTAAATAGTCGATGCCAATAAAAAAACTTGTTTCACAGCTCGTCGGCTGAGAACTTGTTTGATCTACAGACCAGAGTGCGCTCAGGCCAATGTCGACTCTAAAAGCGTTCAAAAGCGATTTGGTTGGTTTGGACTATAATTTCTGGTCGGTTTTTATAACGACCAAGTCAATATTTTTGATATATTAAACTAAGAATATTGTTGAAATCGTAATAACCCAATGGATTTTTTTCGGGAAAATATTTTGGAAACACTGTTCTATTTTGTATGCATTTTTAAATGTTTTTAGTGACAATTTTTGTGGTTGTTTTCGATACACTGTATGATACTAACAGTGAAAAAAAAAAAAATGAAAAATTCGAAACCCTAAAAAATCGTAAAACCGAAACATTGAAAAATCTAAATATCGAAGAACTGAAAATCGAAAAATGAAACACCAGAAAATCGAAAAATGTAAAATTTAAAAACCGAATAACGAAAAATCGAGAAATCGAAACTTCCAAATTTAAAAGATCGGATAACTGAAAAATCGAAACATCGAAAAACTGGAAAATCGAAAAACCGAGAAATCGAAAAATCAAAAGATCAAGAAATCGTGGGGTCGAAAAGTCGAACAATTGAGAAACCGAAATAGGTCTAAATCGAAAAATTAAAAATTGAGAAATTGACAATCAAAATATCGAAAAATCCAAATCTCGATAAATCGAGAAATCAAAAAACTTAAAAATTCGAAAAATTGAAAAATTGGGGGATTGAAAGATCAAAAGAACGGGAAATCGAAAAGTGATGAAGTCGAAAAATCGAAAAATAGAGAAATCGACAAACAAAAAGTTAAAAGTTGAAAAATTGAAAAAGCGGAAAAATCAAAAAACGAAAAAATGGAAAACTGGAAAAACTGAGAAACCGAAATAGGCCAAAATAAAAAATTGAAAACCTGATAAATCGAAAACTTGAATAATCAAATCTCAATAAATCGGGAATGAAAAATTAACAAATCGAAAAATTGAAAATCAGAACATCTAAAACCAGGAAGTCGAAAAATCGAAAGACTAAGAAATATTGAAAAATTAAAATATCAAAATATTGAAAAATTTAAAATCCAAAAATTGGAAAATCGAAAAAGTAAAAAGGTAGACACATTGAGAAATCCAGAAGCCAAAAACAGAAAAGCCGAAGAATTGCAATATTGAAAAATCCTAAAATTGAAATATCTAAAAACTGAAAAATCGAAAAATCAAAAAGTGAAGTCGAAAAATAGAAACCTTAAAAAATCAAAAAATTAAAGAATTGAGGAATAGGAAAATCGAAACACTCGAAGGTCAAGAAATGGGAAAATCAGAACATCGATTAATTGAAACATCGAAAAACTGCGAGTTTATGAAAGTCAAATTTGAAAAATTAAAAAATCGAAAATTTAACAAAACGACAATTGAAAAACAGAAAATGTAAAACCGGGAAGTCGAAAAATCAAAAGATTAAGAAATCGAAACATTTGAAAAATTCGAAAACGTGAAAAATTCAAATATCGAAGAACTGAACTGAAAAATCGAGAAATCGAAAAATCTAAAATTTAAAAATCGAAAAAGTAAAATAATCAACACATCGAAAAATCCAAGAGTCAAAAATCGAAAAGTCGAAGAATCTAAATATTGAAAAATCCCAAAACTGAAATATCGAAAAACTGAAAAATGAAAGAAAAACTGAAAAATGGAAAACCTGAAAAATTCGAAAACTGAAATATCCAAAAACTGAGAACCTAAAAAGTCGAAAAATTGAGCAACCAAAAAAATCCAGAAAGTGAAGTTGAAAAATTGAAACTTTAAAAAAACTAAAAAATGAAAAATCGAAAAATTAAAGAATTGAAGAACAGGAATATCGAAAGCATCGAAAGTCAAGAAATGGGAAAATAAAAACATCGGTTAATTGAAAAATCGAAAATTTGAAAAAACGACAATTGAAAAACAGAAAACCTAAAACCGGGAAGTCGAAAAATCGATTGATTAAGAAATCGAAACATTTGAAAAATTAAAATACCAAAAAACTGAGAAATCTAAAATTTAAAAATCGAAAAAGTAAAAAGTCGACACATCGAAAAATCCAGAAGTCACAAATGAAAAAGTCGAAGAACAGAAATATTAAAAAATCCCAAAACTGAAATATCGAAAAATTGAAAAATGAAAGAAAAACTGACGAATCGAAAAACTGAAAAATCCCAAAACTGAAATGTCCAAAAACTGAGAAATTAAAAAATTGAAAAATTGAGAAACCGGAAAAAACAAAAAAGTGAAGTTGAAAAATCGAAACCTGAAAAAATTGAAAAACTGAAAAAACAAAAAACCTGAAAAATCAATTAATTGAAAAATCGACAAATAAAGAGTTTAAAAATTGAAAAATCGAAATATTTAAAAGTCGTAAAATTAAAAAGAAAAACTGAAAACCGAGAAATTGAAAAATTGAGAAATTGTAAAATCCAAAAATTGAATAATAAATATGAGTAAACTGAAAAGTCCCCAAACTAAAATTTCGAAAAACTGAGAATTCGAAAGTTGAAACATCAAGAAATTATGGTCGAAATGGCTAATAAATCAAATCGTTTCCGAACGCTAAGAGTCGACATTGGCCTGAGTGCGTTCTGGTCTGTAGATCAAACAAGTTCTCAGACGACGAACTGTAATTCTTGTGACCTGAATTAAAATGAAGGAAATAGTAAGCAGCTTGTAATATTCTCGTTAATTTGTCGAAAGTAAAACGCGTCGTTAAAAATATTATGACATTTTTTCTATTGTACAATAGTTAATTTTATTCCTAGTTAGCAACAAACACTATTTCCAACATAAGTCGAGGAGTCCTCAAGCGTCATTTAATATTAAACTATGACGCTTCTCTATGTTCTCTGATGATACTTATGATAGGCATGATAAATTTTTCATCAAAATATATTTACTTATCCCCTCCAAAAAATTGATGACGTCAGGTCAAAATTTTGCCGAATAAATCCTATCTAAAATGTAGAAAATATGATGAATCTGTACTTATGATTTATCAATCCATTCATATTTTTGGATTTGCTTATACAGGCTGACTCAAAAAAATTACCGAATGCGTGAATTTATTTTATTGATTTAATCAGGAACTACAAAATCGAATGCTTTGAAATCTTGGAGATGTCTTAAAAATATCACAGCATGGTAAATTTTTGATCAAAATGTATTTGCTCATCCCCCTAAAAAATTTTGCTGAACAAATCACTGCATTAATATTTTTTAGATTTGCTTATAGGGGGTGCCTTAAAAAAATTAATGACTGAGTCAATTTATTTTATTGTTTAAATCAAGAATTGCAAAACTGAATATTTTAAAATCTTGCAGACGTTTTGAAGTTATTGTAAGCATTATGGAGACCGAATTTGAATTAAAATTTCGCGCTGAAAAAATTAACAGCGGCCCGAAATCGCATTTGAATCATTTGAATTTGAAAAAAAAATCAATCAAAAAAATCGTTAAACATAGGCAACGTTAGGAAATTTCTGTTGGTGGATAGAGGGGCAAGAGTTGTTACTTTTGGTTTGTGTATTGTACATGAAGTTATGTGGTGAGTAAGCTAGGTTAAGTTTAGTTGGTTTGGTAGTTAATAAAAATGGAGAGCCTTTGTTTAACAAAAATTAATCGTAACGACGACGACGCCACAGTTTCCCCAACACGCGCTACCACGTGTAAATTTGGTTCATTGTTTGTAAATTCCTAAATTCACAGTTCGTGTTAGGATTTTAATCGTTAACAGTCATAAGTTTGTTCAGACAACAGCACTTACTAGCAGGTATCGTGGACTGAGGTCCAGTGGGTTTACAAATTCCTCTCCTTAGGCAGTTATTATCATCATATCATCAATACATCACCGAGACATTTTCTCGCAACATGGAAAATTACATCACCGAGACGCATATTCCTCGCAGCGCCTAATGCACTTTGTGTTTATTTACCATGTGTTTTGTCTGGGATAAGCTGAGGACAGTTCACGATATAAACTCTCAAGCTAATTGTTTTAAGTAACCAATCAATTGGATACTGGCATAATTTAGCATGATGTAAATTCTTTGTTTGAATAATCCTCGATAAAGTGCGGCATAATTTAACATAATGTAAATTCTTTGTTTGAATCGTTGATAAAGTGGGGCATAATTTAGCATAATGTAAATTCAGCACATGTTTGAACTGTAAAATTTTATTGAACAAATTAACAACATTTTTTTGTTTGAACGACGCATTCGTCCGACGCCATTTTGAGTATCCAGATTGCCTGCTATGTTTTTTTATGTTTGTTTGGGGAATGTAAAACGTTGGCCCACAATGCAGCTGAATTATTTCACTTTTGAAAATTAACCAATAACTCGATGGACATAAAATATTAAATTCATGTAATTTTATTAGCTTTTGCAATTTTTCACCTCATACAATTTTAACCTCAGTAATTTTCTATGCTGTATAATTTAATTTCAACGTAAATTTTCATGCTCTGGAATTTCTAACCTCACGTAGTTTTACAAATCTTTGCTAGTTTTTTTTTTCTTGTAAATATTTTGTTAATGCTTCCATCATATAATTGTCTGATGTCCAATCCTAATCTCAGATAAACATTTTTGCTGTTTAAAAATTTCGTAGTATATGGCGAATTTAAATGTTGTTTATTGACTTTTTGAAAGTTTAACACTTGTTCAGCTATCGTTAATATAGGTATAACTCTGATAAGTGAACATTTAAATGAAACTGAGGTTAAATAATACAGAAACACGTGGCAGAAGCGGAGGGCGCGGTGTCTAGTCGAGCTGGCGGGATTTATTGCGTCATCTGCACAAAAGTGGAATATGCATGTATTGTTTGGCAACCAGAATAAACCGTTAATTACAGATAGAACGTATTCAGAGACGATTTTTGAAATTTCTTTCTTTCAAATGCGATGGAGTATATCCTTCTAGAAATATTAAACGCTACATTTATGTGGAAATTAATTCATAACTATGTAGATTGTGCCCAACTTCTTGCTAGTATTAATTTTCATGTGCCACGTTTATTTTCGCTTTATTCATCTACATTTTGTGTACAAGCGCCTAAATCCAATGTATTAAGGAATTCACCAGTACGTGATTTATGTCGGAATGCTAACAATGTATATCTTGATATATTTTTTGATAAAATTTAATTAATTAGGAATTAGAATAGTACTTTGGGTAGCCAAAATTTATAGTAAACCTGTTTTTTGTTCTAATGTTGATATTATTTTGTTACATATTTATAGTGTAAAGAATGTATTTAATTTAAGTTTTTTATTTTGTCCTGTTATTGGGGTTACTCCTGTTGGGTAATAAAGGATTATTATTATTAAAAGACGCAGATTTGAATGGAAGTCAGGGGCGGTCGAAATAACGTGACGCTGTCGGCTTCTCCCCATAGCTGAGACCCAACCACGGGTTTGCGACCGTAAGGGCCTGCTCGTAATGGAGGGGTGCTTGCTAGAATGACCGTCGTGGGTAGGAGAACAGCCACGACCAGGGGCCCCAAACTCCGGTCGAGCTACAACGCCCCCTGTGGGTAATCCTGCTGTGTTCTAATTCGATCGCCACACTCTTATGGCGCTCTGGTGCCGCTGCATAGTCTTTTATTAAAATTTTGTTCTCTTGTTGACTGTCATAATTTTAAATTTGCCGCCACACGTCCGTAATAACTTGTGTATTTGCATCCAGTTACTCAAATTCAGATTTTTTCGTTTTTATTAAATTTGTGATATTCAAATATTTGCATTGATTCAGAACGTTTAATTTGATTCCATTCAAAATTAAGCAAGGTTTTTTTTTTAGCTGAGCATGAAGGGATAAATAATTATGAACGCATTCCGCCACAGAAAAAAGCACACAACGTAGGTTCCATTTTGTTAGGCGATCACAACCAAGGCCAAATTTTTGAATTGTTCGCGGGGTTTCAGTTTTTTTTTCATATGTCAATTTAAGGCGGGATGTTTGGATTATCACAGCACTGTAACTTTTTAATCAATCAACCCCAAAAATTTAATTACGTCATCTCAAAATTTTGTCGAATAAATCCTATTTAAAATGTGCAAAATACACGGAGGTAGAAGAGTCTCTTCTACCTCCGTGGTAAAATATGATCAGTTTATACTTGTAATTTATCATCGCATTCATATTTTTTAGATTTGGTTATACAGGATGACTCGAAAAAATTAATAAATCGGTCAATTTACTTTATTGAATAAATCAAAAATTGCAAAACTCAATGCTTTGAAATCTTGCAGACGTTTTAAAGTCATTGTAAGCAAGGTAAATTGTTAATCAAAATAAATCTGCTTATTCCTCCCAAAAAATTGATGACGTTATCTCAAAATTTTGCCGAATAAATAACACCCAAAATGTGAAATGAGTTTTTACTCGTACTTCATCATTGCGTTGCATTTTTCCCGAAAATGTGAAAATACAAACGTGTTTATTTAATAAGAATTATATTAATGATATTCAAAACGTTTTGTCGATTGTAGCTTACCTACTACTTAATAGTTTTGATCGTCTGTTTTGAGGGGACGAACTAATTCAAATCAAACTAATTTCTACGTGACATTGTTCCGATGTATAAACAAACACTTTCAAGTTGTTTTTTTATCGAGGATGACCTAATAGTCCATCGGACAATTTGGTACTTTCATATTTTTTAGATATTTCGTAACTCCTAGACAAGGCCGTAGTTAGAGGGAGGCTAGGGCATGCTAAGCCTCCCCTAGATCTAGACACGTTATAATTAACCAAATGTGAATTACAACATCGAAAATCAAAATAAAATGTAGTGTTTTATTCAATAAGCGGGAGTCAGAGCAATAAAAAAGTCTGGACCGTCGGCACTGTGATCCGGTTATTGCAATTCGTAGGAAACATCTTTTAGTTTAGTTTCTGTTTCACTCTCACGTCTATAGGTTGATAAGTGTTAGAGACAGGTAGACTTTTGGAAGGCCAGGCACTTAAATCGAGATAACCTACCAAGTTTTTGTAATGTGTATATAGTAACCCGGCGCATCCGCGAAGTATATTCACTCACAAACTTCAATTCAGACTACCCAGCAAAAAAACACACATTGAAAAAAATCTTTACTTCTAATTCAAATTACGTAACAACCGATCAATCGAATCAAACGTAAAAGACATCAACTTCAACTGCAAACTCCACTTTCTTAGCATATTATTCTTCTGATGAATCAGTCTGACGCAGCGAATGAGTGTTACATCACTTCTTGACGTTGTGGGTTCGTCAGATTTCTGTTTGAACATTAACTTAACAAAATCAGCAACTTTTGTAATTCGCTTTTCATCAATTAGACGAACTCTTTCTTTCTCGAAATGCCCCTTAAAAAATAGTTCATACTCGTCTTGCTCCTGATTTCCCAGAACAAACGACTGACAAACTCCGAGCATGAGTTCTGCTTCGTACTCGGTGAGTTCATCTTGCTCTTGCGCTGATTGGCTCATGTTTCTCACCACGCAAGAAACGATGAATCGCATGGATTGGATCTGTTTTTTGGCAATTCCAACACAGTTCGCATACCGAAATTCATCGGCTTTTGGGGTTACTATGTGGTCTTCTTTTTCTCCTGCTCTCAAACGGTGTAGTTTGGTTTTTATTAGTACAGGGAGGTATTCCATGCGTTCTCGAATGTAATCGCCAACTGTGTAACTGTCTGGTAACACTGAGAGTTCCAACTGAGCTTTTACGTACGCCATAATGATCACCGTGATGTACAGAAGTAGGATCACTTGCATGCACACCAAGTAAAAACTAAAGTAGCAATACGAAATTTGGAAATCTAAATAATCGCTTAAGTCGAATTGGTCAGGCTTTAGGGCCATTTGAATAAGAGTAGCAACGATTTTTATAAATGAGGACAGTTCAGGGTATTCATTTCCTAAAATCAGAATTCCCGAAAATCCAAAACCTGTTAAAATGATGGCAAAAGCGAAAGTTACAGATAAGAGAGGAAACGCGGCTATCGAAAGAGTGCGTTCCATAACTCTGAAAAATATTCCGAATCTCAGAAATTTCCACAAACGAATAGTTGCTACTCCGACGAGAATCCCAGAAAATAGTGTGAGAAATCCTTCGGCATACAACAAATTGAAGTAACTCACGAATTCATTGTGCTTTACTTCTTCCAACTTTTCAAGGTACTCTCCTACACTCCGCATTCGGAGTATAAATGTGGATATAGTGATAACACTCACAAATATTATGAGAAAGTCGATCATTACCCATACTTTTTTGTAGAAAGTTGCAAGGTTCTTAAGAATGTCGAAGAACAACTTCAGGATAAGCAGCGTCAACCAGACGCTAAATAAAATGAAGAAAACCATCGTGGCGTGTTCCATTTCGTTTTGGACGAACAGCATTCGTATCACGTCCACCTAGAATAAAAGAAGTTGTCTAGTAGACCATGAAATTTATTTTTAAAATGAAACGAATGAGAGTAAAAAAATACATTTTACCTGTATAGTTTTGGCAGCATATCCCGTAGCGCTGTACTCGTACAACAACGAAACCACCACAAATACGTTATAATTCGCATTGTACATCAAAAATTCAATAAAAAAAGCTCGTGTTTTGTGATCCACCCAGAAACCTCTCCACAGTTTCAGGAAATTGGCGTATGAATTATAAAAGTGGCGTCCTAGATATGAAACATATCCTCCTCCTGGATACGAAGCCATCCTTCCTGAAAACAGAGCAAAGAAATGCTCGCTATAAATTAAGTAACACTGTTTAAACCTACCCCAATTTAAAAAAGTTTCAGTCTCCTTTTGAGTCTGATAATAATATATATCTTTCATTCTATCATATTCGTCACTTGGGTGAAATTTACCCCACTGGTAGCCAAACGTTCGATATTCGGCATTACCCATAGTAAATTCTGGCCAGCAAGTAGTGTTTAAGAATTTTAACAGTTCGGGGATTACACAATCGACTGGGGCCATCCGATGTTGTCTCAGTCTGGCGATACCAATGTATTTGTTTGCATTGTCTATCATAAGTCCGGCGTCCGGAATTGAATAATTCGCGTACCATGTAACAGGTTGCATTGTTGGAATTAAAGTTTCATTGATATACTGGTATATTCTAAAACACAAAGTATTATCAGTAGCAGATAAAATTAGTAAAGTGTATATTATGGAATGGCAATTTCCCATTTCAAATGTATAATTTTACTATGTTGTGCTAAAGTGCCAATAAGTATGAGAAAAGTTACCTTAACCACAACACATTTCACACCTTATTCGACTTTAGTACGTTCATATGTCGAGAAGCATCAGTGGAGGCATTTGTGTTAAAAAATGAAATTTGATACATTCTATTTAATTATCTTAGATCTTATCAAATAATATACTCCTATATTTGTGGTTTATAAATCCGCCTTGGTTTTTTAAATCCGAATTGTATAATATAGCATACAAGCAGCCGTTCCCGACTTGTCAGTGGGATTTATAAACTAGGTGTTGACGTTGAAGTTCCCGTTGCAGTAATTTTGATATTCAACTTTTGCCGTATTTAAAGGGGTTGTAAAAGAAATGTGGAGGATTTAAGTTGATTATTACAAAAATTTACGATTTTAGACGTGTTTTAAGTTTCTTGTTGTCGAAATAAGTATACAGATACTAAGAAAAAAAAGACAAAATGTAGCCCCACCCACCCGCCCTATCTCAATTATGACGATTTTTTTTATTCGTCGTGAGCCAGGAAGGCGGAGCTTAACTGCAAAATCCTTAATTCTCTACGAGAAATTAAAAACAAGTTTTTGAGTATCGTGTTGTTTAAAGAAGACCATGTATATTAAGAAAAAAATTATGCTAAAGATTAGGCCCCACCCATACCTACCCTGATCTAAATAGTAATGAAGTTTTCATTTGTTGGCAGATCTAGGGGCGGAACCTAATTGCAAAATCCATATTTCCTTACAAAAATTTTCCATTTTAAACGTGTTTTAAGTTCCTAAGAAAAAAAAAATGATCACAATCGAAATGGGGTGGGTGGGCGGGGTTTATATTTTGCCTTTTTTCCTTAATATACGTCGTATTCTTTGAACAACACGATACTCAACAACATGTTTTTAATTTCTTGTAAAGCAATAAGTATTTTACAGTTAAGCTCCACGCCCTTGGTTCACGGTGAATTAAAAAACATACAATTGAGATAAGGCGGGTGGGTGGGGTTTATATTTTGCACATAGGACAATTGAGAAATCGAAAAATAAAGAAATCGAGAATTTGAAAATCTGAAGAATCGAAAAATTGGAAAATCCCAATACTGAAATATCGAAAAAATTAAAATTGAAAAATTGAAAAATCGAAAAATTGAAGAAAAAAAAACTGAAAAAACCCAAAACTAATATCAAAAAATTGAGAAATCGAAAGTTTAAAAATCGGAAATTCGACAAACTGAAAAATTAAAATAGAATTGAAGAATCAAAAAATCAAAATTTGAAGAATCGAAAAACTGAAAAATCGAGAAATTAAAAATTCCAAAACTGTAATTACGAAAAATTGGAGAATCGAAAAATCAAAAAGCTGAAAAGTCGAAATGAAATAGAAGTCGAATATCGAGAAACCGAAACATAAAAAAATCGAGAAAAATTGAAAAGTTGAAAACAGGAAATTAAAAAAATCGGTAAAAATAAAAAAATCGATAAATCGAAAAATCGTGGCGTGGAAACTTTGAAAAATCCCCAACCGAAATATTGAAAAATGGAAGAAAAATTTAAGAATGGAACAACTGAAAAATCCCAAAACTGAAACATCGAAACACCAAGAAACCATGAAATGGGAAAATTAAAAATCGATTAATCAATTTAGAAATGTCAAAAATTGAAAAATCGAAAAACTGAAAAATCAACAACCAGAAAATTAAAATACACATCGAAATATTGAAGAATCGAAAAATTTAGAAATCGAAACATCAAAAAATCGAAAAATTAAAGAATCGAAAAACTGTAAAATCGAGAAATTAAAAAATCCAAAACTGAAATTACGAAAAATTGGAAAATCGAAAAATCAAAAAGCTGAAAAACCGAAATGGAATTGAAGTTAAATATCGAGAAATTGAAAGATTGAAAACAATTGGTAAAAATGAAAAAGATCGATACATCGAAAAATCGTGGCAGGGAAACATTGAAAAATCCCAAACTGAAACATATCTCAATTCTGATGATTTTTTTGTATTCGTTGTAAGCCGAGGGGCGGAGCCTAACTGTAAAATTCTTATTTCTTTACAAAAATTTACCATTTTAAACATGTATTAAGTTGTTTTGAAAAGATAGCTAGGTATATTAAGAAAAAGAAGGCAAAATATAAGCCCCGCCCACCCACCCTATCCCAATTCTAATGATTCTTTTTATTCGTCGTAAGCCGAGGGGCGGGGCTTAATTCTACTACGAGAAATTACCATGTGAAATGTGTTCTTAAGTAATCGTGCTATACAAAGAAAACCAAAAGAGAAGCCCCACCCATCCGTCTCCATCTCAATCGTGATGAATTTTTCATTCGTTGTCAGACCAAGGTACCGAGCATAATTGCAAAATCAATATTTTCCTATACATTTTATACACGTTTTAAATTTTTTGTGCTGAAAAGACGACCTCGCATAGTAAGAAAAAATGCAAAATATAAGCCCCGCCCACCCGCCCTACCTCAATTGTGATGATTTTTTTTTTAATCTTCGAGAACCAAAGGAACGGAATTTAATTGCAAAATTCTTATTATTTCTCTAGAAGAAATTACCATGTAAGATGTGTTGTTGAAAGAATACTGTGTATCTTAAGAAAAAATTAAAGCCAAATATGAGAAATCGAAACATCAAAAAATCGGAAAATTGAAGAATCGAAAAACTGAAAAATCGAGAAATTAAAAAATCCAAAACTGAAACTACGAAAAATAGGAAAATAGAAAAATCAAAAAGCTGAAAAGCCGAAATGGAATTGAAGTTAAACATCGAGAAATCGAGACCCACCCATACCTGCCCTGATCTAAATAGTAATAAAGTTTTCATTTGTTGGCAGTTCTAGGGGCGGAGCCAAATTGCAAAATCCATATTTCCTTACAAAAATTTTTCATTTTAAACGCGTTTTGAGTTTCTAAGAATAAAGAAAATCATCACAATCGAGATGGGGTGGGTGGGCGGGGTTTATATTTTGCATTTTTTTCTTAATATACGTCATATTCTTTGGACAACACCATAGTCAAAAACATGTTTTTAATTTCTTGTGAAGAAATAAGTATTTTCCACTTAAACTGCGCACCCTTGATTCACGGTGAATAAAAAAAAATACAATTGAGATAGGGCGGGTGAGCGGGGTTTATATTTTGCAAATAGGAAAATTGAGAAATCGAAAGATAAAGAAATCGAGAATTTGAAAATTTGAAGAATCGAAAAACTGAAAAATCGAGAAATTAAAAATTCCAAAACTGGAAAATCGAAAAATGAAAAAGCTGAACAGTCGAAATGAAATTGAAGTCGAATATCGAGAAACCGAAACATAAAAAAATCGAGAAAAATTGAAAAGTTGAAAACTGGACATTTAAAAAAATCGGTAAAAATAAAAAAAAAACGATAAATCGAAAAATCGTGGCGTGGAAACTTTGAAAAATCCCCAACCGAAATATTGAAAAATGGAAGAAAAATTGAAGAATGGAACAACTGAAAAATCCCAAAACTGAAACATCGAAACACCAATAAACCATGAAATGGGAAAATTAAAAATCGATTAATCAATTTAGAAATGTCAAAAATTGAACAATCGAAAAACTGAAAAATCAACAACCAGAAAATTAAAATACACATCGAAATATTGAAGAATCGAAAAATTAAGAAATCGAAACATCAAAAAATCGAAAAATTTAAGAATCGAAAAACTGAAAAATCGAGAAATTAAAAAATCCAAAACTGAAATTACGAAAAATTGGAAAATCGAAAAATCAAAAAGCTGAAAAACCGAAATGGAATTGAAGTTAAATATCGAGAAATTGACAGATTGAAAACAATTGGTAAAAATGAAAAAGATCGATACATCGAAAAATCGTGGCAGGGAAACATTGAAAAATCCCAAACTGAAACATATCTCAATTCTGATGATTTTTTGTATTCGTTGTAAGCCGAGGGACGGAGCTTAACTGTAAAATTCTTATTTCCTTACAAAAATTTACCATTTTAAACATGTATTAAGTTGTTTTGAAAAGATAGCTATGTATATTAAGAAAAAGAAGGCAAAATATAAGCCCCGCCCACCCACCCTATCCCAATTCTGATGATTCTTTTTATTCGTCGTAAGCTGAGGGGCGGAGCTTAATTCTAAAATCCTTATTTTTCTACGAGAAATTACCATGTGAAATCGTGTTATACAAAGAAAACCAAAACACAAGCCCCACCCATCCGTCTCGATCTCAATCGTAAGACATGTTTTAAAATTCTTGTTCTGAAAAGACGACCACGCATAGTAAGAAAAAAGGCAAAATATAAGCCCCGTCCACCCGCCCTACCTCAATTGTGATGATTTTTTTTTAATCTTCGAGAACCAAAGGAACGGAATTTAATTGCAAAATCCTTATTATTTCTCTAGAAGAAATTACCATGAAAGATGTGTTGTTCAAAGAATACTATTATATTTTGCTTTTTTTTTCTTAATATACATAGTATTCTTTGAACAACACGATACTCAAACACTCCACACTACCGCAATTTGATTGGTTGAAAACCCAACGTCAACGGCAACATAACGGCGAAAGTTAAAAGTTGGTCATCACGAACGTCACCCCAACGGCATGCCAACTTTCAGCGGATGATATAAACAACGCATACCTTCGCTACGTGTTTATCTTACAACGGCAACGTCAGGGACAAGTTTATAAATCGACTTTAAATGCGGTAAACATCAAAATCAGGTGGGTTTGGTGGCATCTCAAGTTCCGTGTATGTGTTAAAAGACAAATTAAACCCCACATTCCTACGACCCAGGATATTGTTAATTTGACTGATGATAATTAAGGTCCTTATTCTCAAAATTGATCAACGTTAAGGATTTTTATATGTGAGCACTGATTGCTTTTCAACTTAATACTTTCAATCAAAAATTAACAAAAAAAGGAACGAGTTGAAGTCCACCGGTCAATTTCGGCAATGTTAGCTAGTTTCAACCTTCAACCTACTGAAAGTGCACCTAGTCATAGCTTATACTTTTTCTTTTTTTGCCTCTCCAGAATGGAAGAATTAACGATTTTTGTCTTCCATCGAAAACAAAACGAGTTAGCTGTGACAGGTGTGTGCAGGTGGTACCACTTCATAAATGTCATATCAACCGCAGTTGTGGTACGAAAAAAAATTAGTTGAACGTTATGGTGGTACTGACTAAGGCAGTAGTACCACACAAAGTTTGACAGGCACGCCAACCTTAATTCATTTTATTTTCGACCGCACGCTATTTAAACCTGTTAAAGAGTGACACTTACTGAGGCAGAGATTTTATCTTGGAAAAAGACAGAGTTCTTGTGTGTTGACCCTCCATCATACTAATTACTTCAGTTTTGCTGATTGTGGTGAGGTCACCTTTGTTTAATAAAATTACCACGTACAACATTATATTGTAGATCCCATACATGACCAAGTCTTCCAAATCATTGTAAATACCAGCCCTCAAGTTTCCCACTATTCTTCGTTTCTAAAAAAGTTATTCTAGATGAAAATTGAGCTTCCTATAACTTACAGTAATCTGCATAGCTCTCAACGGCCTGTATAAGTGACTCATGTATGGTCGTAATAAAGTCGTTCCAAATTTTGTGTGCAATTCCAGACGTTCACTCTCCACAAATTTCACAATTTTATTGTAGCCGCCTTCGACAAAAATTGACTAAAAATTCGTCGATTAAAACGAGCCATAACTTTTTTCTCTTTTACCAATCTAAAATTACAGATGAATGCCTGCACAAGAATAAAAAGGTTTTCTAACACGACTACGTCAAAGAAAATGGCCATGATACAGCTAATCAGCCAAACCAAACTACTGTGGAACGGCACCCAAAATCCGAAAAAAACCAGCGACGTTATAGAAAATGCAACTAACAAGCCAAGTACAATCCTGAAAGCTTTGACTGCAGTATTTCGATTTAAAACCACAACACTCACCAGCAGAATATGCTGAAGTCGAGTACACGTTCCACCCTCCTTCTGCAAATAAAAAATTCCATACTGCTCGAGATGCGAAAAATCCAGGCAATGATAATGTGAATCAGAAACGACAACGAGCCCGCGGTTACAGCTATGTTCAAAGCATCTTTGGAAATATAGAAGCTCTGGTATTCGTCAAAACTATCTCTCAGATCTAAAGCAGGTACACCTTGTAACGCGAGCACTATGGTATAAACCATCACAATATTTGAAAAAACAACGGTCAGTCTTGCAGTAAAAGAAAAATTTTTTTCCATCGCCCACAGTTCCCACGTGTGGAAATGGGTACAGATTTTCAGGCGAGAAAAAATGTTTCTTTGTTCACTGAATTCTGTTGGAAATGATACTAAATAGGCAACTCCGTTGGTAACACTAAAGTCAGTTTTTACTCTGAAGTACCATTGTGTGTCTTTCTGCATATCGTGAACGAGGATATCTCTACAGTACCTGAAAAATAGTTGTCTGGACGCACGTAAGTTAATGGAGATGAGTAAGTACCACGAAGGGCTTGCTCCGGTGCAGTCGTACCAAATTTCAATTCCTTGAAGTTTTCCTAAATGTTCTGGGGTAGTCAACATAAACATATCTTCACCCTGTTTTTGCAGCAAACGTAGTTTCGGATCGGGGTAATTGAGTACGTGTGGCTATAAATATTTCGTTAGAAGGAAAAACCCTTGATGTAGTACCTACCTCGCTCGAGCCTTTTGTGCCGCTGAGTCTTACCATCACGTTCGATGTAGTACCTGCATTCCTTCTGTTCTCGGTTCTAACAATTAACAAATACGCATACAAGTCATCTTGCGAGTTATCACTTAAATAGTACACTGGAGGCTGTTAGAAACACAAATCAGTGAAGGCAAAATCTAGCTATTGTAAGTACTTTTTGCCTGACAGCGAGTAAAATGAGTAGGATACAATATACTGCCACCGTTATAGAAAGAGTAATAAAAATAATGTAGCAAGAATCCAGATCCAGTAAAATTTCAATCGGTGACAATTCCTGTGTCAAGGATTCCGCATTTTGCAAATACCCCGCAAGAACAGAGAAATGTAGACATTCACAATTAATAACTTTAAGAGTAGTCGCTAACCCCGGCTAAAACCACAAGAAAATTTTAATCATCACTTTATTGCTAACTCACTCTGCATGATGGCTTCCACACTTTATCTTTGCGTTCCCAGCGCAGACAAAATGAAGTCAAAAAAGTCACTTTGTACTTCATCACACGCGCTCTACTGTGATAAAGATCCCGCTTACTGGGCAAAATCGCCAAATAACCCCAAATATCGTACTTTTCGTAATTTATAATCCGTAAGTAATAGCTATCGTCCTGAGTATTGATCGTTTCGTTCACAACGAAATTGCTGCTAGATGGAAATTCAAACTTCGTAACAACTACCTATAGAAATTCCTGCCAGACTGTTACAGACACTCGCAAGCCACTTACGTCAAACACATCCAAATACGATACTCTTTCAAACTTGATATGTACAACAGACAGTGCGATGATTCCAATCCTATGAATGCGTATATACGGATTTAATTTTTCACCAGATATAAGAGTATATTCTTCGGGAATGGTAACATTACTTTCAATCAAGGTTTCATTGAAGGTGTCTGAAGCGGTCATGCTCATTAATAAGTTCACAGGAGACTTGAAACGCTTGATGCGTTTCTTGCAAGAAGAATGCCAAAACTGCACGCTAAGAATGTTTGTTGATACGCGAGTCTGCTTTAAATTCCACCACATTATGTCTTTAGACCAACTAGACATCTGCAAAGTTTGCTAAAGGAGTCAGAAAATTTGACTAGTAGGATAGTGGTTTACAATGATGTCGAACTTATGTTCCTGGTTATCGAAATCGTGAGACGGTATTAAAACTACATCCAGTAGTTGTATTTTAGTTACAGCTAAATGTTCTCCTTCGTCCTTAGCTACAAGGGTGGCTGAGTATTTTCCCGAGGTTTTTGCAAAGTGTTCTCCTGAAGCTGTAGCCAGTGCTAGGGACTTCGCTGCTTTCGCAGTGGAGTCAATTACGGTGTTTGTAATCTCGTTCAACTGATTGGATATCAAAATGAAAAGCGGAAAATTACATCGGGATTAAACTTTTCCAGTTCATACGTAATTCTTAAGATAGATATAAAATTTGACAACAAGTGGTCCAGTAGTTTTGGAGATTATCTATATAAATATCGACGCAGAGAAAAGTAATGAATGTTTTGACTTAAGTTATTACTTGTTACGTTATCCACACTTCATAAAAATTCTTGCCCGAGAATTATAAATATAATAGCTCATTCATGAGATTTAAAATTTGATCCACTTTCAGAAAAATAACCTTGAAAATTTTCATCAGTCAAACTAATTACGAGCTAAATTTGTAATTTTAATTAATGTATTATATTTTAATACATAGGATTTAAATTTTAAGTGACATTGTATTTTGCCTTTTTTTTTCTCTATATACATAGCCATCTTTTTACAACAAGAAACTTAATACATGGTTAAAATGACACAGTTTTGTAAGGAAATATGGATTTTGCAATTATGGGGCGGAACCTAATTGCAAAATCGATATTTCCTTATACAAATTTTCCATTTTAAACATATTTTAAGTTTCATGTTGTGAAAAGAAGTCACACATTAAAACAAAAACGCAAAATATAAGTCCGTCTGTACTTGAAATACTGTTTGCTCAGTCGGAATATACCTGTTTATTAAATGTTTATGACTTTATGACTTAAGACAAACCACCCTTTAAAATCAAACTGCAAATGTAAACTGTAATAAATTTTCAGGTATATGTATTTAAAAAAATACCAAAAAAAACAAACAGATGTTCAGATGTTCTTAGACTTTATTTTTTAAAATGAAACCTGAACATGCTCGCTCCGCTCGCATTATAAACGTTTTTTTTTCACATTTAGCCTCATCAATATTTAAAAAAGTGTGGTAGCGAAATTGTTTGGGTTCAATTATAGCAAATAATAAATGTCTTGATTTTTGAAAAATACGCCCTCAGAATACGAGCGCAACGAGCACGTTCAGATCTTTCCAATTTTAGTACTTAAGTGATTAAGAAAGAATCTCAGTCAAGTTACCTAGGCTTTATTGAAATAATAAATCTAAAATTGTCTTAATTAGTGAAGTTCTTTGGGTTCAGTTAAAGTAAATAATAAATCTCTACATTTTTGAAAAATACACCCTTGGAGTATGAATATAGAGAGTACGTTCAGATCTCTCCAACTTCAGTAATTTTTTTGTAGACGATAAATACATTTTTATTATAGTCGAGTCCATCAGCCAACTCTAGAGGGTACTTTATTTGGCAATATCAGTCTTAACTTGGCAAGTACTAGCCCCGCCCGCCCACCCTTTATTGTCTTAGAGGGTATGTCATCTGCCAAAATCAGTCTTATCTTCGAAAGTACTAGCCCCGCCCACCCACCCTTTCTTGTCTTAGAGGGTACGTCATCTCCCAAAATCAGTCTTATCTTGGAATACTTTTTTCTTTACAAGAAATTAAAAACATAGTTTTGAGTATCGTGTTGTTCAAAGAATACTACATATGTACATTAAGAAAAAAGGCAAAATATAAACCCCGCCCGCCCACCCCATCTCAATTGTGATTTTTTTATTCCTGCAAACTTAAAACACGTTTAAAATGGTAAATTTTGTAAGGAAATATGGATTTTGCAATTACGCTCCGCTCCTAGATCTGCCAACAAATGAAAACTTCATTACTTTAGATCAGGGCAGGTATGGGTGGAGCTTAATATTTGGCTTTAATTTTTTCTTAAGATATATAGTATTCTTTGAACAACACATCTTACATGGTAATTTCACCTAGAGAAGTAATAAGGATTTTGCAATTAAATTCCGTTCCTTTGGTTCTAGAAGATTAAAAAAAAAATCATCACAATTGAGGTAGGGCGGGTGGGCGGGGTTTATATTTTGCCTTTTTTCGTACTACGCGTAGTCGTCTTTTCAGAACAAGAAATTTAAAACATGTTTAAAATGGTAAATTTGTATAGGGAAATATTGATTTTGCAATTATGCTCGGCCCCTTGGTCTAACAACGAATGAAAAATTCATCACGATTGAGATCGAAACGGAGGGGTGGGGCTTCTCTTTTGGTTTTCTTTGTATAACACGATTACTTAAGAACACATTTCACATGGTAATTTCTCGTAGAAAAATAAGGATTTTAGAATTAAGCTCCGCCCCTCCGCTTACGACGAATAAAAAGAATCATCAGAATTGGGATAGGGTGAATGGGCGGGGCTTATATTTTGCCTTTTTTTTCTTGATATACATAGCTATTTTTACAAAACAACTTAATACATGTTTAAAATGGTAAATTTTTGTAAGGAAATAAGAATTTTACAGTTAAGCTCCGCCCCTCGGCTTACAACGAATACAAAAAAATCATCAGAATGGACATATATTTCAGTTTGGGATTTTTCAATGTTTCAAGAAGGTATATCATCTGCCAAAATAAGTCTTATTTTGGAAAGTACTAGCCCCGCCCACCCACCCTTTATTGTCCTAGAGGGTATGTCATCTGCCAAAATCAGTTTTATCTTCGAAAGTACTAGCCCCGCCCACCCACCCTTTATTTTCTTAGAGGGTATGTTATCTCCCAAAATCAGTCTTATCTTGGAATACTTTTTTCTTTACAAGAAATTAAAAACATATTTTTGAGTATCGTGTTGTTCAAAGAATACTACATATGTACAAAAAGAAAAAAAATTAAAATATAAACCCCGCCCGCCTACCCCATCTCAATTGATTTTTTTTCTTTCTGCAAACTTAAAACACGTTTAAAATGGTAAATTTTGTAAGGAAATATGGATTTTGCAATTACGCTCCGCTCCTAGAACTGCCAACAAATGAAAACTTCATTACTTTAGATCAGGGCAGGTATGGGTGGAGCTTAATATTTGGCTTTAATTTTTTCTTAAGATACATAGTATTCTTTGAACAACACATCTTACATGGTAATTTCATCTAGAGAAATAATAAGGATTTTGCAATTAAATTTCGTTCCTTTGGTTCTCGAAGACTAAAAAAAAATCATCACAATTGAGGTAGGGCGGGTGGGCGGGGTTTATATTTTGCCCTTTTTCTTACTATGCGTGGTCGTCTTTTCGGAACAAGAAATTTAAAACATTTTTTTTGTATTACACGATTGCTTAAGAACACATTTCACATGGTAATTTCTCGTAGAAAAATAAGGATTTTAGAATTAAGCCCCGCCCCTCGGCTTACGACTAATAAAAAGAATCATCAGAATTGGGATAGGGTGGGTGGGCGGGGCTTATACTTTGCCTTTTTTTTCTTGATATACATAGCTATTTTTTCAAAACAACTTAATACATGTTTAAAATGGTAAATTTTTGTAAGGAAATAAGAATTTTACAGTTAAGCTCCGCCCCTCGGCTTACAACGAATACAAAAAAATCATCAGAATTGAGATATATTCCAGTTTGGGATTTTTCAATGTTTCAAGAAGGTATGTCATAATCTGCCAAAATCAGCCTTATCTTGGAAAATACTAGCCCCACCTACCCGCCCTCTATTTTCTTAGAGGGTATGTCATCTGCCACAATCAGTCATATCTTGGAAAATACTTTTTTCTTTACAAGAAATTAAAAACATATTTTTGAGTATCGTGTTGTTCAAAGCATACTACATATGTACATTAAGAAAAAAAGGCAAAATATAAACCCCGCCCGCCCACCCCATCTCAATTGTGATTTTTTTTTTCTACAAACTTAAAACACGTTTAAAATGGTAAATTTTGTAAGGAAATATGGATTTTGCAATTACGCTTCGCCCCTCGATCTGTCAACGAAAAATTCATCACGATTGAGATTAAGACGGATGGGTGGGGCTTCTGTTGGTTTTTCTTTTTTAATTAATACATTAGTTTTCTTTGTATAACACGATTACTTAAGAACATATTTCACACGGTCATTTCTCATAGAAAAATAACGATTTTACAATTAAGCTCTGCCCCTCGGCTTACGACAAATAAAAAAATCATCAGAATTGAGATAGGGTGGGTGGGCGGGGCTTGCATTTTGCCTTTTTCTATTTATCTATGAAAATCTCTCGTTTTGTCATGAACATTTTTTTTATTAACAAATCGGGGGTGGCTCTCCTAAAGTTTTCACTAAAATTTTTTCGTCTTAAGACAGAGGACGATTTTTTATTAAATATTTAACTGAGTTCATTTTTTTTAATCAAACGATTTCACTCGCGCAGAAAGGAAATGAAATCCCGCACATCATGTGACTTACTGGTAGGGTCACTGTTCGAGTAGGACCAGATTCCAATACCGCGACTAAACGCACGGTTTCCATGCCAACGGTGTAAACAAATCGTCTAAATGAGGCATGACTTGGTCTCCGCTTTTATCAGTACTTCAGCAACGTATCATACATCCAAGACACATCTTTAGATGTATGTTTTGTTACATTTTATACAAATGGAGCGAAATAAAAAAATTAGTTTTGATAATTATGACACAAATTTCCGGATATTTTTTTAAATTTTGAAAATTACTATTTTGCAATGTCCAGTGTGTTTGTAGACGTTCAAATTTTAGGGGGGCACGTACAAAAAGGCAAAATGTAAGCCCGCACACCCGCCCTATCTCAATTCTGATGATTTTTTTTATTTGCCGTGAACCAAGCTTAACTGCAAAATACTTATTTCTTTACAAGAAATTAAAAATATGTTTTTGAATATCGTGTTGTTCAAAAAATACTATGTACATTACCAAAAAAAGGCAAAATATAAATTAAGATCCGCCCCTCGATCTGACAACGAATGAAAAAATGCATCACAATTGAGAATTAAGATCGGGTCGGGTATGGGTGGGGCCTAATCTTTGGCTTTATTTTTTCCTAAACATACATGGTATTTTTTAAACAACACGATACTCAAAAACTTATTGTTAATTTCTCACATAGAAATAAGGATTTTCCAGTTAAGCTCCGCCCCCTTGGCTTACGACGAATAAAAAAAATCATTACGATTGAGATAGGGCGGGTGGGCGGGGCTACATTTTAGCTTGTTTTTCTTAATATGTGTAGACTTATTTCGGCAACAAGAAACTTAAAACATGCCTAAAATGGTAAATTTCTGTAATAATCAAGTTAAATCCTCCACTTTTCTTCTACAACCCCTTTAAATCTAAGCTTTATATACGGAAAAAGTTGAACACCAAATTAAGTTTTTACGTGAACTGTAAACTTGTTTAATCCCCAACCAAACTATTTATACTTACGTTGTCCAAATGTTTCCCATACATCTCGTCAAAATCAATGTAATTGGGATAATATTCAGAAACTACTACTCCATCTACCGATGGCGCGTCCAAATCAAGTACTGTAATATTAAATGACACCGGTCTAATAATATCGAAATTTTCTCGCACGTTGGCCTCCATACACTTGGTCAAAACGCTAGAAAACCTTGATAAAATCACATAACAAAACAAAAATAAAATACACACGTTCCGACTCTGTTAAACTGTGCTTCAGAATTCAGTGGAAATTTCTGTCTTTTTATCTCGTCGGCGTGTGCGTCTATCATATACTTGCACACTTTTGACGCAAATCTTGCGAGTAAAGGGTCTGATTTTGCCAGGTCGTGATATTCGAGCATTCTAGTAACAGACTCGCTAACAGTGACCAACTGCAACGTGTCATTTGGTGGCGACTAAAAAACTAAATTTCAAAAAGAAAAGCAATCTTTTGAAACGGAAAATCACCTTCAGAAGATCTTTAACAACGGAATAAGTGATGTTTTTCACAAATTCGTACGTTTCGTCTATAGGTTCATTGGCGATTACTTCGTTGACCAAAGCTTGAAATATCTTAATTCCTTCCTCTTTAAACTCGGGTTTCTTACTCAAAAGTAACTGGGAAACACTCATACCGTGACTGCCGTTCACGAATTTTTGGTAGATCTCCAAAATTTCGGCTGTTGTTTTACCCTCAGATGCTGCCCTCACATCAGGATTTACATTTAAAAATATGGCCGGTCCGCTCCCTTCCACAATTTTAACTACAAATTTACGCCCTTTTGAAGGCGGCAAGAGGAATTTTATTCTAAATACGTCTGGGTAGTAACCGTCCACTACATACTCAGCTGCAAAATCAAATTAGTGCCGTTCTTTATCAATGACACACTTACTCAATGCCTCGTTTATAAACAAGTAATAGAAATTGTTTTTGTCAATGGGTGGTTGTTCCTCACAACGAAGCCTGAACCACGTCCGCAGACTTATTCCTGATGATGGCTGGGTTTCACAACTGGTCACCAGTGGAATTTTCGCATATTTCACAATCATTTTTGCTTGACCCACAGTACTATCCTTAAATCTCACCGATATGTAGTAATCTGTGCCCGCTTTAAGGACGTTTTTATTGATTATAAATTTAGGCCCATTCCTTCCAAACTGGGTATCACGATCGTAGTCAAATTTGAAACCAGGATCATCTTTCACTGGTTTGATTTCCCAAATAAGGTTATTTTCTTCAGTTTCAGTACAATTCGACAGGCAACGAGCGAGAAAAAACGTTATGGATTGGATATTTGGTGCATCACTCGCAGGAGGGCAATTTTTCCTACATCTGCAACCAAATTTTGCACACCCATGGTACTTAAGCCACAAAGTACTTACACAATTGTCAAAGGGATGGCCATAGGCCGCACTTCTGCGACTTGAAATGTACTGCTACGTTGAAATCGTGTTGAAGTCACTTCTACCGTCGCATTAATAAAGTCACCTTTCAAAACATGTTGTTTTGGTACTTCAAAATACGCCTTATCGTTCACAGATGATCTGCTACAGAATGAACCAATCGTCTGCGTGCACGACCAGTTGAATCTCAAAGAACGTGGGGTGTTTATTTCCCTATAACGTTCATCCAAATCCATCGAATAATCGGCATGGAAAACAAGTTGTTCATCTGCCGGTACTACTCTGTGAACCCCCCCTCGTATCACTGCAATAGGTGGTAAAGGTTTAATATAAAAAAAGCAGTTCTTCGTTACGGCTGAGAGTTTTTGTTTAAAGATCTGCAAGAATAAATAAAATTACTTTTTTCTATGTAGTTCTTACTTACATCACACGGTGTGTATGTAGTTCGTAATCGGTAAAGTCCTACCGTTCCCTCGTAAGCAGTAACTAGTATAGATCTTTTACTATTCATGAATTTTTGGATGTTAAAGGAGTTTGGAGAGCGCCCGTTTTCGTAATCACTTGGGTCTACAAAATATGAACTGTCATAAAATTTTGAACACGTACGACTAGGGTCACTTATAACTATGAAACATTGTTGATTGTTGATTAATTAACTGGCGCCGGTTTTACGTTAAATTATTTTTTGTTCTTTTAATTGGCTTAATTGCACGCAAAGCACATATACGATATAAAAGGGGCCAAGTTTTTGACACACTTTTGAATGTGATTTTAAAACATGTTGGTGATATTTGTCTTGCTGTTTGCAATAATAATAATAATAATAATAATATAAATTTGCCAAAATCAATCTTATATTAGGAAGTACTAGCCCCGCCCACCCGCCCTCTATTTTCTTAGAGAATATGTCATTTTCCAAATTCAGTCTTATATCTTGCCCCTTTTTTCAATTTTATAATTTTAGATTTTTTCTATTTTTCAGTTATTAATTTTAAAACTTTTTCATTAATTTATTTTCCGATTTTTAATTTCCCAATTTCTCGATATTTAATTTTTCAGTTTTTTTATCTTTTGGTTTTTCGATTTCACAGTTTTTGGGTTACCAATTTTTCGATTCTTTTCTTTTTTTCTGTTTAACAATTTATGGATTCATTAACTTTTTTCGATTTTTTTCTTCCATTTTGAATTTTTCGATTTTACAAATTTTCATTTTTTCAATTTTTCGATTTCACAATGTTTCCATTTTTCATTTATTGGATTTTAAAACGATTTCATTGATTCGATTTTTAATTTCTCAATACTTACATTTTCAATTTTTCGGTCTTTCAATGTTACAGTTTTCCCATTTTACAATTTTGACGATTCTGTAATTTTTCGATTTTACAATTTTTGGGTTTTCGAATCTATTCAATCTTTATTTTTTCTTAAAAATCGAAGAACTAAAGATTGATTGAATAGAACTTGAAAAATCAAAAAGAATCAAAAATGAAAAAGCGAAAATGTAAAAATGAAACGTTTGAAAACTAAAAATTGGAAGAACTTGAAAAACTGAAGGAACGAAAAATTCAAAAATCGAAAAAATGGAATATGTGTTGCAAAATCGGGATATTGAAATTTAAAGAAATCGGAAAATCGGACAACTAGAAATCTTGCAAAATTGAATATTTTAAAAATACGAAAACTGAATAAACGAAAAGTAATAGAATGTAAAGAAACATTAAAAAAAATAAAGGAAATGAAAAAATAAAAAAAATTTGTATGAAATCGAGGAAATCAAAGTGAAAGTCGTGAAAAAATTTGTTCGTAGAAAAATAAGGATTTTGCAAATAAGCTCCGCCCCCCGGCTTACGAAGAATGAAAAAAATTCGTCACAATTGAGACAGGGTGGGTATTCATTTGTTCACCATAAGAAACTTAAAACATATTTGAAATGATAAATTTTTGTACGGAAATATCGTTTTGCATCTCCGCCCATCTGTCTGACAACGAATTAAAAATTCATCACAATTGAGATAGGGTGGGTGGGTGGGGTTTATATTTTAACTTTTTTTTTCTTAATATACGTAGTCATCTTTGCACAACAAGAAACTCAAAGCATGTTTAAAATGGTAAATTTTTGTAGGGAAATATCGATTTTGCAATTACGCTCCACCCCTAGGTCTGACAATGAATGAAAAATGAATCGAAATTGAGATGAGGGGGGGTGGGCGGGGCTTATATTTTACTTTTTTTTTAATATCTTGGCTATATTTTAAGTTTCTTGTTGTGGAAAGAAGATTACGAATATTAAGAAAGAAACAGGTTAAAATATGAGCGACAGAATACGAAAAAATCCAAGAGAATTGAAAAGAATTCTAGAACAAATACAGAAGAAAACGATAGAAAACAAAAAATCCAAGACAATCGGAGGAAAACCGAAAAAATCAGTGTTTTGCCCATTTGTGTATTTTTGATTATGAGTGCCTTTTTTGCATTTTTTCTGTCTATATTATTCTAAAATCTGAAATTTCTATATGCCTAAGCACATGTCACTTTAATATTTCCGGTACTATAAAGTACTTGCTAAGATAAGACTGACTTTGGCAAATGACATAGCTTATAAGAAAATAAAGGGCGCGTGGGCGTTGCTAGTTTACTTCATAAGATACGACTGATTTTGGCAAATAATATACCCTTTAAAAAAATAGAGGGTGGGTGGGCGGAACTAGTATTTGCTAAGAGAAGACCGAACAATATCATGAGTAGTCACTAGAATGAAGAAGAGGTGGGTGAGCAAGGCTACCCCCCCATCTCCTTTCTCCATTTCACTGACTTATTTTATTTCCTGTAAAATAGAAATTGAATTCTGTTTTGAAAAACGGTACAACCTGAGATTTACAACAAAGTCAGAAATTGCCCCACCCACCCACCCCTATTCTGTTTCGATTACTGATGTTATCGGCTCTGAGATGGCAGTTGTAAAGCTATTGCTTGCTTATAAAAGACCTTGTAGAAATTGATAAATTGATAGTTAATACACCCCGCAGTATTCCACTCCAACTGAAGAATCAAGGTAACAGTTGAGTTTGGGTAAATGGGTTGCCCTCCTACAACTTTCCCCGCCCACCCACCCTCTATTTTCTTAAAGGGTATATCATTTGCCATAGTCAATCTCATCTTTACAAGTACCAGCCCCACCCACCCGCCCTTTACTTTCTTACAGGGTATGTCATTGCCAAAATCAGTCTTATTTTCGCAGCTACTAGCAAAATCCATATTTCCTTGCAAAAATGTACCATTTTAACCATGTTCTAAGTTTCTTGTTCTGAAAAAACGACTACGTATATTAAGAAAAAATGCAAAATATAATTCTGATGATTTTTTTTATCCGACAGAATCCAAAAAAATCCGAGAGAATCTGAATAAATACACAAGAATACTGGAAAATACGAAAAAATCCAAGAGGATCCGAGATAATTCGAGAGAATCCGACAGAATCTAGAACAATCCGAAAAAAATCCGAGATATTCCAGGAGAATCCGATAACATCCGAAAAAATTCGAAAGAAGACGCAATAATACGAAGAAATCAAAGAGAATCGGAGAGAATTCTGGAAAATCCGACAGAATCCAGGAGAATCCGTGGAAATACTTAAAAATAAAAACGAAAAAACAAAGAAAAAAATGAGAGAATTAGAATAGTCCAAGAGAACTGCAGGGAATCCGAAAGAATTCGGAAGAATACTAGAATATGAAGAAATCCAAGAGAATCAGAAAGAATTCGAAACAATCAGGACGAATTTAAAGGAATCCGAGAGACTCCAAAAGAATGCGAAAAAATACGGGAGAATACGGAGGGAATTTGGGAAAATCGGAGAGAATGCGGAAAAATACAAAATAATACGAAAAAACCCACGAGAATTCAAGAGAATCCAACAGAATCCCCAAACGAAAACGTAAAAATCCGAGAGGATCCGAAAGAATCCGAGAATAAACGAAGAAATCTAAGAAAATCGGAGAGAATTTGTGAAGATTCGAGCGAACCTTGAAAAATTCGAGAGAATATGAGAGAATACGGATGAATAGGTACAAGGGAATACGAAAAATCCAAGATAATCGGAGAAAATTCGAGAGAATCTGCAAGAATCCGAAAAATTCCTACAGAATACGAAAAAATCCAAGAGAATTGAAAAGAATTCTAGAACAAATACGATGAAAACGATAGAAAACGAAAAATCCAAGACAATCGGAGAAAAACTGAAAAAATCCGTGTTCGCCCATTTGCTGTATTTTTGATTGAGTGCCTTTTTTGCATTTTTTCGACCTAAATATTATCCGTTTTTTCTGTCCATGTTGTTCTAAAATCTGAATTTTCTATATTTCTAAGCACATGTTTCTTGCGAAGGTCACTTTAATATTTCTGGTACTATAAAGTACTTGCTAAGATAAAACTTACTTCGGCAAATGACATAGCCTATAAGAAACTAAAGGGCGGGTGAGCGGGGCTAGTATACTTCTTAAGATACGACTGATTTTGGCAAATAATATACCCTTTAAAAAAATAGAGGGTGGGTAGGCGGGGCTAGTATTTGCTAAGAGAAGACTGAAAAATATCAAGAATAGTCACTAAAATGAAGAAAGGGTGGGTGAGCAGGACTACTGGTTGCTTATAAGACTCTGTAGAAAAAACTACCCCCCCATCTCCTTTCTCCCCCCAGTAACATTTTATATGTAATCAATATTGAAGTTCTAACATTTAAATAATATGGGTAACGACAGATTTTTTTTTAAAAAATCAATATTGGTTTTAAATATTGAATATATATTTATTTTCAATGTTTAATACTTATTTAGTTCAGAACATTTAATAAATGTTCTTCATATGAAAGGGGGTATGGATATAAAAAAAAACTTGTATGGAATACAATATAATATTTATTAAATACAAAAATACATTGTCACTGGAAATAACAGTGTATTTGAAACGTTGCGGCAATATTTATACATTTAAAAATAATTTGTCCTAGAACCAATTCGTTGAAAATTTGTACCGGGTGATTTTTTTTTAATTTCTGCTTTTTTTTTCAGTTTCACTGCTTATGTCAGCAGTGAAACTGAAACTGCTGGCATAAGCTTCATGGGCAGAAATTTAAAAAATCACCTGATGTGAAACACAATATAAATTTTTTAAACATAAAAATACACTGCCAACTTACAATGAAATAAAAATACATTGTCAATGGAAATAACAATGTTCTGCTACATTTCAATCGTTATACAGAAATATTTATTTAATAATTATTTGCTCTATAACCGATTCATTGAAAAGCGATATAATTAATTAAAATAAAAAAAATCATACCTCATGTTTTTTTCGATGAGAATTCACTCTTGCTTTTGTCTGCGCTTAATGAGGTCCTACCATTTTTTAAATTTCAGCAGTTGTGGCGTTTTTGTGACGTTTCCGTGTGGTACCTACAATTAAATTAACTTACAAATTTCGTAATTTTTAAAAAATCACATAACTTTACATATTGTAGCCTTGTTAATTGTGAGTTTACTAAAAGAGAGCTTATTTTTTCCTTGCCCTGAAAACTTGAAAGCAATTTGGTTCATTATTAATAATTTCTTCAAAATTGCATAGGTACCTACATGTTTTTTTACATCTTCTCTTCCTGGAAAATAAACATTATTATCAGTCTGAAACTAACTAGTTTATAAATACTAGGAGTTAATAATAAGAATAATAAATGCTTACCAATTCATTCAATTTCTGCGTATCTCCCGCAATTTCTAACTGGATTTCTTCTTTTTTTTGGTTGCGCCCGGACATTCATCATTTTGTTTCTACATTCATAATGTGCTTATATTCAGGAATATTAAACCTCTTAAATATACTTACGTGTTGAGAAATTGCATTTTCTGCATTGCTTGTAGAAGTGAGGTTATGTAGAATTAGTACTGTTTTCTTGACAAAACGGTATTTACTACACTATTCTGAATTTATCGCAGTACCGATAATCACAATTCACAATAGAACAAACACCATGAACTTACAGAAAATACTTTTTGAACCACCAACAACAACAGAAAATATGTATATGTTGCACATTGCGCAAACGCGTTCCAGCAGAGCAAGCGCAAATTTAAGTAAGTTTTACAAAAATGATGAATAAAATTATTATTTTTTGTTCGCAAAAATAAAAAAAATATTACTTTTTAATGAGCAATTAATAGTATGCAACACGATATTTCGAATAGTGTCAATTTCACAATAGGTGGTATTTTTTCAAATCAATTTTTAATATTGCTCCGATAAAAACCCTATGACATAAATTACCTACAAGTTGTCCCAACATGGTACTTTTTTTTCATTTTTGTTGTTCGGTATCTTGATAAAAAGACATTTCATAAATATGTAATATATGTTGAAATTCATATATAAATTTATAAATATAAAATGAATATTATATAAATATTTGTAATATCTAATCAACATTTAATATTATATCAATCTTATATAAATATTAGAAAAATATTGCTTGCTACTGGGGCCATTTCACTGACTTATTTTATTTTCTGTAAAATAGGAATTGAATTCGGTTTTGGAAAACGGTACAACCTAAGATTTAAACCAGTCAGAAACAAACTGTTCGGTTTGAAATTATAGAGAACTAGGTATTTGCTTATACATATTACTTTTTTACAAAATTTCACCAGATTTCACGACAATAAATGAACAAAGATGAAAATTACGTTATTATCACATACCTGACCATCTGTCTGCCACCACTTGTATATTATAATAATCGTACGGATCGATGTCTTCTTCGTCTCCTGTTTCACTCCATATTAAACTTAGAGTAAACCCATTCCTTATCAAAAAGTACTGCTCCACGGCACTTTTAGCATCTGCCACGCTACATAAAATAGACAGTTAAATCGACATAACAATAGATTTTTTATTTTACCAGTTAGCAATATCTGGCTTTCCACGGGGAACTTTCTCTGAAAATACAATACATTACTTGCCTAGCCCAGCTTGAGAATCGCACACACGTATAATTATCCCATTACATACACAAAATTTATACCACTTACCAAATGTTTTTTTACAAGCATGTGCCACATTTTCAAATAAATACATTAACAGAATCGACTTCACGATTATCATACCTACAACAATAAATATTTATATAACATTTAAATACTTCCAGAAAAACCTACTTCCAACTGAGTTACATATCATTTTCACAAAACGTCAGAAATTGACATCCATGCTCTTGGTAACAAATAACATTCACTGCTTGTGATTAATAAGTTTATTATCTATGGTTTTACTGTAAAATAAAAACATTCACGCATCTCAATTTGGCACAGAGATGTTTTCACAAACATAAATTTGGTGATTATCAACACAAATAAAAATAACTAAAAAAAACTTCCTCTAAATAAAGCTCCAAAAATAATTACATTTAATTTAATCCTTTTTAAAAACTGTGTTTATATCAAACGTTTCTGGATCAAATCCAGGATACAATCGATCTAACCAGTTTACAATCAACTCTTCGTACTTTTCGTGCTCTGGATTACTCCTGACTTCCAAAAGCTGCAAATACCCACGAACACCCCCACAATCTTCCGGCGGACAAGCCCTCTCTCCCCCCACACATTTTGGAAAAGGGTGATTCCGATTTACAGGAAGAAGCAGGAACTTCTCAAATACTATTTCATGCTCCCAGGTGTTCCCATGGTCGTACTCATACAGTACCGTGTCTCCGCTTGTTTTAAACAGCTCTTTCAAAGTCACCTGTGCTTCTTTGGTGACTTCAGTGCAGCCCATTTCTGCGTAAATATTATACGCAAACTCACTCACTAACGTCACGTCTTCACAAGTGAACGAATGTGCATGGCAAGATTTCCACCCCATGACCTCCTGAACGTAGCGGTGAAGATTTTCAAAATTATCATTACAGAGGACTTGTATTCGGCGCCAAATTGGCGGCTGAATATCTTTTAAGGTGATTTTCAGTTGCATTATCACTTCTATGTCGAGCTCTGACTCATCTGTTTCACTTTCAGATTCACTGGAATCTTCGAATGTTAGTTCAAAGGGGTCACTTTCATCCAAGTCTGTTGCAGTTTCTGACATATCGGCCAGATTTAGTCCTATGAATACTTCAAGTGGTTCTTCATTTAGATTACTACAGCCTGCTGGATTATCTGGTAAAGCTTCTTGTTTTGTTATTTTGAACTGGTCGATGCTATCAATTTTGGGGTATTTCATTTTAATAGCAATTATATTGTCATTGTGGTCCTTAATGTGTTCTCTGCTCACAAAGCAACATGAAATGTAGTGGCCTAGAATTTAACGAGTACTTACATACTTACATACTTTGTTGACCGGTGGCCATTTTATCCAATTGTAGGATTTTAAATGTGAATCTGTTTGTAACAACACGACAACATTTGTAATAAAACAAGCTACATGTAATCATTGACCACGATATTTTAAACGACTTGTTTAAATTTTATAAACCAGAACAAAAAGATGGCGGCCACGTATGTTTAAATAATGTAGGAAATTTAGTGGCTACTGCGAATTCTGTTGGTAGTTCTGGAGCATGGCCACCTCTATGTATTTAAAACATTCTTTTTTTGGAAAAATTCATCATCATAAATGTTTAATTAGAAATAAAAAATTACACTATAATGCTTATATTTATATTTCAGACAACTAGGTTAATGGATAGAAAAAATGATAACATAAAGGCTTACTTGAGCTTCTAAAATTATCAACATCTAAACAGAACAAATATTCTTAAGTCTTTTTAACGCAATTGGAAAGGAACATTAAGTTGCTTGAGTCTTACGAAAAAAATCCTAATACATCTGGGTCAAATTTATCAGGGTCAAAGTCTGGATGAAAGTTGTCTAACCAATCTGTAATTAAATCTTGGTAATCCTCATGCTCTGGATTAGCTCGCACCGCCAACAGGCGCTGATATCCATAAGCGCCCCCACAATCCTCTGGAGGACATGCTCTTGCTCCTGATACACACCTTGGATATTCTCTTTTGCGATCATAAGTTAACACCTCTTCTACTACAACACGATGGGTCCATCCATCACCAAAGTCATACATATAAATCACCTTATCCCCTCGCTTGCGTAAAAATTTATACAACTGTGTTTTATTTTCTTTCCTTGATTTACAAGAAGGCACCCCAAGCATCTGTTGGAAGAGACGGAGTTGGACACTTTCTTCTTCCATATTATCAGCAATTATGCGCGTTTTACGCCCCTTTGGCCTACGTCTGCCCGAAAATTCGTGAAGGTGGCAGTCCCACCACCCCATGGACAATTGAATGTAGTTGTGAAGATCTTTGAAAGTGTCAAGATTGGAAACCAAGATGCGCCGCCAAATTTTCGGTCTGCAATACTTGAGGACTATTTTTAACTGAAGGATTGATTTCTCTGGAGGGTCAGGTTTGTGAGCTTTTTGTGGTGATCTAGAGACAAAAATTAATGTTAATGTTGCAATTTTGCGATTCTTACTTTTGTGGTCGAGGCTTCCATGAATTTTTGTTCAATATTTCATTAGCATCTGAAAGTTCGATTTCTTCCTCGGTTTCCCACTGCGAGTCGTCGTCTGCGTCAAGTAGAGCGGTAGAAGCTTCCGATGCGCTATTCAAAGATGTGGTGTCGTCGGATATTGCGTTGTTAATTGAATCTCCTGCGCCTGCCGTTTCGTCAGGGTTGTCATTTTCTCTGTTTTTCAGTTCGTCAGTTGGGGTAGAGGCGGTTTCTTGCACCCTGTGGATTAAAATGTTATAATCATGTAAATTCGCTTTCCCCACTAGGGGAAAATGTAATCTTAACCTGGTTGCTTCAGTGGATTCCATTGTGGCACAAATTTGGTTACAAATCACGCTGAACACAGATTTATTGCTTTAAATTAAAAACACAGATTTTTAACACGAAAGTTTTTTCAGTTTTTTTAGGCTATTTGAATTTGGTTATTTTACTTCTTGGTTATTGGCAGCAATGCAAGGACTAGGTCGCTCATACTTCGTTTCAAATCAATATGGTCAAACTTTTTGCAAATAATCTCTAATTCAAATCATTCAGTTACTCGCTACGATAAGACTGATTTTGGCAAATGATCTATTCTCTAAGAAAACAATGGGCGGGTGGGTGGGGCTAGCACTTGCCAAATAACCTACCCTCTAATAAAATAAAAGGCGGGTGGGCCGGGCTAATATTTGCCAAAATAAGACTCATTTTGACCAAGGACCTACTCTTCAAAGAAAATATACTAGCCCCGCCCACCCACCCTTCATTTTATTAGAAGAATAAGTCATCTGCCAAAATCAGTCTTATCTTGGCAAGTACTTGCCCCACCCACCCACCCTTTATTTTCTTAGAAGAGTGGATCATCTGCCAAAATCAGTCTTATCTTTGCAACTATGAGACTGAGTTTTGCAAATGACATATTCTCTACGAAAATAAGGGTGGGTGGGCGGGGCTGGTACTTGTCAAGAGAAGACTGATTTTGGCAATTGACCAATTCTTCTAAGAAAATAAAGGGTGGGAGGGCGGGGCAAGTACTTGTCAAGATGTGACTGATATTGGCAAATGACATATTCTCTAAGGACGGTGGGCGGGGGCTAGTACTTGCCAAGATAAGACTGATTTTGGCACTTGACTTACTTCTAAGAAAATAAAGGCTGGGTGGGTGGGACTAGTACTTGCTAAAAATTAAAAAAATAAACAATGACAAATTGAAAAATCGGAAAATTGTACAACTGTATAATCGGAAAATCAAAAACTGAAATATCGAAAAATTGAACAAAAAAAAAACAAATCTCATAAAATGGAATTCGAAATTCCAGTTTTCATTTTCTTTTATTTTTTAGATTTTTCAACTTTTGAATATTTCATTTGATAATTTGTTTGGCAGTTTTGCTGTTTTTAATTCCAATCTTTTGATTTTTCAAGTTATAACTTTGGAATTTTTTGATTTCTAATTTTTCAAGATCTCATGTTAAAATTTGATTTTCGGATTATACAATTTTACAATTTTCCAATTTCTCATTTATTCGATTTTTCAATTTGTCATTTTTTAATTTTTACATTTTTTATTGTTAGCAAGTACTAGCCCCACCCACCCACCCTTTATTTTCTTAGAGGCGTGGGTCATCCGCCAAAATCAGTCTTATCTTGACACGTACTGCCTCACCCACCCTCCCTTATTTTCTTAGAGGATATGTCATCCGCCAAAATCAGTCTTATCTTGGCAACTATGACACTGATTTTTGCAAATGACATATTCTCTACGAAAATAAGGGTGGGTGGGCGGGGCTAGTACTTGTCAAGATAAGACTGATTTTGGCAGATGACCCATTCTTCTAAGAAAATAAAGGGTGGGTGGGCGGGGCAAGTACTTGTCAAGATGTGACTGATTTTGGCAAATGACATATTCTCTAAGGAGGGTGGGCGGGGGGCGAGTACTTGCCAAGATAAGACTGATTTTGGCACTTGACTTACTTCTAAGAAAATAAAGGCTGGGTGGGTGGGACTAGTACTTGCTAAAAATTAAAAAAATAAACAATGACAAATTGAAAAATCGGAAAATTAAAAACTGGAATATCGAAAAATTGAACAGAAAAAAAATATATAAATCTCATGAAATCGAATTCGAAATTCCAGTTTTCATTTATTTTTTAGATTTGTCAACTTTTGAATATTTCATTTGATAATTTGTTTGGCAGTTTTGCTGTTTTTAATTCCAATCTTTTGATTTTTCAAGTTATAACTTTGGAATTTTTTGATTTTTAATTTTTCCAAGATCTCAAGTTACAATTTGATTTTCGGATTATACAATTTTACAATTTCTCATTTATCCGATTTTTCAATTTGTCATTCTTTAATTTTTAATTTTTTTATTGTTAGCAAGTACTAGCCCCACCCACCCAGCCTTTATTTTCTTAGGAGAATAAATCATTTGCCAAAATCAATCTCTTCTAAGAAAGGGTACTAGCCCCACCCACCCACCCTTTATTTTCTTAGAAGCGTGGGTCATCTGCCAAAATCAGTCTTAACTTGACACGTACTAGCCCCGCCCACCCACCCTTATTTTCTTAGAGGATATGTCATCTGCCAAAATCAGTCTTATCTTGGCAACTATGACACTGATTGTTGCAAATGACATATTCTCTACGAAAATAAGGGTGGGTGGGCGAGGCTAGTACTTGTCAAGATAAGACTGATTTTGACAGAAGATCCACTCTTCTAAGAAAATAAAGGGTGGGTGGGCGGGGAAAGTACTTGTCAAGATGAGACTGATTTTGACAAATGACATATTCTCTAAGAAAATAAGGGAGGGTGGGCGGGGGGCTAGTACTTGCCAAGATAAGACTGATTTTGGCACTTGACTTATTCTTCTAAGAAAATAAAGGCTGGGTGGGTGCTACTAGTACTTGCTAAAAATTAAAAAATTAAAAAATGACAAATTGAAAAATCGGAAAATTGTACAACTGTATAATCGGAAAATCAAAAACTGAAATATCGAAAAATTGAACAAAAAAAAACAAATCTCATAAAATGGAATTCGAAATTCCAGTTTTCATTGATTTTTTAGGTTTGACAACTTTTGAATATTTCATTTGATAATTTGTTTGGCAGTTTTGCTGTTTTTAATTCCAATCTTTTGATTTTTCAAATTATAACTTTGGAATTTTTTGATTTTTAATTTTTCAAGTTCTCAAGTTAAAATTTGATTTTCGGATTATACAATTTTCCAATTTTTCAATTTCTCATTTATCCGATTTTTCAATTTGTCATTTTCAAATTTTTAAATTTTTTATTGTTAGCAAGTACTACCCCCACCCACCCAGCCTTTATTTTCTTAGAAGCGTGGGTCATCCGCCAAAATCAGTCTTATCTAGACACGTATTAGCCCCGCCCACCCACCCTTATTTTGTTAGGGGATATGTCATTTGCAAAAATCAGTCTCATACTTGCCAAGATAAGACTGATTTTGGCAGATGACCTACTCTTCTAAGAAAATAAAGGGTGAGTGGGCGGGGCTAGTACCTTTTCCTAGAAGAGTAGGTCATTTGTCAAAATGAGACTGATTTTGGCAAATGATTTATTCTTCTAAGAAAGTAAAGGCTGGGTGGGTGGGGCTAGTACTTGCTAAGATAAGACTGAACAATATTAAGAACAGTCATTGAAATGAAGAGAGGGTGGGTGGACTTATAATAAGACTCATCAGAAAAAAGCTAAATTCAGCCCCGCCCACCACTTTTCTTTATTTCACTGGCTTATTTTGACAAATTGTAGAATCTAAGATTTAAAACAAAGTACCCCACCCCTATTCCGTTTTGATCATCCATTCTTATTGGCTTGGATTTTATATCGATATATTATTAAAAAAAAAAAAACGATTAGAATGCGAGCGCAGCGAGCTGGTTCAAGTTGCAATGGTTTGTGAAGGTAAATTACTTTGAAAAAATCAACGACAAAAGGCGAGCGTAGCGAGCATGTCGAAGATGTTTCAGCATGTTAACACAAAAAATAAAAAAGAGGTCATAGTGACACACGAGACATCGAATATAATAAAATATATTTTTCAGTAATATAAATACACACAGTTTCCTACGACTAACTACATTGTTTTATCATTTCAGAAATAGTGGAAAAGTTAGTAATGAAGTATTTACATCACTAGTGACTACTGGATGAATTCAAAATCATAAAATTAAAAAATAAAAACGAATTAAAAGCTACTAAAAATATTTCAATAAATCAATGGCACTCGTTATTGTCATATACTGATCTAAAAATAAATTGTACTCATAACTAAACATCAATACTTTATCCCCTCTTTTGTCTTCAAGACAGCCCTAAATTTCTCCCTCATCGTCTTGATAAATTTCTGCGTTTACTACAAATGACTAGGAATAAGTTACTTGCGTCACAATCTACACCTAACGTTAAAAAAGATTAAAAGGCACTACGACACCTCCCCCCATTCAAGGCTTCCTATCTTCTCCTAACTCTTGATTTGGCGGCTTTTCCGTCGACTTATTGCCCAGCTGCTGATTCAGCAGAATCTGGTTCTGACTGGCCAACTCCTCCACCCTACTCCTCAACTCCTCAATTTCCGACGCTAACTTCGATAGCTGCTTTTCCTGCTTCACAGGATCGATTGTGGCTTGCGCCTGATCCACTCTGTACTGATCGTTTTGATGGAGATCAACCACTTGATCTTGCTGGACGTGGTGATTGGGGTCTTCCAAGTTGTTCCTATGGGGTATGGACAACTGGATGGCTTCGTACGCGGACGTTTTGTACAAAGGTTTCACTTGATTGTTGGGCTCGCCATCTTGTTCAATCGTGGGAAGGTTGGCGGAAATGGCGGCGGGGAGAGAAGGGGTGGTGTCGGGGACGTAGCCCAGAAAAGCGTTGGGTTTACTAGTGACGGGTTGCTCGCTTAGGGGCGGACAGTGGGCTACACCGTAGATGCGAGTATGGTTGATTTCCATTGATGACGTAATTTCTGGGAGAGCAGCGTCACACAAAATGGGGTTGTCTGGAATAAAAATATGGAAGGTTAGTTAGTTTGGTTGTTTTGATCGAGCACGAGTACTCTACCTTGGAGGTAGATTTTCAGAGTATCCCAGGTACCTTCATGGACACCATGACCAATTTTACACCGAGTTTTGCTAACTAAATCTCTGCCTAGTGCGACTATTTGGTTATTTGATAAATCTGCGTGACACAAGACCGGGAGTCCGTGGAAATCCCTTTCTAGTATTGTCAGGTAGTTGTGACTGGCCCTTAATTCTTCTAGTCGTGGAAGGAATGTCTAAACAGAGTTTTCATTTAAGAAAATAAACCACCAATAATGGAAATTTTTAGATTAAGTGTGCCGCTCACCATCGCAGAAACCTTTACTACACGTCATAAATTGACATGACGTCACGTCGACAGTGACTATAATCCACGTTTTGACAAGGCGGCAAATTTTATACCTTATTTTTTTGACTCATACCTTGCTTGTCTCTTCCATTGTGGTTAAATAGTTGTGAGAGACATCCAAGAGCCTTAGTTGGTCTAAACCAATAAGGTCATCCGGCGAGATTTTTCGTAGTTTGTTGAAGCTTAAATTTAACCTCAAAAGCTCCGGTAAACCGGATAAAGCACCATTCAACGACTCAATTTCATTGTGATCTAGCTTCAACTCCGTCAGCTTTATATTCCATTCAACTAGATTCTACACAAAGAAGAAAAATTGAAATCTGTTTAAAAATCTTTTCATATTTATTTACCGTAGCTGGTCCAACCAATGTTCGGATTTGGTTATAAGACAAATCGATACTTTTCAATTCTTGCAGCCCCACTATCTCTTGAAACGAGAACTCAGTAAGTCGGTTCATCGTGATATTCAAAAAGTTGAGACTTTTGAGGTTGAGTAGCGAGTTATTCAAAGCCGGTATGCGGTTGTGGCCTAAAATCAGGGATTCGAGTATCTCATTCTCAGCAAAATCTTCTTTTGTTAACTGCAAATTTAAACAGTAATACTTGAGAGATGACATTCGGGTTTACGTACCATGCTGATGTGGTTGTGCTCCAGAACCACCCTTTGAAGTCTTCTCGCTTTGCCCAAAGTGCCGTCTAGGCTTTTCAGGTGGTTGAATTGGAAGAAGAGCGAGTCTAAGTTTGTGAGGCTTTTTAGTTGTTGGGGAAGTCTTTCAATTCTGTTGTTGGAGAAATGGATCATTTTGAGTTTTTTCGCGTCGTACGGGAGCTCTGCTTCTATGTCTGTGAGGTCGTTGGAGTTTGCGAATAACCAGACTAGGTCGGATAGGTTGGTTAGGGTTTTGTTGAGGGTTTTGAGGTTGTTGCGGCCTAGGTGTAGTCGTTCGACTTGTCTGGGAAAGGTGTTTTGGTCCATATAGGAGATTGAGTTGCCGGCGAGGACTAAACAAACGACGGGAAGACCCTGGAAATAGGTTTTTATTAATTTTTTAAAACAGGAAAATATAAAAAATTTTCATTTATTTATTCATTTAAATTTTATAACCGTGAGATAATGTTTTATCTTTGTCCTATTAGTCAATAAATGTATTTTATTTTTTTAGTTTATAAATTTATTTCTTTGTTGCATAATAATAAAGATCTGTAGACTGGTAAGTACAGCTGATTATAAAAAGAAAACATGATATTAAGAATGGGAATAAAATATGTACGAAATACCAAATAATCTCCGAAATTTCCATAATCTTGATTACGTTTGGTGTCATAATCTATAAAAAGGTGATGACATATTGTTCCACGAAAAATGGTATTTTAATAAATACTGAGCTTTACTATTATCAAAAATTGGATTTGTATAATTATCCCTGTAAAGATAAGCGAAACAAGTAAACATCATAAATTTTCATGGAACGCTGTATTGGCAGTCATGTATGAACATCTCCTACAGACTTTTATTGAGACTTTTATACCATAAGTACTTTTTATACAGGGTGTTAATACATCTAGAAGTGTATTGTTTGTGATAAAAAAATAAATGTTAAAATTTGATTCTAAGATTGACAACTAATTAGTTCTCAATTGACAGATTAATTCATCTAGCAACAAGTCAAATGAAGCGGCACATTAATAAATGAATTTCATAGACGTAAATCATTTATTAACATCCTGTCCTTTTTTCCAAGATATAAAAAAGTATGTATTAAAGAATATTGAAAAGTATTTTATAGAAGAATATTTTTATAATATTTCCTGTAACAATAAATTAGAATAGAATTTGAAACACAAGTAAGAAGTAAGAAAAATTCATTTCAGTTCAATATGCAACCTTTATTGTGATTTTGGTCAACTTGCAATTTGTTAAAGGTCAAGAAATTAGTTAATGTGGATAGATACATGTTAATTTTTTCAGGGTATTCAGGGAAACTTGTGTCCAACAACACTGAATTTAGATGGCGCACAATGACTTAAGAAAGATTAAAAATGCCGTAAAAAGACATATTATTCTTGAATAGGAAAATTTAAAAATATTTTCACAATTGTCAATGCTGTCATTCCTGGGGGTTATTTACGAGAAGCTCGACGCGTAAAAAATTTAAAACGCAACCTGAAATACAATTTCAAAACCACGTTTATTTAATTTTTTATTTATTTTTTGTTTTAACCTAAGAATTAATATTCATTTCCTAATTATCAAAACCTAACTGCTGTTTTGCTAAAAAAAAGTGATACTTACTAAATATCAAAAGTTCAGTACAGGATCTTTTTCGGGTTGGAACTGTGTAAATTGAGTTTTTGGGCTCAATGTTTCGCACACTTTCGTAAGTGGCATCTTCAGGAGCAGGTTAAGAATAATAATGAGTTACCGTGCTCTTTTGCCTTATTCTTAACCCTGCTCCTGAAGATGCCACTTACGAAAGTGTACGAAACGTTGAGTCCAAAAACTCAATTTACACGGTTCCAACCCAGAAAACGATCATGTATTGATTCCGACCGTGAAGCCTCCGAAATTGATATCAAAGGTTGCTATAAATTGTATTATTGGTTGCGTTTTGAATTTCTTAGGCAAGCAATTTCTCGTGACCATGGCCGACTAGTATAAAGATTATGGCCTGTCCAAGACGTACCATACGTGTTGCCATCTATTAATAATTACACTTAATAATTTAGCAAAATTTTAATCTGATTTGACATTATGAGACTTCAAAACGTGTAATGGTCGTTTGTTCGGTATTAATGCCTTTGTGCCTTTCAAAAAGTGTTAATAATTCTTTTGTCGATTTTGAATTATTAATAGATGGCAGCACGTATATGTACCCTTGGACAGGTCATAATCTTTATACTAGTCGGCCATGCTCGTGACTAACCCTATATAAATAACCAACAAACACATAATTTTTTCTATAAAAAAAAGTTTTTTCTAAAGCCTAACGAACTGCTACATTTTAGCTTATACTATTGAATTAATTATGTGTTTTCGCTTGTGCTAGGTTGAATTGTTATGTATTTTTTTACCACATTCTCCATTATAATATAATAAACTGTCATTTATAAACTCGGTTCCAAAGTTACCGTTTATAGTACTTTTGTTCAACTTTTGTGGTATTTAAAGGGGTTGTAGAAGAAAAGAGGGCGATTTAAGTTGATTACTACAAAAATTTACCATTTTAGACATGTTTTAAGTTTTTTGTTGTCGAAATAAGTTTACACATATTAAGAAAAAAAAAAATATATAGTATGTATATTAAGAAAAAATTAAAGCCAAAGATTAAGCTCCACCCATACCTACCCTGATCTAAATAGTAATGAAGTTTTCATTAACTGGCAGATCTAGGGGCAGAGCTTAATTGCAAAATCCCATATTTCCATACAAAAATTTACCATTTTAAACGTGTTTCAAGTTTCTAAGAATAAATAAAATCATCACAATGGAGATGGGGCGGGTGGGCGGGGTTTATATTTTTCTTTCTTTTCTTAATATGTGATATTTATTCTCTGTACAACACGATACGCAAAAACATGTTTTTAATTTCTTGTAAAGAAATAAGTATTTTCAGTTAAGTTCTGCCCCCTTGGTTCACGGCGAATAAGAAAAGTCATCACAATTGAGATAGGGCGGGTGGGCGGGCTTACATTTTGCCTTTTTGTTTTAATATAATGTAGACTTATTTTCACAACATGAAACTTAATACATGTTTAAAATGGAAAATTTGTATACGGAAATATCGAATTTGCAATTAGGCTCCGCCTTATAATTGCTAAATCCATATCTCCTTGCAAGAATGTACCATTTTAACCATGTTCTAAGTTTTTTGTTGTGAAAAGATGGCCATGTATATTAAGAAAAAAAAAAGGCAAAATATAAGCCCCGCCCGCCCACCCTATCTCAATTCTGATCATTTTTTTAATTCGTCGTAAGCTGAGGGGCGCAGCCTAATTGCAAAATCCATATTTCCTTACAAAATTTTACCATTTTAAACGTACGTATTTCAAGTTTTTAAGAATAAAAAAAGCATCACAACGGAGATGGGGTGGGTGGGCGGGGTTTATATTTTGCCTTCGTTTCTTATTATATGTGGTATTCTTTGAACAACAAGATACTCAAAAACATGTTTTTAATTTCGTATGAAGAAAGAAGTATTTTGGAGTTAAGCTCCGCCCCCCTTGATTCATGGCGAATAAAAAAAACACCACAATTGAGATAGGGCGAGTGGGTGGGCTTACATTTTGGCTTTTTGTTTTAAGATGTGTAGACTTCTTTTCACACCATGAAACTTAAAACATGTTTAAAATCGAAAATTTGTATAGGGAAATACAGAATTTGCAATTAGGCTCCAATTTGCAATTGTAAAATCCATATTTCCGTGCAAAAATGTACCATTTTAATCATATTCTAAGTTTCTTATTGTGAAAAGATGGCCATGTATATTAAGTAAAAAAAGGCAAAATATAAGCCCCGCCCACCCACCCTATCTCAAATCTGATGATTTTTTATTCGTCGCAGGCCGAAGGGCGGAGCTTAATTGCAATCCTTATTTCTCTACGAGAAATTAAAAACATGTTTTTGAGTATCCTGTTGTTCAAAGAATAATATGTAAGAATATTGAGAAAAAAATAAAGCCAAAGATTAGGTCCCGCCCATACCTGCCCCGATCTCATTTCTCAATTGTGATGAATTTTTTATTCGTTGGCACACCTAGGGGCGGAGCCTAATTGCAAAATCCATATTTCTTCACAAAATGTACCATTTCAAACGTGTTTCAAGTTTCTAAGAATAAAAAAAATCATCACAATGGACTTGGGGTGGGTGGGCGGGGTTTATATTTTGCCTTCTTTTCTATATGTGGTATTTAACTCTTTACAAAACGATACGCAAAAACATATTTTTAATTTCTTGTAAAGAAATAAGTATTTTGTAGTTAAGCTCTGCCCCCTTGGTTCATGATGAATAAAAAAAATCATCACAATTGAGATAGGGCGGGTGGGCGGGGCAAATTTTGCCTTTTTGTTTTAATATGTGTAGACTTCTTTTAACAACATGAAAGTTGTTTAAAATCGAAATTTTGTAAAAGGAAATATCGATTTTGCAATTCGACTTCGCCCCATAATTGCGAAATCCAAATTTCCTTGCAAAAATATACCATTTTAATCATGTTCTAAGCTTCTTGTTGTGAAAAGATGGCCATGTATATTAAGAAAAAAAAAAGGCAAAATATAAGCCCCGCCCACCCGCCCTATCTCAATTGTGATGATTTTTTTTATTCGTCGTAAGCCGAGAGCCGGAGCTTAACTGCAAAATCCTTCTTTCTCTACGAGAAATTAAAAACATGTTTTTCAGTATCATGTTGTTCAAAGAGTATTATGTATATTAAGAAAAAAATAAAGCCAAAGATTAGGTATCATACATACCCGCCCCGACCTCAATTCTCAATTGTGATGAATTTTTCATTCGTTGTCTGATAAAAGAATTTACCATTTTAAACAAGTTTTAAGTTTCTTGTTCTAAAAAGACGACTATGTAGGTATATTAAGAAAAAAGGCAAAATATAAGCCCCACCCACCCACCCTATCTCAAATCTGATGATTTTTTTTATTCGTCGTACGCCGAGGGCGGAGCTTAACGGCAAAATCCTTATTTCTCTACGAGAAATTAAAAACATGTTTTTGAGTATCGTGTTGTTCAAAGAATAATATGTAAGTATATTGAGAAAAAAATAAAGCCAAAGATTAGGTCCCGCCCATACCTGCCCCGATCTCATTTCTCAATTGTAATGAATTTTTCATTCGTTGGCAGACCTAGGGGCGGAGCCTAATAGCAAAATCCATATTTCTTCACAAAATGTACCATTTCAAACGTGTTTCAAGTTTCTAAGAATAAAAAAAAATCATCACAATGGACTTGGGGTGGGTGGGCGGGGTTCATATTTTGCCTTCTTTTCTATATGTGGTATTTAACTCTGTACAAAACGATACACAAAAACATATTTTTAATTTCTTGTAAAGAAATAGTATTTTGCAGTTAAGCTCTGCCCCCTTGGTTCATGATGAATAAAAAAAATCATCACAATTGAGATAGGGCGGGTGGGCGGGGCTACATTTTCCCTTTTTGTTTTAATATGTGTAGACTTCCTATGACAACATGAAAGTTGTTTAAAATGGAAATTTTGTAAAAGGAAATATCGATTTTGCAATTCGACTTGGCCCCATAATTGCGAAATCCAAATTTCCTCGCAAAAATGTACCATTTTAATCATGTTCTAAGTTTCTTGTTGTGAAAAGATGGCCATGTATATTAAGAAAAAAAAAGCAAAATATAAGCCCCGCCCACCCGCCCTATCTCAATTGTAATGAATACAGCCAAAGATTAGGTACCACCCATACCCACCCCTATCTCAATTTTCAATTGTGATGAATTTTCATTCTGAATTTTTCTTGTTCTGAAAAGACAACTGCGTAGATATATTAAGAAAAAAGGCAAAATATAAGCCCCGCCCACCCGCCCTATCTCATACGAAAAAAAGAGTTCGGCTTTGTTTAGAATATGACGGAAGACATTTTGTTTAATGCATATACGTGAAAAATATGTATTTATTGAAATAAACTTATTTACTGGTGCCTCAGATCCCAAATTTGCATATTCTAAATTATTGGAGATATCGAGATATCGACGAACCCAAAGCTGTACAGATGTTTATTTTTTATTGTTTCTGTTTTCAATTGAGTGATTTTTATTATATCGAGAAATCAATAAAAACACGATCAAGAACAGCCATGGATTTTTAAAGATTTGTCTTTGGTAGAATTTTCGTTTTGTCAGATTACTGTCACCGTGAAAGTTCGAGTTGCGAAGACAAACTTTCAAAAATCCATATCCGTCTAAGATCGTGTTTTTGCTCCCTTGATACATATTTTGTATATAGTTGTATATAATGGCATATTGTATATAATACTCCATATTTTTGGTTTTTACTACATATAAATACACTGACCGACAAAAAAAGCGGCCACTCAGAAAAATTTCGTAAAACCACTTGAAACATTATTAATTTAATTGTGATCGTTATTTTATTAAAGAACTATTCACTATTGACACATGATGTACAAATTAGCAAAAAAAGAAGGGAAATAAACGCAGAATTAAATTTAATTTAACAAAATAACAGAAACAGACCAAGTTACGATATTTTATTAACTAAAACAATAAAGGAGGCTGTTGTAGACAGTGTTTTTCATCATTTGATTATAAGTTTGGCAGTTAATAAACGTTTTCACGCGAAAATTATGCCGTTAACTCTTACAGACGTCTCTCAAATTGTCACTCCGTTTCTGTTATTTTGTTAAAATTAAATTTAATTCTTTTTTTTTGTTAATTTATACATCATGTGTCAATAGTGAATGGTTCTTTAATAAAATAACGATCACTAGATAAATTCATAGTTTTGAAAATTTGGTTTTGCGAATTTTTTCAGGATGGCCGGTTTTTTTTGCCGGTCAGTGTATATATTTTGTACATAATATCAGTTCTTTGCATTTTATTTTTATTGCTGAAAGATTTTTCGCTCAGGTTTGAATAAACAGGCCAAGTATAGTCCGTTCACCGAACAGATGGAATGATCACAACTTATTTATTTAAATTTTGTCCTGTATCGGTGTCAATACACACATGCCTTTCAACTAATTTCTTTCATGTTTGAAAAAGCGCCTTTGACTTTCTCCCGTACCTTAAAATTGGACTCGGTCAGCTCCGTGATTTTCGTCCGGCCCAGATCCACCGTCTTGACCCCCGTCATCCGCTTCCACAGGTGCTCCGGCACCTTCCCCAGGTAATTATCGGCCAGGCTCAAGAACACCACCTTGTTGAGGCCCTCGAACGTGTCCGCCGCCAGTTCCCTGCAACAACACAGTCGACGTTAGTCTCATCTCGCGTATTAGTGATTCGATTTGGTTTTTCTGACGGGGTCAACGATACAGCCGATGGCGCCTACGAGAAGAAGACGATGGCCGGCACGGCGACGGTCTAGGTGTCCCTTCGCCGCCGAATGTGACATGGCGCGACTTCCGGCACACAGGAATGCGGGAAAAAGCGGTCTGGAAAAATGGCCGGGCGTTGAAGTCTCCGCAGACAGAGAGCTTTCTGTCTGGGCACGCGACGTCTTGTTTACGAACGAGCTTGAGCGTGACGAGTAATCGGAGATTGGCGCCGATGTTCACTTGATGGATCGAGGGCACAGAGGTGTCGAGTCGGCAGCAGGTCGCGGTTACGTAACGCCCGAAATCTGGCAAGAATGCCGAGGCTTGGCGGCAAGAAGAGCGACGAGATAAAGGATGCGACCCTGCGCCAGACCGGGTCATTAAGAAGTTGTAGCTTCTTCAAATTATTGAGAAATTTAAGAAATAATATGTGTACCAGTGTTTCAGGATACAAATATTTTTTGTTTTTCAGGTAGAATTATAATTATACCAGGTGATTCAAGTGATTTTATATTATATTTGCATTTTCAAAAAATAGATATTTTGAAACAACCGTAAATTCAGAGCGATACTGGCAGGTGATTTTAGTGGGATTTATAAACTTGCTGTTGACGTTGAAGTTGCCGCTGCAGTTGCTGTTCCCGCTGACGTTGCTGCTAGAGCTGAAAATTGTCATTTATAAACTCCGTTGGCAGTTGCCGTTCGCACAGGCCGCAGCTGTCAAATCCAATTGTGAGGTTACGTTTTCACGTCAACATTGCGTACTTTCGAACGAGTTAATTGTTTTAAGTGAAATGAAGTCAACCAAAATGCGACAAAAGTACTTATTAGGTTCTCTCGGCTATCTTTTGTGTGTTTACGCAGCCTCATTATTTGATTTTGAAATTTGATTTTCGTGGAATTAGTGCTGTCAACCAGAAAAAGGTCCCGCCTACTTCAGGGAATTTTCTTTCAAGTTGACAGCACTGCACACCACCTCAATTTGATTGGTTGAAAACCCAACGTCAACGGCAACGTAACGGCGAAAGATAAAAGTTGGTCATCTCGAACGTCATCCCAACGGCGTGCCAACTTCCAACGGCAACGTCAACGGATGATATAAACAACGCATACCTTTGCTGTATATTTATCTTCCAACGGCAACGTCAACGGCGAACAGCAACGTCAGCGTCAAGTTTATAAATCGACCTTTAAGAATAATTCATAAACCAACTGGATGATGCAAGGATTCATTCAACAAGATGGTGCCACGGCCCATACACCCAATACAACAATCAATCAGAATACATAATGAACTGAAGTTTGTCCAGCTATATCATCTCAATTTTTAATTCATGTTTATAAGAATCCGAAAAAAAGAGTTCGGCTTTGTTTAGAATATGACGGAATACATTTTGAACAATTTTCCAAAGTTAAACCACTGGTTAAACTTTATTTCCAACTTTTAGACAACCAGTAATACTTAACAACAAAATAAGAAAAATATTTAAAATAACAGTTTAATTTTCCTTTTAAGCCTTAATTTTTTACAATAAAATAATCTCATAATAATGTTAAGTGACGTAGTAATAATCTGGTAATAATGATCAAAGATAAACAACACATTACTACTTTATCTCTAAACATTCACTAAGAACGGTAATGTGGTACTCTGATGGAGATGCTTCATATCTGAATAGTATTTTTCAACATTTTGCAACAAGAACGATTAATTAGAAATAAACGTACTAAAGACTGAGATAAAATATATTTGGTTCACGTTGCATCAACTCTTTCAAGGTCACTCAATTATAAACATATTTTAATAGTGTGACTGTGACTTCTCTGTGTACGTAACCAACAAGGGTCGGTTTAATGACTATGTCAAGCTTTCCGTCACTTTTTATTCTGTCAGATATGATTTGAGAATTTGACGTTTACAAAGACCGAAAACCTGGCAAATGTTTTCAGTCATCTAAACATCAAGATAAAAAAATCCCCAATGAATGACATACAGGTATCCAACACTATTCTAAATTTGACACGGTTACTGCGAAGTGAACTAAGTTTACTTTTACGACGTTAAAAGTCAGATACAAATGACAAATTAATGTTCCACAAGACCTCACTTCAATTTGTTACAGAGTGTAAAATCAGGCTCTGTTCATCGTATGACGACTACCTAGCTTCGACGGATTCATTGTAAGTTGTATTTTTTACGTGGGATACCTAATTATTTTTACTATCTGCGAAATATAACCAAATTATCAGTGTTTGAGACGCAAAAAATAGGTATCCCGTTTCTGTCCGTCTGTCTGTTTGTCTGTCTGTCTGCTGTCTGTCCGGATTTTTATTTGACAGATAATCTCCAAAAGTACTGGGCCGATTGTTGTCAAATTTTGTATTTATATTAGGAATATCACGTAGATGGTAAAACAAGAATCAAAATTTGTCTAATCATCTCCACCAATAATGTGATGACGTCACTTCAAAATTGTACATACTAAATGGGTCTTAAATTGTATAAAATAGATTTCCAAATCCTACACATGTAGTTTATGACACGGTGTTGCGTTTTTACCCGAAGCGTCCAGATTTTTGGAAAGAAAAACAAAATTATAAAACAACATTTCGCAATTTAATTTTGAATCTGCAACACCGAATGCTTTGAAATCTCGCAGGATTTTTAATTAAAATATATTTGCTTCAAAAATTTTGCCGAATAAATCCTAAGTAAAATGTGCAAAATATGATGAGTTTTTATCGTAGGTAGACATCGCGAGTTTTTGAAAGAAAAAAAAAAACAAAACAAAATAGCATAACTAATTTTCGAATTTTATATTTATTTTATTTCTCGATTTTTCAACTTTCTTTTCTCAATTTTTCGATTTTCAAGTTTTAGGATTTTTTCAAATTTTCGATCTTTCAATATTTACATTCTCGATTTTCTTTGATACTTCAGTTTTGAGATTTTTTAATTTTTTCATTCAATTTGTCGATTTTCTTAAATTTTCGACCCCTCGATTTTTTATTTTTCGATTTCTCCGTTTTGCTATGTTTTAGTTTCTCGATTTTACAGATTTTTTAAATTTAATTTTCAATTTTTGTCGTTTCTAAATTTTCCATTTTTGTATTTCTCGATTAATCGATTTTTCGACTCTTCGATTTCTCGATTTTTTGACTTTTTGATTTTCCCATTTTTCGATTTCTCAACTACTGATATTTGGAGTTCTCGACGTTTCGATTTCTCGATTTTTCTGTTTTTCAATTTTTTAAATTTTCGATTTTTCGACTTTTGGATTTCTCGATCTTTCAATTTTTGATTTTTCAATTTTTCTTCGATTTTTCAATTCTATGATATTTCAGTTTCGGGATTTTATCAGTTTTTTGATTCTCCCCTTTCTGGATTCTTTCATTTTTAATTTCGATATCTACTTCACTTTTGGAATTTTCAATATTTCGATTTTTCAATTTTCAGACTTTTCGATTTCTAGATTTTCTAGTTCTTCGATTTTTCAATTTTTTGATTTCTTTAATTTCAGAATTTACGATTTCTCAATTTTTCGATTCTTCAACTTTTCATTTTAATTTTTCGATTTTTTAAATTTTAGAATTTTCGATTTCTCAATTTTTCAATTTCTCGATGTTTCGGTTTCTCCATGTTTCAATTTCTACATTTTGCCGTTTTTCAATTTTTCGATTTTCGCAATTTTTGATATTTCGGTTTTTCAGTTTTCTGTTTGTGGAATTTTTCCATTTTTTGGTTTTTCGATTTTCCAATTTTTCAGTTTTTTAATTTCGAATCTATCGACATTCCGATGTTTCAATTTTTCGATTTTTCAATTTTTAAATTTGAGTTTAGATTTTCAATTCTTTCATACTTCAGTTTCGGGATTTTTCATTCAAATTCTCGATTTCTTTAATTTTCGATTCCTCGATTCGAATTTCGATTTTCAATTCTTTGATACTTCAGTGTCGGGATTTTTCATTGAATTTTTCGATTTTTTTAAATTCTCGTTTCCTCGATTTTTTATTTTTCGATTTTTACGATGTCTTAGTTTTTCGATTTTACAATTTTTTAATTTTCAATTTTTGCCGTTTCTAAATGTGTCATTTTTATATTTCTCGATCTCTCGATTAATCGATTTTTCGACATTTCGATTTCTCGTTTTTTTTGACTTTTCGATTTTTTGATTTTCCCATTTCTCGATTTTTCGACTCTCAATGTTTGGAGTTCTGGAAGTCCCGATTTTTGATTTCCCATTTTTCGATTTCTCGACTCTCGTTGTTTGGAGTTCTGAAAGTCCCGATTTCTCGATTGTTCAGTTTTTCGATTTTTCGACTTTTGGATTTCTCGATCTTTGAATTTTTGATTCTTTTATTTTCCTTCGATTTTTCAATCCTCCCATGTTTCAGTTTCGGGATTTTTAAGTTTTTTGATTCTTCACTTTTTCGACTCTTTAATTTTTCGGATTTTTAATTTCTCGGTTTTTTAATTTTTAATTTCTAGATACCCACCTCACTTTTGGAATTTTCAATATTTCGATTTTTCAATTTTCGGATTTTTCGAATTCTCGATTTTCTAGTTTTCCATTTTTCAAATTTTTGATTTCCTTAATTACACAATTTATGATTTTTCAATTTTTCGTTCCTTCAACTTTTCAACTTTTCATTTTAATTTTCCGATTTTTCGATTTTTGCAATGTTTGATGTTTCGATTTTTCAGTTTTCCGCTTGCTGAATTTTTCCATTTTTTGGTTTTTCGATTTTCCAATTTTTCAGTTTTTTAATTTCTGGATTTATCGACATTCCGATGTTCCAAATTTTTGATTTTTCAATTTTTAAATTTGAATTTCGATTATCAATTCTTTGATACTTCAGTTTCGGGATTTTTCATTGAATTTTTCGATTTTTTTAAATTTCCGATTTCTCCATTTTTT